GTCCCCTAATCATCTTTGTTGCTCTTCTCTGCACTCTTTGTAGAATATATGAGCATACTAAGGTGTGCCCATCACTACCTGCATACGGCATTCTGGACCAACTGAAGTTGGTGGATTTCAAGGGCAGCCTCATGTAGAATGTGGTGACTGGTGTATGAGTGATGGTCTGAAGGACAGTTTATTGCTGATGTCATTGTCTTTAAACAGGGCTGCCCACAAAAGTAAATATGATTTTTCTTAGTCCGAGGCAAGACTTTCTAAACTGCAATTTAACATTTCTGAGAGCCAATGAACTTACTACTATACTGGGGGTAACTCTCTCCTGCAGGACCTTATTGCTTATGTTAAGTACGAGTGAAATATATCTATTTTAGACTTACTTTGTACTTACTTACTTACTTACTTACTCAGTAGCTTTCAATCTATCTTCAGACCAGTGCAACTTAAAGTCACAATGCCCAATTCAGACAGATTCAGCTATTATTGCCCCTCCAGACTGAAATGTATTGGGTCAGTTGTTCAAGAATGCAATCAAGCACCCAGCATCACCAAGCATTTCCCTTTACATAAAGTCTTACTTGTTTCCTGTTGTGATGGGCAGTTATTGTTCATCATTTACATAAAACTATGTCAAATAGAGATCTAAGTGTCTCTATATGATGAGAAATAACAGAACTTCCATTGAGGTTAGAGATGCCTCATTTTTAACGGGGCTAAGAGATTTACATGGGTAGCTAGTAGATGTGAGCTTCACAAGCTCACAGGATTTAAAGAAGGATGGTGTTTCTTGGATTATCTGATATACAATAATTTGTTGTGCCTCTATGTTTACAAATACACAAATACTACAAAATGCCATAATTCTTTAGCGATTTCAAAAGGAATAGATTTAGATCAATGTTGTGGCTCAGGAACATCTTGGGTAAGGCTTATGATATTTTATTCAAACAAACTGCAAGGAAATAGAGTACCATTAAAATATATTCCTTGAATAAAAAAAAAAAGAATCGTTACATCTGGAAGAATAGAGAAGGGAAGAAAACAAACAATAGAATTAGCCTATTTATATATTTAATCACAATTTATTGGCTAGAATAAGCTCTTTTTGCACGAATGTCTTCAAGTACTGTACAACCCCGAATGTAACAGTCCTATAAATGCTAAAAGGACTATCCATTGGTATAATTGTTAAGAGCTACATCTCTTTCACTTGTCCAGATTACTGAGTAACCACTAGAAAACCTCCCAGTTTCATTGATCCCAAATTAACCAATTCATAGAAGTCCCAGAGTTCCTTCTTCACACCAGTTCCCTTGATAACTGCTCAAAGTGGGAATGTATCTCTGCACAGGTAGCCATTTGTAAAAAAAAAAAAAAAGAAAAGAGGGAAACATCTTTGATCCTTTGAATGATCAGCAGAAGGATCATTTTAGGGAGGAACTCTTTTTTTTCCCTCACACAGGAAGGAATATGATAGACTTCTTAATCACGGGTTAGCCCTGGCTTCAGGGCTGAGTCGTGTGTTGAAATGTAAATTTGGGATTAACAAAGCCTAATAATCCACACTCACTCAGAAAGACTGTATCATCCTATTGATGATAGTAAAGCACTTCAAACTCTCAGAGACATGAGATGGCATAATGGAAGTCCTAGCAAGAAAGCCATAATCTGATTATTCTCAATATACACAGTAGCTAGTGGTGCTAAAAAAGATGCTGTTGCCATAAACTGCATAATGAAAACTAATAATAAGTTCCTCTGAGATAGAGAAGAGGCTCAAATATTTAAAATTTGCTGATACAGCCAGAAGAGGTATCTGCCCTAAACCTCACCCAGCTTGTTCATAATGTCACAGCGCAATTATAGATCACTTCATAACATGATGATACTCTCAATGATACACACGATCTAGTGCAGGCAGTGATGTCAATTTTTTTAAACTTCATCAGGACTGGCCCACCTATGAGACAACTGCCTCATTTGATGGATGTTTGGGCAGTAGTGACAGCTGTACCAAGCTATTCTAAAATCCTTCTTAGACACCTAAATTGTTCTCCTACAATCGAGATAAATATGATAGTCCAATCAAATTCTTTTTGTGCTGAAATGGCAGGTACTTCAAATTTTCTTGTGCCAGTCCTGAATGCAATGTATTTTAGCTTTAATCTTTCACAAAAAAAAAAGAAGAAGAAGAAGAAGAAGAAGAAGAAGAAGAAGAAGAAGAAGAAGTGAAAAGTTCGCAACACAGGTTGCTTTTTTGGGAGAATTGCTTTGATAAATGCATTAATGTTCTATTTTCACCCCTTGTTTGTTTCTGAATATGGGTGTTTCTGCAGCATCTATTTGACCAGTCAGAGTTCACAAGGTCTGGGACACAACTTGCAGAAGTGTGTCAAAAGATGATATCTTGACACATATCTTGATAGATATATCAAAGGATTATAGAAAGAGAAATTTCCTGACAGTAAGAACAATTAATTGGAGGTTCTTACACTGGAGGTTCTTAAGAAGAGATTGGACAACCATTTGTCTGAAATGGTATTTCCAGCCTAAGCAGGGGTTTGGACCAGAAATCTCCAAGGTCCCTTCTAACCTGTTATATATTTCAAAAATATTGAGTATTATACAGAATCCAACCAAACCTCTTGTGCTGACAGTGTGAAGTTGATTCCTTTATGTATTAACAATATACAGGGCAGATTCAAGACATTTGCATGCTTGACATATTTGACACTTCCATCCCTCATGTGAATTTTGTTCTTATAGATCTTTTTACATGGTTTTATGTTGTTTTTCTTCTGTTAAATTGCTGCATAGTTTTGCTAATTTTTTAAAAAACGTATTCTGTATGTAAGCTGCCTAGAAGCCTCTATTGAGATGAGTATCTATATAACTTTGATTAAAATGAAATAATTATGTCCATAGTACCTAAAATTAAACATGCACACAAAAATGCTTCTTCCCATTTCTTTTTGCAGCAAAACCCCACCAAACAATAAATTAACAAGGAATCCAGCTCTCATTCTTGATATACCAGCTCAGGTGCTTAAGAAGTGACCACACTTGCTTGAGCTGTAACATCTCCCAAATAATTTTATGGGTAGACTAAGATATCGTATCACATCAGGGGTGAAATCCAGCAGGTTCTGACAGGTTCTGGAGAACCAGTAGCGGAAATTTTGAGTAGTTCGGAGAACCGGCAAATACCACCTCTGGCTGGCCCTTGAGTAGGGTGGGAATGGAGATTTTGCAATATCCTTCCCTTGCCACGCCCACCAAGCCATGCTGACAGAACCGGTAGGGAAAAATTTTGAATTTTACCCCTGTATCACACCATTTCTGCTAATTTATGTGGAATAGATTGGCTTTCCATCTTTTTATGAAGGCCTTCGTAGCTCATTAAATCTGAGCACTGCTGTTCCCAAGGATGTTGGGAAAGACTAGAGAATTATGTATGTAGCTTCCATTAGCCTATCTGATTCCCCGTGGAGTCCCTGTATTTAACTATCCCTATGTGGATTGGAATTTAGGTAGTCACTCAGAGTTGAGCACATATCTGATGGCATAAAATCAATCTGGATTACGAGCTAACTTTTCTTTGGGATCAGTAACATGCAATTGTAACAGGATTATATTCTAGTCTTGGCAACAGATAAAGGTCTTTCTTGGGGGGACAGCATTTTAAAAATAATTTTAGTTTTTTAGAACTGAAACACTGTTTTGGGATTATCTGATATTACATTGAACATAAATCTTCCTTTTTAACCTAACTGCTGAGGGGTACTCCAGTTTCGTTTTCATGTAAACTTAAAATAAATTGTAAAAAGGTAAATAACAATTGCTAAAATAACAGTTGTAAACTACAGAGTTTCGGGGTAATGGAAAATACAATACAGTATTTAAACATTCCTCTTTGGGGTATATTGTCTAAAACGCTTGCTAGCTCATTTCCAGATTTATACGTTGCATTAAATGTAACTTTTTAGCTGCTCTGGACCTTCTCCTCCTTTCTCCTCTCCTCTCTTTGCATTCTGATCCATGAAATGGTTTACAAGTCTTATCTCCAAGTTAAGAGGTAAAAAAATGTGAGGAATAGAAATTAACCCTATTCTTTATTCTGGCAGCAAAAACACCATCATTTCTGGTAGGAGGGGCATGCTACGAGTCCCTTCTCTTAAAGGCTGGCAGGATCCAAGAAGAAAGTGTATCTGTTCTTTTGTACCTCATCCACCTCTCTGCCAGGGATTAGGATAGTCCCAATCCTATTGGTCTTTTGTGGAGGGCTCCATGTCACCAAGTATCGGGATTGAAACATATGGGACAGTCCATGAGATTATTCTGATGATTTTGTAGTAATTTTTATCTTGGCTATCTACTGCAGGGGGTCCCCAACCTCCGGTTCGTGGGCTGCCACCAGTCTGCGGCTTGCCAGCAACTGGTCCACACAACAAGTGAAGCCCCACCCGCAATATGCAAAATCATGCCTCCTCCGGTCTTCAGAAAAACCTTTCTCCACAGAACTGGTCCCTTGTGCCCAAAAGGTCAGGAGCCACTGGTCTACTGTATGCTACTGTTATGTTTTTAACTTGTGTTCACTGCCCAGAATCATGAGGTTGAGATGGGCAGCCATATAAATTGAAAAAATAAAATAAAAAATAATCCATGTGTAAAATGGATGCAGATCTGAAAGAATTTGTCCGTGTGATGTCCCAATGCAATAGTTAACTATCTGAGATACTTTGTTTTTTATTGCTTTCCACAAGCAATACAAATCCCTTGTTTCATTCGTTTTAATCTAATGAGTTTCAATTCAAGAGGTTTAACTTCAGAAAAAAGCATGACTCATAAATAATTGGAATGGCTCTTGCCACACAGGGATGAAGGATGTTCCACCCTAATTTTCCAGGAGTTGCTAACACTGATTGGCTGGCTGCCTTTCTCCACCCTGGTTGTGATTGGTAGATCCAGTCACTTCTTTGATGCTTTCTTTGCCATCCTTTCCTGAAGCTCAGGCACTCCAGGGCTGCACACTGACCACAAGGCTTGCTGCCTGCTGATCAGGATTCCAGAAACAAGGTGAGTTGGGTGGAATCATTGGAATGAGAGTGGCAAGAGACCCAATTTCATTGATTGGCTTTAGTTTCTCAAAATGGCATGTTGCTTGTTGGATATCTGCAATGATTTTATTCCAGAAGATTTGCAAAGGGGTCAGAAAAGTTTAAACTGAACAGAGAATTGGATAGTTTTTGGAAGCCTACACACTGTATTTGGATCAATGTAAAAATCTGAAGAAACTTTGGTTAAATCATGGTGATATTTGATTGGACTCTTTTCTGAATTTTTTTTGGCGTTTGTTCATAGAGATGAAAATATTCATAGCAGAGCTTCCTACACCGGAAGAACTAACATATTAATTACTTTGCATTGTATAAGGTCAGGCTAAATTATAAGTGGGTGCATGTTTAGAATAGATGTTTGATAACAGAAAAGGCAAGGGCAAAAAGATATGTATGTAGTTCTAAAATGAAAGGTAAATGCATGGCAGGTTTCCTAGTCATATTTGTTGTCTCTCAAGTGTTCAAAAATCAATGCCTGTATTCTGTTCCCAGCCTCATCCATTTTAAGAGTTTATGAGAAAAAGTATGAACATCTCGTATTTTTGATTTGTCAATTCTTCTTTTCAGGCCTAAATCAAGAATTCAAAAATACTGTAGCATGCAAGCATCATGTGTAATTCTATGCAAAAATTCTACTTTATATGAATTCTTATTTTCATAGGAATTGTAATGTCTTAAGATTCTTCACTTTGCAGTCTTTAAATTTCATCTTTAAATTTCAAGTATGTGAAGCTTTTGCTATAAGAGAGAATTTTTTCACAATCTCTTTTGTATGAGCAAATAAATGAGAATTTCGAGTTCCCATTTGGAGCAGCCATTTCAGCTAACTTTAGCAAACTTGGCTAGTTTAGCAATCTTAGTACTAGAGGCAGATTTTGAGAAATATAAGGTGAGAGAATATTTATTTATTAAATTTATATGCCACCAATCTCACTGTCATGTAATTCTGAGAGGAGGATAGCTAGATGTTTCAATAATTTTTTTATTACTGTTAATGTTCCATTCAGGTCTCCTTCATGTGCAAAAGAGATTTTTTTTAAAAAAAATTATCAGATTGTTGAATTTCCTTTGCTTGCAAAGGAAATAAGGCAAAATTCTTCCTTGTTTTTAGCCATCCTCAATCTAGTGGCTTCCAGATATGTGGGACATGCTTCTCCAAAATTGTCCAACACCATATTTATAATAAATTACAATATATTTACTGACATCAGTGAGGTGGTTTGATCTAAGTGTATGGAGATGTGGGAAACAGAGCAAGAGTGGCTACTGGAAAAATAGCTTTAAAAAAAGGCAAAAAGAGTGTTTTTGAGTTTGTAATTATGTATGTATGTGCTTGTCTACAACTAAACAAATGAAAAAGAGAGGAGAATGACCATGTAAATTAAATATAGAGCTACAGTTTGGGACAACTACAGTATATGTGTGTGATGATATAAACCTGAGGTAAAAAATTCGAATCAATTAAAAACATGGCAAAATTTTAACTTTAGGCATTTTTTTTACAGATTGGCTATAAGGACAAAAGGACAAGAAGCTCTCCTCTGGAGTTCTCAGAAAAGGTAAGATTTTGAGGATTTATCAGTATGAGTCTTGAAGGTGGCACAATAACCTTTTACTGTAAAATCTTTTGAAGGCCTGATGCAAACATTTTCATTAGCTCTGTTCAGATGGCCTTTTGATAAATGTACAGGTTTGTGCAATATTCAGATCTCGAATATCTACAACTACATGTTGTAGAGATAATTATTCTGTTTGTGATTTAAACTATAACAACATTATGTTGTTGCCATATAGGATTCCATACAGTTATGTCAATGGACATTCTTCTTAATTGACTTTTTCTTCCATTGTTCTGGGTCATCTAGCCAGATCAGACAATTACTTCTTCCTTAAATCAATCCATCATGACATGTGCAAGAACAATTGCACTGAACTTCTCCCTGCTTAATGCCCTATCACTCCTATGGTTGTTATCCCCACAGATCTATGCAGAAATTTGCAAATGTCACTTCTTGCATAGAATTCAACACCCAGAGCCTGAAGTTGTGGTACTGATTTTATTTAGAAAATTGGGCATGCCATCTTGCTGGGTTTGATACATTTAAGAAGCAGTGTCTCAGATCCATTAAAAAGAGGAGGTCAAGTAGAACAATACGTTCTTGTTTTCTTCCATTCAATGTAGAATTGTAATGTTAACTAATCTGATGTACCACAGGCTCCTTTCACACACAGTGCCTAGGCAGTCAGATGGGTTCCCATGTGAATATTCAACAGGGAGCTAATTATAATTTCCAAATAAATGATTCCACATAAGAGCTGCCCATATCCTTCCTTTCATATTGTGTTAATAAAGTACACATATTTTATTTGCACATACAAAGCATCTTAGAATGATTATGTTGAAGATAATGAGGATTGTTTTGGGGATGGAGTCGGGGTTGTTTTTATTTTATCCCTTTTCTGTCTAGAAAGTAACATTTTCAGGGTGGAATAATGTTTAACTTCTTATTTCTCAATTCACTTTGCTATCATGCTACATTTTGGAAAAGAAGAGAGGAATATATTACAGTACCTCTATTATGAGTCAAAAAGAAACATCTGAATAACAAGAGACAAGCTCATATTAAATCGTTGTTTATCACAGCCTGTAATAGATCAGCACCCACGTGCTATACTTACATTTTAATTAGAGGCAGGCCAGGTCAATATCTCTGCAGGAAAGTGAGCAACCACACCTACTGCACTGATACTTGAATAAACACAAGCAAAAACTCCCACGTGAGTGTCATTTCTCCTGGCAACCTCAGGTGAAACAATCTCTGTCCTTCCCACTCCTGATAGGAACAATTGTTTCTACAACAACCATCCAATTGTTCATTCCCTTGTATTGACTGTACTACCTGCAAAGCCTAAACAACTCTTCCTGGGCTCTACCCATGGTGTAATTTAATTCCTTACTCAAGAATTTTCACAATCTCTGCATCTAATTACTGACAGTGGTTTATTGTGTCCTTGGTTTCTGTTCACACACCTCAAATGCAGTATTGGAATCTCTTCTGGAAATGTTTAGTAACCCATTGATTATTGTTTGCTAAGGGCTTTGCATCTGAAATAGAAAGTTGAGAATTTGAGCTGAAACTAAATAAATCCATTGATCTGTTCAGTCATTATTTTCAACCTGATTGGGCAGTTTTCCAGATTTTATTGGAGTAGCCAGAGATTGGCTCTGATAACTTATACATGTACGCCATGTGCTTCTACTTAGCTGTGGTGATGCTGTGTGTGTGCGTGTGGGGGGGGGGGTTTTGAAGAAAATGATATGTTTCTCACAGTCCCTCACAGATACATTAGGTAAAAAATGGAGTCTGATCTCACATTGATTGGTTGGTTTGTTGCCTCCTATGCAGATCTCTTTGGTTTCTATTGATTGGCTCACAAAATCACAAGATTTCTTTTTTCAGTGTAAATTTACTCCAGAAAACAGTTTTTTCAATCACCCAACTGATAAGACCATTCCATGGAATGCACATCTCATGGAAAAGATTGTTGTGTATTCATGATGCAATCTGTTGGTTAATCTTTAAGATTTTAAGATGCAACTTATTATCAGGCTCTGATTAGCAATATTTAATAGCAAAAAAAGTTAAGGTTACAGCCCAAGCATTCTAGTGATTATTCCACTTTCAAACAAAAAAAACCTCTATATAGGCAATCTAAGATGGCAAAACTCTTCTTACTGTTCTTACACTTCTTTGATTCGGTGTTTTGCTTGTGTTTTTTGTGAAGTTGGGATTTATTTATTATTTATTTATTAATTAAATTTCTATACCGCCCTTCTCCAAAAAGGACTCAGGGCGGTGCACAGCCAAAGTAAAAACAGAGCATACAAAATTTAAAAACAGTATTAAAATAATTAAATATTTTGGCCGTAAATTAAAACAACCCAATTTAAAATCAATTTAAAATTAAACTCAAGCCAGCCCAGCTAGTTGAAATAAATAGGTTTTCAGGGCCCGACGAAAAATTGTCGGATAGTTTGCATCAGTTGATTGTTTTGGTAATGGCTGTTAGACTTTATCAGGATACATTACTTTTGCATGTATCTTGGATGCTTTTGAAATGTGTGTGACCATTATTGTTCCTTGTTGGATGGACTGTATTTTAGAATTCTAATAAATCTAACTAGAATAACCAGATAACTCCACTAGATAGAAAAGGACCCATTTCAGAAATTATTTATAAGTGCCAGAAGTAACTTACATTTGTACACTTCAGAAATTATCAGGGCTATGTGAAGCATTATAAAAAGGAGATTTGCAACATGGGTGAACACATATGGAATATCTTTCTTCAAATTAATAAAGCACTGTGTCTTTTTTCCAACTCTCTACAAATTGCTCCTGACTTTATGCATACTTGAAGAGATAGCAGGGAAGCAGTTTCTGAAGCAGTTCTGTGAGTCTTAGAAAAATGTGGCCACATAAATGATTCAAAGGGAGGTGGCTAAGAAAGTCACAGTAAATTACCCATTAAATTTCACATGTGAAGAGAGTTTCACAGGATTGCTAAAATTAAGGGAACAAAAATTAGGCATTCTAATTTCATAGAAGCCAACTGTATATGCATTTCTCTCATTCCACTTCACAAAATGTCTCACTATTGAAAGTGTACTAGTAGAATAGAATCTGGGCTTTAGCAGACAATACAATACTTCAGGTTTAGGTCTGTGTCTTTTTTTATGACTGTCTGCCATGCAGATAGTATGATGTATTGACAGACCTCACTAAAGAGAAATGTAGAAATCTTATGGCGAAAGATGAGTATCTATTGAGTGCAACAATATGTTAAGCCAATGCTTTAAAATGGTATTGATATTTTCATAGGAACTTTTGCAAAAAATATCTAGTACTCAAGCAGTATTTAAAGCATTGACAATAACAAAATGCACTTTTTCCAAAGTCTCAACATCTTTTTTGTAATGTGGTGACCAAAAGTGGATGCGGTATTTCAGGTGTGGTCTTACTAAGGCTTTATGCCACTCAATGATATTTTGAACACAGGTTAGAAAATAGATGAGAGATCAGCTGTCAATCCCATTCACATTCTAGGCAGATTTTAAGAAAAACAAATTTAAAGACGCCTTCTTAAATCAAGCCAGTTCAGATGGGCAAATGACAGAGGTTGCTACCTATTGATGAGCTAACTGAAAAAGATGCAGAAGTATATTTTTTGTTGACACCATTAGGTGGGTCCCAACCTGTAGTGCAGGTGCTAGTGTATACCTGATGCATGCAGAGAAAGTTTGAGACACTCTTCAGAAGGAGCAGAAGGGCTGGTTAGTCAGGCAGTGGTGAAAATTCTTGTACTGTAATCTGAAGAACTGTTTGATATCAATATTTGGAATATTTTAAATATATATTGATTTAAATCTCATCTCTGTTAGCTAGTTTTAAGTCTACTAATAATCTTTCACTTGACTCTTGAACATATTATTACAGCCTCTATGAATTTGTATGTGTGAAAATTTCCAAGTGAAGTTTGATTCCTGGTGACTGTTCGAACCTATCAATATAATTTTCTTGGCAACAGTGCAGAAATGATTTGCTACTGACATTTCCCAGAATATATTGTTTGCCTCATAGAATAGCCTATCACCCTGGTATAGCCCTGTAGTTTTGAGAGCCAGTTTGGACTAGTGGTTAAGGCATCAGGCTAGGAAGCAGAAGACTGTGAGTTCAAGTCCTTCGTTAGGCATGAAAGTCAGCTGGGTGACTTTGGGCAAGTCATTCTCTCTCAGCCCAACCCACCTCACAGGGCTGTTAATGTGGGGAAAATAGTAGGAGGAAGATGTGTTGGATATATTTGTAGCCTTGAGTTATTTGTAAAAACAATAAAGGCGGGATACAAATAAAATAAAAACAAATTCTAAAAGTTATCCTGCATAGTTTTTCAACCAAATATGTAATGATGTGCTGTCACTGGTGAGACACATCCTCATCCACACACCCACAATCATATTAGCATAATCTCATTCTCTGGGCCAGCCATCACTGTTATTTGTTATGATATCAATGGTTTTATCTCTCAGTATTGTTCATCTATTGTGATGTCCTCTGCTTCTTTTTTTAAGATGGGGAGATTCCATTTCTTTGCGCTTCTGTTGAGCGGAGTCTTAATCTCTGGAGTCCTCAGCTTTCAATCCACAAATTTTTCAATAGACTGTGAAACTATGTCAACAAACCTAACTAAACCAGAGGAATCTGCATCACCCTATCACCTTTTGGTATCATCTGAGGAATATAACCCAGGAAGTGAAGTTGAAGGTACTTTCCATATATTTTGTATCTTGATTTCTGCATCTTTTCATCCTTTTTTCCCCCCAGCCTTTTTTTTGGGGAGGGGGGAATAGAACATGTTAATGTGATATTTGATTAGATCAATTTGATAAAAGAAATACAAAACACCCAGCATTTAACAATACTTGAGTAGAGAAGAGCATTTACAAGCATTGTCCTACCCTGCAACCTGCTAGGCCTTACAAAAACAGCTCTAGGGGGTTTGGGGAATCCCTTTGCATTACCATGTTTCCAGAAGAATGGTAGATATCAAAAATTGCCTTCTTACTCACTTCCTCCATCCTTTCCTGGACCCCAGTGTTTTCTGAAAACAAAAAGCTAATCTGGCTTCAACCCCTCCACTCATTTATTAGAGGGCTTTGTTGTAATTGGGGTGGGAGTGCGGGTGACTTCATGGCTCCTGGCAACTGCCTGGACTAATCCCTGCAGTTTTTTTGGTAATGTTTCAAAAGTGGTTTGCCATTGCCTGCTTCCTAGGGCTAAGATAAACTGACTGGCTTCATGCCTAAGGCAGGACTAGAATTCATGGTCTTCCAGTTTCTAGTCTGGTGCCTTAACCACCATACTAAACTGTTGTAATTGGAGAATACAAAATGACTCCCCTAAGATTTAAATGGCTCTTCCTTACATCACAGTACTTACTGTATAATCACAATTATGAACCTTTATTCCTGAATGAAGCTCAAACAGATAAATCAGGGTGTGCATGGTCCTCCTAATTTCCAAGTCATAAAACAAACATCAGATTCCTATATTTAATATTATATTAAACATTAATATAATAGTAATTTCCAAGTCATAAATATTATATAATATTACTCATAATATAGCTACCCTGAGTCTTCGGAGAGGGCGGCATATAAATTTAATTAATTAAATTAATTAAATTAAATAATATTAATATAATATTAATTTCCAAGTCATAAAACAAACATCAGATTCCTATATTTAATATTTAAAAGAAGTATCATTCAACAGCCACAAGTAAATAATAAACTCATTATTGAAAATATAGCAGCTACAGATAAAGTTATCCAAATTTTCAGGGAATGTATTATCTTTTTAATACTACTGGAACAGAACATATAATGTATAATATTTATGAATGTTTGGGGGTCTTTTTCTCATTTAGTGGATCTGGAAGGAACGTCAAATGCTGGATTCAAATGGTTCATGCTACAAGCTCGAGACATTGAAAAAAATGTCCCTATTGGCTCGTTTCTAACCATAGACCCCAATACACAGAACTATGACTGTTACAATTTGCTGGTATGTCTTTATTCCTTCTGTTTGTCTGTGTGATATGATTAAAAGAATTGGTTCCTTCTGTAATAAAAGGGTGTGATCCATTAGCACTGAATGATGGGACACAATCTCTGCACATTAGTCGAGTTGTTTAAAGATTAATGGTATCTTCTTGACAGGGAAATTCAGAAAGGGCTTTCTTTTCCTCTTCTTCATTTTTCTCTGATGCTACATGCTAACTTCAGTCATGGAGAGAATTTTGTAGAATTCTAAGGAATTCTGTATGTGATAGACTCACTGTTGCGGCATTAACAGCAAATTAGAATGTGTATTGATCGTGTGTGTTAAAAAAAATTATGAGACAATTGATTGTCTATTTTACCATCTCAGACTCCAGTCATTAGTCTCCAAGCACAGAGTTAATGTGTGGGAAGGCTTCCAGTATTCTCTATGAGGTAGAAGTGTTGTTGAATTACACAAATGGAGCATTCAAAAATTACCAGTTGCCATATCTCAAGAAGTCAAGCCGCTGGCTCCTTAGGACAAGAGAAGGCCAACAACTCCTATGAATCTGGAATGTATCCTAGAATTATCTGCAATGTAATTTATAAGTTTTGCATGAAGCTTTGTACTTTAAGATTGCCTAGGCACTTCTGACTGAGAAGATAAGCTAGGACAATGCTAGGATGTAAACAGTTTGCAGTGGTCTTAAAGGCCATTTTTTCCTATATCATCTTCAGAGCATCTGTCTCCGGCATTTCTTGGCTTTAGAAGAGCAAATCAAGTTGAAATAACTCTATATGCATGTTGGATTAAAGGTCTCTTATCCCCAGCGAATGTAGCAATTAGGATACATATTGTACTCATTTCTGAAGCACTAATCTAAATAATACAATACATCATTTCTAATATATATCTCTATTTTTTAGAATTCAACTTTAATCCACAAGAGCTCTGATGAGAAATATAATGTTACATCTGTCTGGATTTCACCAGAAGCTAAGAAGGTTCAGTTTGTGTAAGTACATACAGTATTAGGAAACTTTATGTCAATGTAGGATTTCTATTCTGTAAGGAATCTGTGTCAGCATTGACATACTTTGTATGTGTATTGGTGTGTAGAGACATATGTGCACATGCATACACACATCTACACAGGCACAGACATAGACACAAACATAAACATCCTCTAATTATGTTTATAATTATAGCCAAGCATTTACATTGTCTTAATAGCATACAGCATTTGTGTCTGAGACAGAGATGTAGGGGCATCAGAGTTATGTTTGTGTGTGTTTATTTGGGTGTCTGTGTATATCAAATAAACCAAAATGGCAGCCACAATCATGCAATTTTGGCTGCCATCTTGCCCTTTTTGATTTTCCTTTGCAGATGTCCCTGGTGAGATTATTTATTACATATGTCAGAGGTAGTCAGTCATTTTTAACTGGAACATATTTGGAATTTTGAATTCGGTTTAGTAAAAAAAAAAAAAAAGGAGCTGCCAACTGAGCCTTGTCTGTTCACAAATTGCTTGCCACCTATTTACCTATTTAATGTGGTATTGTTAAAAAGGTAAACAGAGCAAAAATACATAGATGTCATCTTTCATTACAATTAATCTGTGCCAAATCCCTTGTATTGCTACATGATGAAACTAAACGTTACACGAAGAATGTATTTTGTGGAGAATATAAATATATAAAGGCTCCCTGGCCATTTAAAAGAAAACAATAGATTTAAAGTCTACCACCACAGACATCATATGAGGAAATCTTGATAGTCAGAAATAACAGCCTGCAAAAATGATCAAATAAAGAAGTGTTTTCGAGAATAAATTGTTATAAAATAATGTTAGTATTCTGAAATAATTTTAAGATAAGGAAATAAATAACCAAATAAAAGAAATAACTTTAGAATAATAGAATTTAAAATGTTGTGGCATTTATTTATTTATTTATTTATTTATTTATTTATTTATTTATTTATTTATTTATTTCTGCCTTTATTGTTTTTATTAAAAACTCAAGGCAACAAACATATCTAAACACCTTCTTCCTCCCATTTTCCTCACAACACTCTGTGAGGTGAATTGTGCTGAGAGAGAGTAACTGGTCCAAAGCTACCCAGCCAGTTTTCATGCCTAAATCAGGATTAGAACTCACTGTTCCCAGTTTCTAGTATGGTGATTTAACCACTAGACCAGGGCTATCAAACTCCCGGCCCATGGGCCTGATGCGTCATGCGCTGGTCACGCCCATACCCAGTTTAGCGAAGGGGGGGAAAAGTCCCAATATATCATGTGATGCCGCCGTGACAATGTGAGTTTGACACCCTTGCAATAGACCAAACTGGCTCTCAATTATTATATAGCATACTTGATATTGTATGGTGTGTTGATTCTAAAAAAAAATGTTGAACAAAACATAATTCAGAAATTCCTCATAATCCAAATATGATCTAATCAAATTATATTGTCTTTGCAGAGCAACTGTTTTTCAAGATCCGGAAAGATACTGGGTTGTTATATCCGACAAAATCCTCTTCCCCAGAGGTTCCAATGTAACAGGAAATGATAACAAAGCAGCTGATGTGGCCAAAGAAGCCAGTGGATCACCAAGAAGTAGGAAGAAGGTTTGTAGAAATAACTCAGACTTAACATGCTATGTATAACTACTGTGGTTAAGCATTCTTAATTCCAATTACATCGTAGAGCAGGGCTGTCAAATTCCCGACCCACAGGCTAGATGTGTCATGCGTTGGCCACTCCCACACCCAGTTTAGCGAAGGGGGGGAAAGTCCCGATATGTCACGTGACAACGCCGTGATGCCATGAGATTGACACCCCGACATAGAGGCTTAACTATACTTAAATCTCCCATAATTTAAACATTTATTTAGCTGAAATTAATCATATTCAGTTTTGACTGAATTATTGCTTAATATTCATATACAACACTCGGAGTCTATGCTCAGAGTCCCCTTGCATTGAGGTACAAAAATAAACTATACTGTATATATATTCCAAATCACTTATACAAAGTAATTTTATTGAAAGATGACTATGGCTGTAGCATTATTTGCAGAATGATATGATTATAATATTTCCAGGCATACCCATTCTGGCCAATATTCTGTACATATTTTTTTCATCAGATACATAGTCAAATGCTAAAAATCAAGAAAGTGTACTAAAAACCAAGAAATAATCAGACTCTATAGAAAATTTTGGCATAAGCTTTTTAATTAAAACATTTTTTTTTAATTTTGTCTTTACAGTCTTCTAACATTATTGTAAGAGTAAACTGTGGCCAGGTAAGAATTCTTGAACAATTTCCAGATTAAATTCTCTTCATACAATTACCCTTATTCATTGAAGTCTTGATTTGTATGGTAAATATATTTAAATCTGAGCCCATAGGTGTCAGGCCTCAAGAACCGAGAACAACATGTAGAGTTACTTCTGAGTAATTTCCTTTATTGTTCTTCGCCTTCAGACAGAATCTTGCCTGACTAAAGCAATTATATGCATAATAGTAGTAGATACATTCTGGCAATTACAAGAGAGGAGCCATTTTAAACCTCTTCCTGCCAACCAAACTTTCCAAGCTTTGCAGCTTCTTTGTCCTCCAGAATGCAGTCCCTCTCTCCTGGGAAACCAGATTACATTGCACCACACCAGTCTCTTCAACATCATCGTTTTCAATCAGAAACCGGCTCAAGGAGATTTGTGTTTATCCTCTTCCCATCAGCATCAGCATCCAGAACATGTTATAAGAGATGAAGGGTGCATTCTCCAGCTGACCAGGGGAATTTTGCAAAAAGCAGCATCCAATTAATGTCTTTCCTGCTTCCTGTTGTCAGATTTAGTTCATTCTGTGTTTGCAAAAATTCTGTACATTTGCAAAGAGATGGACTGCCACATCGCCAGCAGCCCATCCCTCTGCTTCATCTGGAAATTATTTTCGGCACCTAATCTCTACAGAAAGAGAGAAATTGGGAACCCGCTGTAAGGCGAGTTGACATAAATTATTGCCAGGGGAAATAGTCCATTTTAAATCTCGGTAGAGCTCCAATGTTTCCATTGGAAATTGTCTTCATTATGATTCCTAGTGAATCTCAGTCCAGGCAAAAATGAATGGTTTAGTTGCCAAACTGGCAGTGGCAGTAGATCCCATAGGTGCAGGGTCAATTCCCAGAAGCAGTGCATATATTGCATGACAAGGTACTCCTAATCTATTTATGTAACAGCTTACCTTTCCTCTGCTAAATATATTACTATACTGCATTTTTTCAGCATGGCACAAGAAGAGAAGCAAGATTCCTAAACAGACATAACGGGTGGGGCAAAATACAGATGAATCCCATTTCCTGTTTCTGTGCTTCTTTGCAATCTGAATTATAAAATACCTATAACACTCTTTGGTAAAGTGTGCAATCCTCTAATTCACAAAAGAACATCAGAAAAAAAGATGGTCGATAGGAAAAAAAATATTACTGTATTTAAATTTGATTTGCATTTTCAAACGCTTTGAGCTGCTTTAATGAAAAACCAGGCTATATTTTCGGAGCAATTGCTCATTTATGCTCTCTTGATACTTTATTGAACCTGAAGTTGCATTGTGTTGATGAAATCTCTAGAATTTTAATAATATTTTATTACTTTAGGGTGGTTCTTATGGAAGGGGCAGTGAATGTGCCCAGGTAAGCATTATTATTCCTTCAATATATCTCACACCAAGCCTTGGTGTATTTTCACAGGGTAACTTATTCAATTTTTCAAGAACATAAGAAGGACCTTGTTTGAGAACCCAACTAGGCCACCATGTTTTTCCAGTTGCCCACCAGGTATATTTGGAAAGTTTATGGTTCCCAGTTAGTCTGGGATTGCTTAGATTGGCAGGCAATTCCCAAAGCTGTAGTTCAGGACAATTAGTAGATGTCAAGTCAGAAAAGCTAAGTTATATAATTCTCTGCATCATTTGACATACACATTTTTTTTTTGAGGGGATTGTAAGCTACTAGATAACATGAAAAAAATTAGTGAGGGCCTGTCTTCGGGCCTCACTATGACCTCATTATACTGTCCTTTAAAAAACCCAAAATGGCTATATCTAAATTAGCATTAAAAATAAATTTCTGCTTTTCAAATGAAACAATATTCAAGATGAGTAAGCTATATGAAAATGAAAAAGAGCCTATACGGGAGCTTACTCATCTTGAGTATTGTTTGACTTTCACAAGAAAGGATAGGACATGGAAATATTGACTATGCTATTATCAGTATATAAGTTTTCTATGAATAAATTGCTGATCTGATTCTTTGCAGGGTTCCATATCTTCCTCACAGAGTAGTAGCAGTCATTCACAGGTAAGAATTACCTTCCCCCTCCTCCCCAATGTTAAGTTATGTTTAGGCAAAGGCGTATTATTAGAGACATTGTTGAGAAGAATACTTTACTGAAGAATAATTGCCATAACTTGCATCACACTTCTCGATGATCCCTTAATTGCATAAATTGTACAAATTTATGTGGCGCCATTCAGGATTGTTAAGGAGAGATTATAACTACATTGTTTTACATTATGTACTTTTATTTTTTTACATTGTACTCAAAAAATAATATTAAGAGCTTGAAAAAGTGTTTCTTAAGCCACAATGTTTATTTCTTTCTGTACTACAATCCTGGATGGAACAGACTAAATGCAACATAGATCAGTGTAGAATAGTTCTTTTTTCTCTCTCTTTCCTAAATGTTTCCTTCTGGAGTTGTCTGAAAAAGAACGATCTGTAAAATTACCAATGATATCTTTTCAAAGATAAATAAGTTAAGTTTAATTTAAGACAAAGATGTATTTTCAAAAAATATATAATATCTATAGATGGGCTGAGAGTATACAATTAATGCTCAATATAACATTAGCAAAAGATACCAAGCAGAATTCTCTATAGAGAACTGGATTTTAACTGCTTGGATCCAAACCTGAAGAAAATTGGCTTGGATAACTAATGGAGGGAAAATTATAGGGACACAGTGGTAAATCGGCATAACTGTTTACAAGGAAGAATATTAAGTCGTGTTCAATAGACTCAACTGAAAAAGGTGGTTTTTGCATATGGTTAGGTTGTCCCTGCACATGGTTCAGTTAGTAAAATGATCTATCAACGGATTGATAGATCACTCCATGATCTATTTGTCAGACCCTCACTGATATGGAAACCATGTTTACCATGAAACTCTTCTACTATTATATTTCCAACAGGCAGTGCCATCCCTTTGGCATTTGAGCTACATGGCTCCTATGGATCACTAGAATTCCCCATTTGTGAATCCCTAATTTTAGATATTGGAAAATAGATTAAGGGAAACTGTATCTTCTTCCTGGTTTTTCCTTACCTGCAAAGCAAATAAATCAACCCAAGCAATAATTTAATTTAATTCCCTTTCTGCACCAACATCAGTAACTTTGGTTTCTTTCCAGATTATACACCTTGTTGCCAAGGTCACCAACAATTATTCTCAAGGAAGCCTTTTTCTTTAGAGTAAATGACCAATAGTAAAACTCTGCTATTACCTTGTAGTTTCTTTTGACATAGTAAATGAAACCACTGGCAAAGGAATAATCTGTTACTGCTTTTTTCTAGGGAGGCTTAATCTACCAAGGGGGAAGCATCAAAAAGGTTGGATGCCTTGGTGTAAGTATATACTTTCCCCATTTTTATTTAGGCCAAAGATGGACCACCCACAGCTCATAAGCTTCATGTTTGGCCACCTTTTTTAACACTCCTGAATTAGATTATATTGCCAAGTCACACATTTTAAGGTGATTTCCCCTCCCACCCCACATAAGTCCTAAAATAGTTGTCTTATTCAATCTCCCAATTCCCCAAAAAGAAAGAAAAAGACGAATATTTTCTAGCTTTACTTGTTTTGGTGACATCATTTCCACTGTGGAATAGTGGTTAAATTACTAGATTAGGAACAGGAAGGCCAAGATTTTAATCCACCATCAGTCAAGAAAGCTCAATGGATGACTTTGAGCCAATCACTTGGGCTCTCAGCCCAATGTAGCTTGTTGTTGTTTTGAAAAAAAAAAAAGGCAATGGGATTTCCCCTGAGACCCTGGGAAAAAAGCTAGGATAGAAATATAAGAAATACATGAACTAAATAAGGATACCGCATGACTTCAAAACAGTAACAGGAACAACAAAATCTGCCTGTCCATGATATAATCTTTGCCTTCAAATAAGGCAAATTAAAACGAGATAATATTGAATATATGCTCTCTTATAAAAACTGGCATGAGTCTTTGGAAAGCATAACAAAGAGACCTAGTGGTGCAGTGGTTAGAATGTAGTACTTCAGGCTAACTTTGCCCACAGTCTAGAGTTCAATCCTGACGGACTAAAGGTTGACTCAAGCTTCCATCCTTCCAAGGTCAGTAAAATGAGGACTCAGAATGTTGAGGGCAAGAAGCTGACATTGTAAACCATCCAAAGAGTGATGTGAAGCACTGTGGGGCAATATATAAGTCTAAGTGTTATTGTTATTGCTATAACTTCAGCAAGGCCATTGTATTCCATAGGCTTTCAGTTTTCTACCTTCTTAGTGTAACGGAGGATACTGTTTTTGACTTACAGATGTGATAGAATTTGGAATGTGCCTTGTCTAGTCTTCCAAGAATAGTAACGATTTTGGAAAGTGTCTTTCCAGAAATTCCCTCTTTCAAAAGATTTCCACAAATGATGCTTTCCGAAAGATGGCTTCCAGTCTTAACAATCAAGACATAATTACACTTTTTTTGTTTGCTCCTTAAAAAAAAAATAAACCCTTCAGAATGGACCACAGAAATTGTGGCAAACAGAAGACAGTTAGAAAATCTAGGCAACATTCCTAGATGTTGCCTATATTTTGAGAATGAAGCAGGTATTTTTATAGCAAAAGCATTATATGAAAACAATGAAAGCCTCATCCTGGATGCAAAATATTCACATTTTGTAAAGTGTCTTCATTTAATTCTCTATTTTTCATACAGGGTGGAACTGCAAGTGTCTACAACAAATATGGTTGTGGTGATGTAAGTCTCCTGTTGTTTGAATGATGCTGTTGGAGAAATTAATTTTTAAAGTTTCACCTATGCTTAACGATTTGTGTTGCAACTGATACATATAAAAGCCATAAAACTAAACATACACACATAGAAATTATGAGCACATCCACGCCAATATTTCTTTTCCCCAAACTTTCATAAAGAAATCTGAAGCAAAATCTATAATAATCTTTATTTCTGCAAATCTTGAAATACAGCGAATGCCAGGAGCCAATCAATGCTCACTCTCCTTTTCCAGTTGACCAATAGCATCCAGTATCCTGCTTTCTCCTCTCCAACTGGAGGCTGGTCCTGGAGTAACAGAAATCACCTCACCTACATTCTCCAAAAGAAAACAAAAGAAGTTACTAGTAGCCCAAGTTGGCACCCACTTTCCTGTGCTTGTAATATCTGCGGACTTGAGAAAAGTACTGCAAACCTGGATCCAGAAGCCAAAAAGTAAAATAAGAGTTGGGAAATGGGCCAATGGGCCACCCAGAAGGTGTGCAGAACTGAAACAATTTTTAAAAAACATGCTGCGATTTCTAATGAATAAGAGCACAGTAAGAAATGAATCAACTGCCCCTACCCAAAATGTCATCATAAGATCAATCAGGTCCAGATCCAGTCCTGAAGAGTGCAAAATATTGGATGGGAAGTATCCTGCCATAACTTGATGCTGCATTTCAAGCATCATTCCATTTAAGTTCTCCCAAGGATTTTCCAAAGTTCTTTCTCAAGATTTAGACATTGGAATGCTGTGGGCTCCTTGATTTTTAATTTAATTTAATTTAATTTCCAATTTATATACCGCCCTTCTCCCTGAGGACTCAGGGCAGTGTACAGCCAAGATAAAAAACATAGAATACAAATATTAAAACATTTAAAAATATATATAAATTTTGTAGATCAGAGGTGATATTCAGCAGGTTCTGACCAGTTCTGGAGAACTGGTAGCAGAAATGTTGAGTAGTTCGGAGAACTGGTAAATACCACCTCTGACTGGCCCTGCCCCCATCTATTCTCTGCCTCCCGAGTCCCATTGATTGGAAGGAAATGGGGATTTTGCAGTAACCTTCCCCTGGATTGGGGAGGGAATGGAGATTTTACAGTATCCTTCCCCTGTCACACCCACCAAGCCATGCCACACCCACCAAGCCACGCCAGCAGAACTGGTAGTAAAAATTTTTGAATCCTACCACTGTTGTAGATGGACTCCCACTCTCTTTGGTCTCAATAAGCAAGCATAGCCAAAGATCAGTATTGTGGGAATTGTAGTCCAGAAACATCTAAAAACCTCTAGGATCCTAACTTAGATAGAGATTTAAGTTAAACATTAATGAACAGGAACATCCTGTTATAAATGCGAATCTCTTAAATTCTACCAGTTCTATTTACAGTTGGTTTTATTTTATTTGCAGGGAGGCATAGACACTAGTGGCGGCAGCAGTTATGGGCAGGTAAGAAATCAATTGGTATGTTAAAGGTTTCCAAAATATGTAGGCAGCCAAGGAAAGAAGTTTCCTAAACCGGTATACTGCTAGCCTTTCAGAGTAGACCATGTCAGGAAACAGATACCACAAGAAATATAAGTCTACCTTATTGATATAGGCTAAATTGCAATAAGAGAATATGGAAAGGCTGACAATGTTACTGTTTCCCTCCCTCTCTGTTACAATAAAATAGGATCAAGGCAGTGCTGTATTGATATTCTTTCTCATTCTTTCCTGTATGAAACCAGGAATTTCCACAAGGAGGGAGTTATAAAGAGGAGGGGCGTTGACTATGGGATGCCCCTTGCTTCTGGAAATCCCTCTGTATAGAACTGTTGTCCAAGGGGTGGAATAAACTGCTCCATGATGCCCCCTGGTGATGTTATAATCGATAAAATATAATACTAGCTTTTTGTTTTTCTTGCAGTCTGTTTCAACTATTTCAGATAAAGGGAAGGTAGGTTCTTTTTCTGAACTAAACCTCTGAAATATCCTTATGTAGGACCTTCTTTTAAAGTGCAACCATTCCTTGCAACAAACTTGTCTTCTGGTTTTTAATCTAAGTCATTATCCTGCCTCTGTATTTAAAGCTAAAACTAGAAGTAGATTGATTAACATTAGGCTCATGAAAAGATGGGCTAAGATATTTGGTTGCCTATGATGGAGCAGTAAATCCCCCACCCATCCACACCAAATTGCATAGAATCTAAGGCCAGACAAATAAAGGAGAAAACCCCCCATTAAATAGATACCATGGCCATTAACTTGCTGCCCTTTTATGGATACAGAAGCACATTTTATGTTTGTTCAGGCAGTATTGACACTAGTATCTGATACACATAGCTATAACTGTAGTTACAATTCTACTTTCTCATTTAAATCAGTGACTAGGCACCCACTGATTTTCATGAGGCAGCCTGCCATCATTTCTGTGTAAAATGACACTAACAATAGTCTGTTCAACTGGGCAGAAAAATGGAAATGATTATATGGTTTTCCTTCTTATTTTCCAGATATCAGTTACTTGGGAAGAATAGTTTTGAATCACTCTCCCATTTCATAGTTTTTTTTTCCTGGTTTAAAAAATTAAAAGCTTTTACAAGAGGGGTTTTCCAAATGAAATTTTTCCATTCATTCAATTTTTACAACAAATTTATAACAGAGAGAAATAAATTCTAAAGGACTCCAGCCCTTTCTATTAAACAAAATCTAAACAAAACTTTTCTCTGTGGTGATTTTTGACAGGTCGTAGTATATCCTCCTACGAAGCCTTTCCCACCTGAAGTAAGCCCTACTAATTTAATTCTTTAATTTTATTACTGTAAAAGAATGCAAAGTGAATGTCTAATTGCAACTCATTGATCATGTAAAGAACTTTTTGCTACTAGTCAAATAGAGAGGCTTTTTTGTAACTATTGTTTTTAATTATTCTTTTTTATCCTTTCTGTCTTCACAGCGTGAAACATATACATCGGTAAGAATGCTTGTTTCCCCAATTGGGCTCAAGTCAATGTGTTTCTAATACTTCCATTTAAAAGGTCTTTCCATCTTTCCTTCTGTAATTTTTCTGGACTAAAGAAAAAAAAAGGAGACGAAATAGTAGGGAACCATGCGAAGGTTATGAATGGGAAATTGTGCCATCTTGAGACACAAACATTCCTTTACAATAAAATACACTAAATTAGGTAAAGTGAGTGTGCCATAAAAGTTTCTTCTGGAAATATTTGTTTTTAATTCATGCATTCAATTTTCTGGTCCTGTAAAATTATTTCTGTAAATGAACTGCCTGCTTAGGGACTTCTAAAATGGTAACATACATATTTTTTTTCTCTACATTCTTTACACACATTACATTTTTATAGCACTTGTATGTCAAATTTTCACATATAATATTTCCAGACTGAACCTAGAACTGAAAAAAACAGTTATTATTCAAACTTTGCTAGAAACTGGTTCACAACCTCCCACAAAGAATGCACTTTCCTGTAAATGAGAATGAATTTATGTAGTTGATTTATGCTACATGAATATAAAACACAAAGACATTGCATTCTCTACGTGCAGGAAGCCAGCACGCAAAATACAAATTAACTGCTGCATTTAAGAAAGTATATGGATTGACAGGGTGTTCAAGGATAGGGAATGTAGATTTTTCTGTAACTCCCGCATTGCATAATACATTGTATTTTGAATCTAAACACTCAAGTACATTAGTAACAGATGCAATAAGTTACAAATAAGTCACATTTTTAAAGAAAAGAAATTCCATTTTCTTTCATTCATTCCAAAGTTATCATCTAATCGCTATGAAAATATTCTTTCAAAACCTTTCTTACATTGTGTGTTGGCACATGGTGGCCAGATGAGAGTCAGCAGGTTTCTTACAGTTCAAAAGCAATAGACTTGATCCAGAGTAAAATGCCAAAGAGGAGTTTATTAAATAAATATTAAGAGAGTTAACAGAGAAAAATATACCAGTCCAAATCCTTTTGGCATGCCAGAAACCCCAAGGATAGCATCAGATAAACCCTCTGAAGTCTTCTGTATAACTTCTGTTATACAGCAACCTTTTGAGATTTTGGATCTACACCAAGGTTCAAACTATCTGGGGAAGAAAAGTACAAAAATGTTTTATATTTTACTTAAGAGATAGTAAGTATAAACAAGATACCTGGGAATGGCTTGGTAGCACAGCTTATTGGGGACTTAATCATAATTTTAGATAGTGGATCCTTTGCCAAAAATATTTTTAAGGAAGGTAGAGTCTATAGTAGACAGTGCCCAGGGATCGTCTGATGGCATATTTCATCAATACCTTTGGAAGTGTCCCCTTGCTTATGAAAACATTGCTTTTAGGCAACTGCTGTTCCCCTCCCTTCAAAAATGCTAGATTAGTGGAATGGTGAATCATCCTCTTTATCTTAATGGTTACAAATAACACTACAAATAAGAAGCAAGATGAGTAATTAACAATAACAACGATGCAATCCACTCACAAGCAATTTCTTCTAAGCAAATGTGTGGACAAATTTGCAATATATAAATTGCTGCAGCTGGCTAAATAAACCTTTCTGCACAAGTATTTCTTGTATCTGGAAAGGGAAATAAAAGGGTTCACACCACTAACTCTTTGTCAACCATCCATGCTGCCAACACACATGGAAACATTATTAGAGTGATGTAGAGAATTCAAATGATATATTTTTTTCTCAATTTTTATAGCAACTTGCCAACTCCCACTACAAGCATATTCAGGTAAACATTTTTTCCTTTGCTTTATTTAAAACATAATATCAGTTGTTTATGCAGAATGCTCACTGGCAGATTTGAAAAGGAGGACTAAATCAGGGTTTCATATTTTGAATGGTTAGCTTGTCAACACTTGCTCAGAGCACTTGCTTATTTTTATTTATTTTTTAGTGTTTTCTACAAGTGCTGCATTCTACAAGTGCAAGAATGATGATCCATTGCTGCAACAAGAATTGATCAACAGTCTTGTTGCCTGAGTCAAACATTGTGGGCTGAGAGAGAATGACTGGCCCAAAGTCATCCAGCCGGCTTTCATGCCTAAGGCAGAATTAGAACTAGAGCTCTTGGTCTCCTGATTTCTAACGTTATGTCTTAACCACTAGACCAAAATGGTTCTTCACCTGGACAAATCCTTGTCGTTTCCTCAGCAAGATTTCAGAAGTGGTTTGCCATTGCCTGCTTCCTAGGGCTGAAAAAAATAATTGAACCAAAGTCACCCAATACGCTTTATGTCTAAGGTGGGACTAGAACTCACAGTCTCCCAGTTTCTAGCCTGGTGCCTTAACCAGTACACCAAATGGGTGTATTATACCAAGTTCAGTGTATTAATGAAATATTCAGGAGGAAGGTGGAGATAATATCAGCTGGTGCTGGGGTGGGGGGCACCTTCATGGTATTAACTCCTTTCCTTTACAACATATAACCCCCTGAGAGCTGGGAGTGGGAGGCCCTCTCCTCTTAGCCTTTTGAAAAGCCTTGAAGACCTGGGATACTTTAAGACTGGAGCCCAGTTAGGTTGTTTGTGGAGATGTTGCCAGAACCTTTTGTACTGGTTTTTATTCTCTTAACTGTTTTTATTCTTGTTTGTAAACCATCTGAGATTACAGATGTATAAAATGGACAGCTATGGAAATATGTTGTATATGTCTGTGTATGTATATTTGTGTGTGTCTGTGTCTGTATATGTACATGTACATGTATATACACATATACACACACATATACACACACACAAATATCTATCTATCTACCTACGTACCTACCTACCTACCTACTTATCATCTATTTATCTATCTCCAAGGATGAAAAGAGTACTCATTTGTAGAAAAGAAATTATTGTAGACTCAAAATAATTGGGGTAAAATGCATACAATATATATTTCTACAACACAGAGATTAATCTGCAAAAAAATACCATAATTAACTGTTAATATCTGTCCTTTTGCAGAGCACTAATTACGGTGAAAAGATCCAGAGCCAGGTATGATTTCTTTTCTCATTTATTGCTTTCAACTTTTTAAGTTATTTAACCATACATTAATCATGAATTACAGATAAAAACGGATAGCTAAATTCCATTCTTTAATCACATGGCAAATTACTACATGGAGTTGAGATGATGTTACTATAAGAGCATGGAGTAAACCATCTGGATTACAACCTTACTTGCGGATGCAGCTAGCTGATAATCTTGCAAGTTTCCATTGGCAGTGGTTGTGTGTTTTTCGTTTTGCATGGCTTTGAAGGAGAGGAAGTACTGTACATTAAATTAGAAATTTCAGCATGGAAACAATGTACTAGTGCATAACTTTGAATGAAATCTGAGAGAGGTGACTTCTCTTCTTCACCCTCACCTTTGTGACCTCCTGTTAACTTTTCAGAATCTGCAACAGAGCCTGGGGGAATCTTATGGAAGAGATTTTGAAGGGGTGTTGGAGACCCAGAAAAAAGGGGGAATTGTTTCATTCTCCTAGAAATAGTGCCATCTGCTGAGAAACCTAATTAGGCTTTGCCACTCCCACTCATCTCGTTCACAAGACCTCAAATGAAAGGAAGGCTATTTTCATTTTTTGTATCGGTAATTAATGATTTATGGTTAAATGACTGAAAACAAAGCCCCTTTGATACATCATCCAAAAATGGCAGGCAATGAATAGTTTTTTGCCTCACCGATTATTTCAGCATATGACAATATAAATGGTATTTTCAACCGATAAAGGAAATGGTTCTTTCTTTTTGAGTGGAGAAATAGTTACTGTATGAATTATTTTTGCCATGTAAGTTTTCTCTGAGCTTTATCCAGAATGATGTTCTTTGAGGCTGCTGTTATATACATGCTCTGCATGACCTAAAAACTCCAGTTCTAAATCACTCTTTGAAGGTTTTATGAAATTTAGGATCATTTTTTGTTTATAGTTCTTTTCACAGAGAGATTGCCTGCTCTAATTCCCCACTTCCCTACCTCCTGCTTTTCCAACACTGTTTTATTCACACAAATACTGGGTAAGCTGTAAGGTTTATGTCTGCTGGCTTGCTCTACTCTCAGAAAATATATTTTACATGGACAATAGCCCAACAGCACCTGGTACAGCAAAGAACATTTTTGATTTTCTGTTTGTGAAGGATGAGTTAGGACCTACTTGTTATAACAAGTGGCAGTGACTCTTAGAATAAACTCAGCCCCTGATAAGTTCCTATTTGTAAGTGAAAAGTCCTGATTGGCTGGTGTTTTCACATCTGGACTTGCAATCAAGATATTGATTGCAAGTCCAGACAATTGGGGGACTCTAAATTTAAATCAGTTTCGGTGGTCCTGATTTTAATTTTGTGCACCTGCAAATGTAGGTCTTTGCAGTCTATGATTCTCCAAACAAATAGAGACTAACAATTGTCTATCCAAGCTACCGGAATTTTCAATAAGACTGTAAAAATGGACTGCTGGAATAGGGATAAATGCCACTTTTTCAGATTGGAACATTTGGAAAACCTTCTCTTTTTTTGAGTGATATTTAACACTCTATTTGGTAGATGTATTTGATTGATTGAGTCATAAATCGGGCAGGTTAGAGTTAAAAATTGCTACTCATCTTCTGGATGTATGAGAATAGAAACACTGTTCTACAATTAATATCTGCATTTAGGGAAAATCTACTTATTTGTTTACATTTAGCAATGGCAAATTTTGTGGATAAATAGTAAAGAATTCAGAGGTTTGTCAGTGCCCTAGAATCTTATAACCCTTAGTTATCCTAACTGGTAGTTACAGAAATTGAGGGCTGGGAAGAATTGATTAAACACTATAAAATAGTTGCAGTTCTACAACTAATGTTATGTAAAATTGTTGCTTTATTCTACAGGGTTCAAATCCTGAAAGTGACATCCGTATTACAATTCAGGTAACTATTATTTATTTGCATTCAACTCTTCAGTTGATAAAATCATAAAAATTATGTCCACTGCTAATGTGCCTTGGATCACTAACCTGCAAATAATATTTTCAAAAATATATCATGACCTTCTTTTTCCCACAAATGTTATACATCAAGTACATTCTCATTCTAAATCATAATATCACCTGGCTTGGGCTTCCAGAATATGTGGTTCAGGCCAGCAGAACTTGCTTAATAAATCATTAAAACAAATCATAGTTTAGTGCAATGCATTAATTCAATCACAGTGTTCAGAATCCTAAACCTGATGCTGAACAAATGATGGGCAATCTTTGTGATTACTTTACAATCTATAGGCCGTTCTAACTTCATGGAAACTTTAATCCAGATTTGGATCTGCCTAGTGTATAAAGCTGTGTTGACTATTTTAAAAAAGAGTGCTGCAGTTAATTGACTTGGAGGAGCATTTTAATTAAAAATGTTGAGAGTAGGACGACAGACAATCCTAAAATAATTGCTGGAAAATCCTAAGAATTTAATCTTGGCTTCCTCCATATGTAGATCTGATTTAGCTGCCAGTTCCCGGATGTTAAACACAAATAAGAAATGAAAATTAGATTCTGTTAAGTGCTTAATTTTCTTAATTAAACAGAAGATAAATTACAATACCTAGAATTCTTGGCCAACCTGATCATTGGAAATTGTATTGGTTATAATCCTAACACATCAGGCTCACGCCAGGTTAGGAGAGTTGGCCTAGAGCATCTGTACTACGTTTAGTTCTGCATTTAGCCCAGATTTTAATATCTAAAAAAAAGCATTACTCTTCTTGATACCCATTCATTTCCCTCAGAAAATATTTTTAGTATCCTATCTGTATTACCTGAGTTATAGTGCCACATAATGGGGGTGAGCTCCCGTTACTTGTCCCAGCTTCTGCCAACCTAGCAGTTCGAAAGCACATAAAAAATGCAAGTAGAAAAATAGGGACCACCTTTGGTGGGAAGGTAACAGTGTTCTGTGCGCCTTTGGCATTTAATCATGCCGGCCACATGACCACGAAGACATCTTCGGACAGCACTGGCTCTTCGGCTTTGAAACACAAATGAGCACTGCCCCCTAGAGTCTGGAACGACTAGCACATATGTATGAGGGGAACCTTTACCTTTTATAAAGACCTGATTAGAGAGCCAGTTTGGTCCAGTGGTTAAGGCACCAGGTTAGAAACCAGGAGACTGTGAGATCTAGTTCTAGTCCCATCTTAGTCATGAAAGCCGGCTGGGTGGCTTGGATCAGTCATTCTTTCTCAGCCCACAACATCAGATTTGGGCAACGAGCCAGTCAGTTGGTTACAACCTACGTATCAACACTCACTTTATCTTTTTTTTTTTTTTGACCCTGCACTTGTGAGAAAACTGTTAAGAAAAAAATAAAAACTATAAAGATCTTGCTTCTCTATTCAGCTTTTTAATTACACTTAACATAATAGACCCAATTAATGTTTACATTCAAGAGATTAGGTTTGTTTAACTGGAAAAGCAATCATAGTTATATACTGTATTGGATGTTCTTCCAACATATTCTTCTAATGTATTATTTGTAACATAACTACAGATAATCCTTGAGTTACAATCACAATTGAGCCCAAAAGTTATGTTGCTAAACATTTGTTAAGTGAGTTTTGCCCCATTTTACAAATTTTCTTGCCATTTCTTCTTAAGCGAATCATTGCATTTGTTAAGTTAGTAACATGGTTGCTAAGTGAATCTGGCTTCCCCAATCACTTTGCTAGTCAGAAGATCACAAAAGCAGATCACATGACCCCAGGACACTGCACAGGTCATAAATATGAACCAGTTGCCAAGCATCTGAATTCCGATCATGTGGCCATGGGGATGCTGCAATGGTCATAAGAGTGAAAAACGACTCTAAGTCGCTTTTTCAGTGGCGTTGTAACTTTGAACAGTCACTAAATGAACTGATGTGAATCGAGGATTACTTGTACATGAAATGTTTCTTGTTTTTAAAATGGCTTCTGTTATGTTTCCCTAGAGTGGACAACCTATGAAAGTTTGTGATAAGGTAAGCATTCTTTCACTATCAACATCACTGAATCAAAGTAGTTTATAGGTATCCCTCTAATTTTGAAGAATGAGTTGACAAATAGAGGAGGATAAATCTGTCCTTTGCTGCTAGGCTGGCCAGCTAGGTCTAGAGTCAAAGGTGTTACTAGAGAACCAGTGCAATGTAATAGTTAAAGTGTTGGCCGAAACAAGGTCCAAGTCTACTCTCACCAAAACTTTGAGCCAGGCTGAATTTTCCAAACTCGCATCCTAATTTTTGCTGTTAGGCTTAGCTAGATGGTTTATCTGGACTTAGATGCGGCTGACGTGGCAACGAATGGCAACATGCAGCTAAGCTCAGCTTTGAATAAGGAGAGAAGAACTTTTTCTTTAGAGACTGTGGTTAGATCCACAAGCAGGAAGTATTCTCTATTGGCTATCGTTAACATGCAGGTGTGGAAGACAAGCAGCTATTTTTCCTCGTTCTAGAACAGGGAAGTCAAGCTAGCGGCCCACAGGCCGGATGCATCACGTGCTGGCTCCGCCCCTACCTGGTTTAACAAAGGGGGGAAGTCCCAATACGTCACATGACGCTGCCATGACGACACGAGTTTGATATCCCTGTTCTAGAAGATAAAGAAAGCATGATTAGAGGCAAAACTGTCTACTGTTCCTTGCCGAATCATAGCTTGCAGTGAAGGTGGTAACACCAGCAAGGCATATGGAGGCTACTGAACACTAGCATCCTGCAATCTGCCAAAGGATACTAAATCAAGGATGACTGGTCTCCTCATTAAAAGCCAAGCTAGTAGGGAAGAAGGGAAGATGTGTTTAACAGCAACTATTGGATAGGGCATTCAAAAATTAACTTGTCAACAGAACATCTGTGCAACAAAACAGAAATTTTGGACTTCTGCAGCTGTAAAATACTACCAAGAGAATTCCGCAAAAATATGAAATATTAAGACATACATATACTTTGGGGGCACGATGGCTTAAGGGTTAAAGACACAGAGCTTGTCAGCTGGAAAGTGGACAGCCTAGGTTCAAGACATGAGTGCCGCCCAATAAGGTGAGCTCCCATTCCTGCCCCAGCTCCTTTCCACCTAGCAGTTCAAAAGCATTCAAATGCAAGTAGATTAATAGGTATCACTTTGGTACAAAGGTAATAGCATTCTGTGCACCTCTGGCATATAGCCATGCTGGCCACGTGACCAAGGAAATGTCTTAAGACAATGCTGGCTCCCTTGGCTGAGAAACGGAGATGAGCACCGCACCCTAGAATCAGACACAACTGGTCAGGGAAAACTTTACATGTATTTTATGTATGCTTTAGAAGCACTGTCTGGCTTCTAATCATTCCATCATTCCATTCATTTCCAAATAACTGTTTCTTTCTTTCTTTTTTATAAACAGACCTCTTCTTCCTACAACAGCCAAGCCTGCAAATTGGTAAATATATTCTCAAAACTTGAACTGTTTTTTAAAAAAGTGTTCTTTTAATGTACAAAAAGGTATGGAAAGAGAAAAACGCAAAAGGAGAAACAGCAAATTCAGCCTTATTTTTTAACATATCACAAAACATTGACCATGGAAAATCAGTCTTTCCATTATGCTGATTTAGAGCCAGCTCTTAAACAGAAAGCAATGCACATAAGGATCTCAAGACTGAAAATCTTTCTAGTAGTGAGGAATTATCGTTTTTGTTCCTGACCATATTCAGTATACCCATAATAATTTTCATATCAATGTTCCAAGCTTTGGCTCTATAATTCCAAAATATATTTCCGCTTTCTTAACAGACTATACAGTCTTCTTCATCTCAGAGTGGTGGCTCTTCTGTCTCTCAGGTACACTTTTTTTTGATATACATGAGTCCTGTTGGCTTCACTAGGATTTTGGGGGTGGGGGTTGTTTCTGATGGTACGTATCAATGTGAGAAATCTGGAGGATTTATTTATGTAGCATATGGCAGCAGCCCCCAACCTTTTGGGCACTGGTTCTATGGAGAAAGATTTTTCTGTGGACCGCAGGGGCACGGTTTTGCATGCTACTTGCATCCTACAGATGGGGCTTTGCTTGTTTGCACCAACCCGTCGCTGGCATGCCTTGGACTGGTACGGTCCATGGACCAGGGGTTAGGGATCCCTGGCGTATGGCATATCAAAAAGACTATCAAAATATATTAACATTTCACCTACATTAGTAAAACACAATAAAATATAAATGTTAAAAAGATCTATGTTCAAATACCAAGGTCTAGACCAGTGTTGGTGAACCTTTTCGGCACCGAGTGCCGAAATGGGAGTGCCTGCGTGTACGCAGGGGAGCACCGGAAACCAGAAGAGTGGTTCCCCGATGCACATGTGCATGCTGGGAAGCTGAGCTTCTGGTTTCCGGCACATGCATCCATGCCGGTCACCTGGTCTTCCGCTTTCTAGCATGCATGCGCGCATGAAGACCAGGTTGGTGCACACATGCGTGCCGGAACCCAAAAGAGCAATGGGCGACAGCTGGTGTGCCCAGAGAGATGGTTCTGTGTGCCACTTCCAGCACGCGTGCCATAGGTTCGCCATCATAGGTCTAGGCCATCTAGCCAATGAAGCACAGCATTGTTTATATTGATAAAATCAGATACTGGACCAGTATATGCCCTCAGCTTAAAGCCAGTTACGATGTGATCTACAGTTTGAGTATTATTCCTCATTATATACTTCTGAAAATCTCTGAAACTTTTAAAGTCTGGTGGGAGGAACCTGTGGTACAGTTCCTTCTGATAAAAATTCACTCCCTTTTCTGGGAGGGCGAAGATAAATGTGGAAAGGAATTCTTTATGAAACCATCCCATGCATTATTTCTTCATAGAAGCAATCTTCTCCAACAGAGATTTCTATCCATGTATGTAGATAAGGCTGCTGGGATTCCACTCCCAGATGTATTTAAAAATCTTGATTTATGCTATCAAATTCTCACTTGGAAGAATAAGTGCAGAGAAGGATATTTTAAATCCTTTACTCATTCCAAAAACTAAGCAAAATTGCTTTCCTGAGAGAACTTGTCAAATGTAAACCAGCAGTTTACATTTCATGGATATGGCACTAATTTTGTTCGTGATCCCTTATTTAGCTACTGCAGATAAGCCTTCAGAGGTTAGTTGTCTAAATTATCCCCGAAGTTATAGAAAACATTCACCCTGGGAAGTTTTTCGACAGTAATTATATTCTTTACCAGTATTGATTCCACAGCAATACAGACAATAATGATATCTGGAGTCTTGCAGTGTCTATCTCAACTTAGATTTTTGTTCAAAAGAAACTATATTTTGGATACTGTCTGTCTGTCTGTCTGTCTGTCTGTCTGTCTGTCTGTCTGTCTGTCTGTCTATCTATCTATCTATCTATCTATATATCTATCTATCTATCTATCTACCTATCTATCTATCCTCATCTATCATTCTATCTCTCATCCACCCACCCACCCTCCCACCCATCCATCCATCTCCAAAACATCTACATATAACGTCCTTCTTGAACTCAACAATTTTACAATATTTCCTATTTGCTTAATTATTATTTTTTTTTTACTTTTAGCAATTGGAACGCTAATTTTCTCCTCCTTTGTATAGTTTGTGACGATGCCTTTTTCACACCAGGATTTGTCGATATTAGGGTTATTTTAAGAAATATGTTCCATTTCATACAAAACCGATATCTGTAGTAATGCTTTTTTTCATCAGGGTGAAACAATTATAGTTGGTGGTGGTAGACCTTCTACTTCAGTTGGCGGCAGTGGAACTTCAATTATAGTTAGTGAAGGTAGACCTTCTTCGGTTGGCAGTAGTGGAACCTCGATTATAGTTGGTGGTGGGAGGCCCTCTACTGGTTCATCATCTACATTTGGCAGCAGTGGATCTATTGTATCATCTGGCAGTAATCCTTGTGGTCAGGTTAGTATCTTTCCTCACAAATACAACCTGCTAAAGTGTTTCTTATGTTCTCCTTGTGAAGAGAGGACTTTCCACTTTACCCTACTTTACGCAAAATACAATTTTAATGTAATCGCTGCAGTTCAATTTGACATTGGGAAAGCTTGCATATAATCTTAGGCCATGGTTGTTTGTATAAGCTGGAAAAGAGAGTAAATCTACTCTGTTGTCCTACTCATCCAACATGGCTGCAAGGAGGTCAGCTAAAGTATACATGTTTTCTTTGAATTATGTTTGACTAGTTAAAAATAGCTTGTTTTAATGTATAATTAGCTAACAGTATTGTTAGGTTTGAATTATACCACAAGCAACAATTAATTAAAAAACAGAAGCAAGGTTTTCATTTCCCCTCACCCCCAGCCACATTAGCAGAAGAAAAGAGAATATGAAAACTTGCTGTGGCTTGTTTTCATTATATTAAACTATTCTCTAGAGTTACATATGAGCCAGCTGTTTATTTCCATAATCTGATAAATGCCTGCTTGTATCCATTCTGATTATTGTAATGTGTGGAAATTCATCATATTTAAACAGAAAGTTTTATAATCAATTTTGAGTCATGAATCCATCTGTTGGCTGAAGGACTCTTATTTCTGATTATGATTGCAATGTCTTTTCTTCAGTTGAGGCATTTTTTTTCTCAACTTAAGCTGTAATGTGCAAATACTAATATTTTAATTAATTGATACTGTCAATTAACAAACTGCTTATCTATTTTTTTTCCCTGCAGGGAAATATCCCTGGCAAGAATCCTTGTAAACCGGTAAGATTTATTTATTACTGAGGGAAAATTGTGGTCCTTCAAATACTTGTGGTTATATTTTGATGTCAGAAAGGTACCTAGTGCCCATTCCTGCCCCATATTCATTGAAGACGTGCTTCTAATTTCCTTAATTGGCAAATTCTATTGCCTTGAGAAACCAGTGACAAGCTGAACATGGATTTAGCAGCTGTTGATTTTTGAACTACTGGATTTTCTTTCCTATAATTATCATTGTGACATCTAGTGCTTAAACATCCAAAAAGCAACGCCAATCCATTACTGAACAGGAGGTGGCATTGCTAATGTGTGCTTGAGAAATTGCTTTAGACGAAATCTTCCCAACCTTTTAACTGATTAAAAAGGCTGTGCCATTCCTTTTTTTTTTTTGACATGGAAAAATGCTAAACACAAATAAGGGCACTATTTTCCTTTGAACTTAAACAAATCTGCATTGGCCACATTACAGGCTTATGTAAAATTCTATACTCGTAACATTTGAGAACTGTGTTAATTGGATTTTTTTTATTATTAAGTGAAATTATGCAACAAAATATATTAAGTAAAAAGAAAAGGGCTCTGGCTGGAGATTGCCACTGTGTTCCCTTATTTGTCTTTACTCCCTCCAAAACTATTTCTTGTCTGACAGGATTTTCCCCTAAAATTGTTCTTTCCTATGTAATGTCATGGACCGTTAAATGGATTAGAAAACTTGTAAAGGGTCTCTTACATTGAAAACACTTCAGTTGCTTTCAGAGCATTGGCTTTTAATATAGTCAAAAGGTGTACTGTTGCTACTGAATAGAAATGTAAAAATGTAAGAAAAAAAAGGGAAAGAAAAACTCAGTAGAAAAACATGGGAAAATTCCAGCAGAAAACAGCAACATCTGATATATAAAGCTTTATGAATAAAACAAGAATGATTGCACAATTAAAAAAAGAACTTCAGCAGAAACACTCTTTGAACCTGTTCCACAGTAAATAAATTTCAAAACCTTCGGATGCTCTGAAGAAGATATAAATCATCTACATCAGGGGTGTCAAACTCAATTTCATTGAGGACCGCATCAGGGATGTGTTTGATCTCAGGATGTGTGTATGGCTAGGGTGGGCGTGGCCAGCTCGACATCACTTGTGGTTGGGGCGCCTGTGGTGGCCCGAGCACTCTGCCAGCAAAAATGGAGCTCAGGAGGGCTGCAGGAAGCTGTCGCAACTGAAAACGGAATTCAGGAGGGGCACACGTAGCCCTCCTGACCTCCTTTTTTGCTGGCAGAGGCACCACGGGCCGGTCCTTCGCTGTTTCCAGGGTGATCCCGCGGGCCATAACTAAACACCCGGCAGGCTGGATTCAGCCCGCGGCCCTTGAGTTTAACACCCCTGATCTACATGGGTGCATTTTCATTGTAATAGTGCCCCAGTCAGCCATATGTGGACAGCTACCTAGATAGTTAATATATGTTCAATCAATAACGTAAGACTAGAAAAAGCTAATATATCCTTTGGGACCATAAGAAAAATCACAAAATCCTAATAAAAGATTGATGTAATATCAATTTTGGAATAAAGTTTCTATATGCTCCAAAGATTATTTTTCCCCAAGCTAACATTTTAGGTTGTAATGTTGCATAGTCATTTTTGCATAGGACAAATGGACAAAGTGGACAAACTGGACAAAATGGCAATCTTGGTTTATCATTTACACAAAAACATCCATTGGAAATATCCTGTCTGTAGGACAATTCCAGCAAATTTGAAACAACGTTTGCTTTGTTTAAATGTGCCTCACTTTGGACTGGGAGAAGCCACAGCTTCATGTTCAGACAATATGGCAGGCAATGCTTACAAAGAGAGCTTGGAAATCATTGGTCATACATTAGCAGCTAAATCATCTGTCTAGTTTTTCAAAATGCAGTCAGGAAAGAGGAAGAGACATTTATTTAATGCAGGTCACTTAAATGAGAAAGCATGTTTTTGCACTATGAAGAAGTAAGTTCTTTAAAATAGTTAATAGTGAATAGTTTACTTTATTGTCATTGCACCTAATACAACGAAATTAAATGCCATCTTCATAAGATGTACATTATACATAAAAATAAAACAAAACATAAAACAAGAACATAAGAAATTAAGAGTGTAAAAATTATTTGGCAGGATAGCTCATCAAATTAGATAACACTCATGCTCTCCTTGAATATTATAACATAACTGTCTTGTTCGAGTGGAAGAAATTAAATTAATTTAGGGTTTGCTCTGCTATTTTAAATATTTTGGATAAAGAATCCAAAATTACTCATCCTTTTCTTATGGTGTTACCAAAAAAGCAGCCCATCCAAAGTTGGCTAAACTTAATTCTGTTTTAAGACCTCCTGGCAAAACCATAGCCACATCTTCATTAAAAAGACATATTGTATAATCCTTGGCACTCATATAAAATCCATATTTATAATGTTTTCACTCGTCGTTTCTCCCATAGGCTGGATCATCATCTCAGCAAGGTTTTGGAAGTAGCCAGGTAAGGACAGAACATATTGTCTTGTTTTATATCTACTAAGAATTTTGTGTATTTTTGAAGGGCCAATTTACAAAAAAAATTCTTGTTTCTTTGCAGAGTGGTTCATCCCAGCAAGGTTATGGTTCCCAGGTAAAATCCATCTTTCAGTGAATCTGTTTCAAAAAATGCAAAAGCTGCTGCTTGGTTCGCTATACTTTTTGAATAATAATAATTAGAACAACTGTGACAAACAAAAGCAAAAGATTGAACTTGGGTCAATCTCAAAACATCGGGAGCACTGTTTGAATGCCATCAGCATTGACAAAATCACTATCAGTCAATTGCAAAAGGCAACCTTACTTGGAACAGCTTACAGCAGGACTGTTAAACTCACGGCCTGCGAACCGGATGCGTCACGCGCTGGCCATGCCCACACCCGGTCTAGTGAAGGGGGGAAAAGTCCCAATACGTCAAGTGACAATGCGGTGACGATGCGAGTTTGACACCCCTGGCTTACAGCCTGCAATGATTTTAACATCACCACTACCTTTAACACCATCAAACATCTACATCTGCTAATCCTAGGTCCTTGGGAAGAACTCAGTAGGTGGATAAAACCCCAAAATCAGGGGTGAAATGTAAAATTTATTACTACTGGTTCTGTGGGCGTGGCTTCATGGGGGGAGGGTAATGTGACTGGGTGGGCGTGGCCAACTTTTTTTAAAAAAAAAACTTTTCAAAGCATTTTTTCTAATGCTTTGAAAAGCCTCTGGCGATCAGGCAACTCAGCTGGGATTGTCAGAGACTTTTCAAAGCATTTTTTTAACCGCCTCTTCAGCCAAGAGGTTGCAGAAAAAAATGCTTTGAAAAGCCTCTGAGGATCCCACGTGATCGTCAGAGGCTTTTTTTTTTTTACTTTTAAAAGCATTTTTTTGTTAGAAGAGGTTGTAGAAAAAATGCTTTTAAAAGTAAAAAAAAAACTTCTGATGATTGTGCAGCTCAGCTGGGCATGGTGGATATGTGTGCAGGGATTTTTGCTACCAGTTCTCCGAACCACCCGCCGCCACTGCTACCGGATCAGGTGATCTGGTCCAAACCGGGAGCATTTCACCCCTGCCCCAAATCCAGTCTAAACATTTGGCTGACTGTGTGACCAACCATAATATAATATTAAAAACTATTCATCTTTTTGGATGGCTTATCACAGCACTCTTTGGAAATAATCAGGTTGACCTATTTTTAATATTCCATCATTTTAGCCTGTTCCACTCTTGCTTAAAAAGATGGGCCATTTTACAAAGGTTCAGTTTGCACCGAATGAATGAATGAATGAATGAATGAATGAATGAATGAATGAATGAATGAATATTATTTCTTTATAGGAAGGGTGGGTTTACTTTCTATTGCTCTTGTCAACAGATAGAAAGTAAACAAATAAATGAGCAAATAAGTATTCTGTTTTCTTATTTCTTTTTCCCAACAACCTGACTTAAATTAAGAGCTTTGGCAGCTCCAGATCTTCACAGCCACCACTCTCGATCTCTATGAGCATGGGAGCAAATTAGGGTATCCCACACTTTCCCCTTGGAAATCTAGCACATGCTCTCATGACCAACTGCCTTGTAATCAAAGTCTTTTTGTTAGTAGCATCAGATGAAGTAAGCTTTCCTTTATAAACCATTATTTGTTTTCAGACAATTAAGTTTCATGTACCTGTGCAGTTTCTGCCTATTTTGTACTCAGAATATAGAACATCTTTTCTTTTTTATTATTATTAAAACAATACAAAACATACATTTATATACATAAACTCTTTTTACATATCCTGTTATGGTTCTCCAAGGTATCACAGTCACAGATTGGGAACCACAGCACTGAGGGGTGTACATTTTAAATATTGTGGTTATTATTCAAGTAGATGCTTTGAAAAAGCATTTCAATAAAACAGTAGACCCAGATCAGAAAAATAAAGGGTAGTGATTAAGTGATATAATCTGAAGTCACAAGTAAGCTGTTGTTGGCTTGATCATAGTTCATTGAAAAGCCACCATTTAGTGAACGGTTCGAAAGAGCTATAAATAGAACATCTTTTCAACAAGAAAAATAACTTCTTCTGTTATAGACTGCATGTACATGCCCAAACACACCCAAACACACACACACACACACACACACACATTCTAAATTTGGTGTGACCCACTGGTCACCGGTGATTGGCAGGTAATGAATGAATGCTGGTTGGGATATCATCAGTGCCTGCTAAGAGAATTTTCTCCTTACATCCACACCAATTTGAGAATTTTTTTTTCAATGCTTTCTATTCCACAGTGCTTGAGCAACCACCTGCTTATTCATAGGAGTCTTCCACTGCTTAAAAAGCAGTGAAACTTCATCTCCTTGAATTGCTTTTTTTAATTCTTTTTTGTTGTTACCTCCATTGGGAGCAAGCTCTATATACCATGGGTTCTCAGCCTGATTTCAAAATCCTTTGGCAAGAGATTAATTTACTGTTCTGCAAGAGATATGTGTGGAGTTCCAAGATTTGGCATTTGGAGCAGTTTAGCAGCATCACTTAATGAGAGCAATTAATCCTACAGAACACTTTTACATACTCTCCCACATTCCACAACCCGGACTATCCAGCTTAAACCAGGATAACTGGCGGAACAACAAAATGAACTTTGTCTTCAGTTGCATTTCTTTACTCCAAGAGGGGTGAAGGCATCAAGAGGGGATGGATGCCACATCACCTACAGAGCACAGGGGCCCATTATTTTTCTAGTAATTTGTAGCCATCTCCAGCTTGTTCATGCCACTTGAAGGCTGGGATGCTGACTCACAATGGGACGACTATGCGATCAGTATACTGTATAGCAATGATTGAGATACTATATTCTCTTAAAAAGAAATAGCTTTGAAATAGACCTTGTTTCTTTTTGCCTTACTCTAGGGTGGTTCCTATTCTCAAGGGAACAGAAATCCTTGTGATGGGGTAGGTCCCTTTTTCTAAACCACTTTTTCTAATCTTGATTTAAATGGCCCTTAGATTAACCTGACAATCTTTCCCAATGGCAGTTTGAAGTGGCAAATGTCATAACATTGCAGTTTGTGTGGAATGTTAAGTAATAGCATAATAATTCACTGTTTGCTTTAAATAAAATACAACAGCTTCAGTCAAAGGAGACCTTCTGTTATTTTCCTTCTGTGCATTCTCAATTATGTTATGCTATTTTAAACTAACTCTCAGCTACCTTAGAGTAACTTTTAGTGGAAACTCTAAGTCACCTAGATAGTGGAAACTCTAAGTCACCTAGGAAATGTATTATTTGCAATATGTTAAAATATTTTTATTTATTGTATTTATTGAAAGCTTTCACTGTATATTGTAGGTGGAAGGGCTGATCTAGAAAGTACACTGAATCAGATTACAAAGGTGTAGTTTACTTTGCAATGATTGAAAAGTCTCCATTTTAACAAGGAAGAAAGATAAAACTTAAATATGCAACCTGAGCAGGATGAAGCTGACTCATACATCAATGGGAAACTACCAGGGTCACTTTCACCACTAGTGGAAACTAAACTGAAAAGCATCACGGAAAAATATGGCAAATTACTCCCATTATGTTGTTTATGGAATAGTTGTGTCCATTAATCTACGTTGTCTGATTTTTGTCTGTCTTGGAAAGGAAAGACTTCTAGTTCTTATTGAAAAATAACTAAAACCAAAACAGAGTGCATTTTCGTTACATTTGAACATGTGTTTTCCCTTACAGAGCACTATTGGTAAAATAATCAGCAGTAGCAACTGTCCAAAGGTAAATATGCTTTTTCTCCCTGTAATTGTACAATTTGATAGGAAAAAGATACCAGTGGGAATCATACGCATTCTATCCATAGCTGGGATGTTCTAGACAGCTCATAGTTAAATAATTTCTGTGTGAAAATAGATGTATAGGTGGGCTAAATTCCTTGTGTGTCCAATCACACTTGGCCAATAAAGAATTCTATTCTATTCTGTTCTGTTCTGTTCTGTTCTGTTCTGTTCTGTTCTGTTCTGTTCTGTTCTGTTCTATTCTATTCTATTCTATTCTATTCTATTCTATTCTATTCTATTCTATGGGCAATTGTACTTTTAATCATTTTCCTTTGAGGAACCTCAAATCATAGCCAATATTGCCCTCTACTGTTAACTGGTTCTATACACAAATGATAGGGCTCTTTACATAGCACAGGTGACATATGTAGGTATTGATGCATTTATTCAAGAAAAAAATTAAATGCACATATTAACTTCATACATTTTCTGTACAGTGGGTATCAAGTGGATCCTATGGTGGCAGCAGCGGCAGCAGCGGCAGCCAATATGGACAGGTAAAAATCTTGTTTAGTGTAGATATTATATATAATTATACATTTCTAAGTGGGGGGGAAGTATGCACTTTTTGATGTTCTGAACAATATTAGAACTTTGTATGGATCTTGCGGATATACGTAGGGAGCGAATACTTTTTTACCAGTTGTATGACTTACTAAAGGAGAATGATATAGAAATTAGGAAAGGGAAGTAGCCATAAAATATTATAGAAGGAAGACAAAAAGAGGGTATAGCAGCTTTGTACAATTATATTTAAGATCATCCTTGGATAATTTTTGATTATTTTCTGCACAGAGTGGATCCTATGGCAGCAGCAGCAGCCAATATGGACAGGTAAGCATTCTTTGGAAATAAAAAATATATGTAACATATTAGAACAATATGTGTATATATTAAAATAATTAATTAGTGGAATGAGTTGCCTCCAGAAGTTGTGGGTGGTCTAACACTGGAGGTTTTTAAGAAGAGATTGGACAGCCATTTGTCTGAAATGGCATAGAGTTTCCTGCTTGAGCAGGAAGACCTCCAAGGTCCCTTCAACTCTGTTATTCTGTTATATGCCTTAATAACACAAAAGAAAGCTAGAATTGTGGAGTTGGAATCTAGAACAATCTAAATCCTATCCTTTGCAAGGTGCAGGAAAACTGAGAAGTAGGAGTCTCAAAAATCTCTAGAAAACTCACAATCTCTTCTAGGCACACCAAACAACTGTCTTATAGATTCTACTGTGAGAATTCCTTTGTAGTTAAATGAAATCAAGGTACCTGTGGCTTATAACCATCATGAGCCATAATTTCTTGGGTTATGGAAAATCATTCTTTAACAGTCTTCCTTATATGGATCTGAACATAGTTATCTGTCTATCCTAAATCTCTCCCCCCCCACCCCCAGAGTCATATCCCCAAGATATTACAGAGTAGTTTCATAGAGTCATAATTTAGGGTGACTATAATTTCATTTCAGAAATAATACATTCCTTTCTCACCCCTCTGGATGGTCTGTGTCTTCCTTAATCTTGGGTCCTCTACCAGACGCCTGGGTGTTTGAGGATTCTACGTATAGGAATTATTATTTTCCACATCTTCTCAAGTCCCTCCTTCAGGTCTTGGTACTCACACACACACACATACCCCACTCTCAGCCACTCACTTCTTCTGCATAATAGAAAATATATACATAGAAATATATCTATTTATATTGGAGATAATTCTTTCCTACTGTTTAAATCACTCAGTTTCTTGGGAATTAGGTAGGTAGTCTATAAATATACTGTATGTAACTAACAAGCAAACAAATCAATAATTTCTTTAAAGAGTGGATCATATTGCACCAGCAGCTAATTCAGACAGCTTTAAAACTTTTGACTATTACTAATGCATTCAATACAGTGTAGGCCTCAGTGATATAATAGATGTCAGACTTCGATGCTATCTCAAAATAAATGAATTTCCAAACTGCCAATCTTTAAGGAAATCTTTTCTTTATTCAAGCACAGCAACCGGATCATGACTCGATGCGGACAAGACTGACCTTTTGCCCCCCAATCCCTCCCTTTCCGATCCCCAATTCTCTGCTTCTCATTGGCTATCTTCCAAGTCACTCCCCAGACTTCTTGTCTCGTCATATCACAGGAATGTCTCCCCCCTCCTCATTTCCACGACGATCAGGCTTCAAAGGGATTTAGCAGGCAAAAGTTCAGAGCTTATCTCTCCTCTCTATGCCAGCGCTGAAGCGCTGACAATAGATAAGGATATTAGCACTGTACATGGTTCTAAAATGCTTCAGAAGTGTTTTGCTCTTTCTTCAAGGGATTCATTAAAATTAGGGTGACAATGCAAGCAGAGTTTCTTTCAGGGTTGCACAGAAAAAAAAGGGCCTGATTTAATGAATAGCAGATATATATGTGTGCGCACAAATTTTTTCAAGTAATTTTGTTGTAAATTCTCTTTTGAATATTGACTATCGTAAAATAAAAGTTGTAATTTTAAAATATTTTCTGTACAGAGTGGATCATATGGCGGCGGCAGCCAGTATGGACAGGTAAAACTATTGTTTAAATACAGTATATATCTAATTATGGCAATATGTGACACTAGCCAGAGATGAGCAGAGAAATCCTATACGTAGATCAAGTCAAAGCAGGGAGGTTATGTAAATGTTGTGGATGGAGGCCAGATATTGAATCCAATGCTTAAACAGTCCAATAAGGACAAGGACAGTCCAATGTGACTAATAAGGGACAGGAGTTTCCACTAGAGCTGGGGTGTCAAACTCGATTTCATTGAGGGCCACATCAGGGTTGTGTTTGACTTCGGGGGGCCAGAGTGAGTCTGGCTAGGGTGGGCATGGCCAGCTCAATGTCACTTGTGCCAGAGGCGCCTGTGGTGGCCCGAGAGCTCTGCCAGTGAAAATGGCCTCCAGAGCTCTGTTTTCAGCTGGGATGGCCTCCTGCAACCCTCTGCCAGACAAAACAGAGCTCAGGATGGTCGCACGCAGCCCTCACAAACTCCATTTTCAGCTGCAATGGCTTCCTGCAACCCTCTGCCAGCCAAAACAGAGCTCTGTTTTCACTGGCAGAGGCACCGCGGGCCAGTCCTTTGCTGTTTCCAGGGCGGTCCCGCGGGCTGGATCTAAGCACCCCATGGGCCAGATCCGGCCCCCCGGGCCTTGAGTTTGACACCCCTGCACTAGAGCAATGAAAAAAGATCAAGATGAGAGTTTGAAGACAAGCTCCTTTTTAAAATCAAAGGTAGGAAGCCTTCAACTGCAATGATGACCACCATTTGACTTTTTTGACCCGCCCTCCCCTGGGCATCACAGATTCTAGATCTTTGTAGTGCCCCTACATGAAGACAGTCAACACACTCCCAGAGACAAATGAGGACATGCTGAAGCCCACATTTCTGTACTGCCGCAGAAGACAACACCATAAATATCAGCCCCACAGATTCAATAAATCTTAATCTTGTCATGAGGCCAATCCTCATATAACTGTCCTAGGAGGGGTCTTTGACCATCCTCTCAAAACTTGTTTCAGGAATACCATCTATACAAGATGCAGCCCCAACTTATCTGTCTGGGCAGAAATGCCAGAAATCCAGACTAGAGGGGAAAAGATTCCTTGGCAGGATTCCAAAGTGAGGGACCAGACCCTGCCAGAAGGAAAGCCAAAGGCATACATATTGGCAGAGGCTACCTTCAGAAGTTGCCTCTGGGAAACAGAAGACACAAATTAGATCTCTAGCAGGAAGAAGGGGATTTATTTAAAATTTATTTTATGGTGTGTGTGCGTGTGTGTGTGTGTGTTGTCTATATATATATCCCTTTTTACAATCCTGTAATCCCTTACTGTATATATATATATTTATATTTTATATTCAAAATGTTAAAATGGCTTGGGGTTTACATTGTCGTATGTTAAGTGCTTTGTTTCTTATAACATAAAAAAAGATGCATTTTGAAGTAAAATATATTAATGTTAATTTTTAATGTATATTTCTGTGCAGAGTGGATCCTATGGGAGCAGCAATCAATATGGACAGGTAAAACTGTTTTATTGTATGATACGTGTAGAAAATGTGGTCCAATAATAGATCAAAATGAGCATTTTGATTTGTTGCTGCTTCTAAATATGAAAAAAAATATGGGCATTTCTGTGTATTGTAATTTCAGAATATAAAAAGCAGCTTTGTGCAGTTATATTAATGGGGGACATTTTATACTGGAGGTGGCTGGTAAAGTAAAAGAGAAGATCCCATCTCACAGGTATCAAACTTGATCGCATCCAGGGTGGGCATGGTGTGTGATGCGGGCCGCCAGTTTGACACCCCTGTCCCACCTCTATACTGCAAGTGAACTGGGTTCCTAGCTTAAAATTAAATCTTGTTAATTTTAATGTTTTCATATTTGTGTGTTTTTTGCATTGTAAGCTGCCCAAAATCTCTCTGGACAGTGAGATGGGAGTTATAGAAATTAATTAATTAATTAATTACATACATACATACATACATACATACATACATACATACATACATACATACATTTTTATAATGTATTTTCTGTACAGGCTGGACAGAGCGGATCCTATGGGAGCAGCAGCCAATATGGACAGGTAAAACTGTGCTACCATGTAATGTCAGGCTCCAAAAACCAAAGAAAGATATGCAGAGAAACCTCCAAGCAGTTTCCTTTATTGTTCCTCACCTACAGACAGAATCTTGCCAGACTAAAGCAGACTACTTGCATCATTAAAAATAGACACTGAGAACCTCTAGGGAGGAGCTCTCTTGACCCTTTTCCTCCCAAGCAAATTACCTCAACTGTGCTCTCTCTTGCTCTTCTGGAACACCGCCCCTCCCTTCTGGGAATCCAAACTAACTCCACCATATAATGTGTGTAGAAAAAGGCCTATAATAATAGATAAAAATGAGCATTTTGCAGCTTCTGAATGTAAACAGCACTCTTCTGCAGGTATATTAATTGTTTTTATAATATATTTGCTATGCAGACTGGACAGAGTGGATCCTATGGGAGCAGCAGCCATTATGGACAGGTAAAATTGTGTTACCATATATCTGGAGCGCTGTACTTTGATATGGCCCAAGGGCTAATCAATAAATAAAGAAGAAGGTGTTACCATATCATGTGTGTAGAAAATATGCTACAGTAATAGATAATCACAAAAAAAAGACATTTGTATTTCTATGTATTTCAGCTTCTAAAAAAGCAGCCTTGCTTAAATGTATTGTTTTATGATTTTCTTCTCCTGTATTTTTTTGACAGAGTGGATCCTATGGGAGCAGCAGCCAATATGGACAGGTAAAACTGTTTTATTGTATGATATGTGTAGAAAATGTGCTATAATAATAGATCAAAATGAACGTTTCGGTTGATTGCTGCTTCTAAATATAATAAAATGGGTGTTTCTGTTTATTGTAATTTCAGAATATAAAAAGCAGCTTTGTGCAGTTATATTAATGGGGGAGAGACGTTTTATACTGGAGGTGGCTGGTAAAGTAAGAGAGAAGATCCCACCTCTATATTGCAAGTGTACTGGATTCCTAGTTTTATCTAAGTCTTGTTAATTTTAATGTTTTTATATTTGTATTGCATTGTAAGCCGTCCAAAGTCTCTCTGGACAGTGAGATGGGAATCATATAAATTGAATGAATGAATGAATGAATGAATGAATGAATGAATGAATGAATGAATAATTTATCATGTATTTTTTGTTCAGGCTGGGCAGAGCGGATCCTATGGGAGCAGCAGTCAATATGGACAGGTAAAACTGTGTTACTGTATGATGTGTGTATAAAACTGTGCTATAGCAATAGATAATACAAAGAAACATGAGCATTTCCATTTATTTTTAGTTGTTTAGTGCAAATATATTAATATTTTTATATGCATTTTCTGTACTGGGTGGAGAAGCTCTCAGTATGGAAAGGTAAATATTAAGTAATGTATAGATAATGTATTTCATGGACAGATATTAACTATTTTTAAAAACTCAACATTAATGTTTATTTCTGCTTTGAACGTAAAAAAGATCTGTCTGTCTGTCTGTCTGTCTATCTATCTATCTATCTATCTATCTATCTATCTATCTATCATCTATCTATCTATCTATCTATCTATCTATCTATCTATCTATCACACCAGTGTCAAACTTGTTCCGTCACATTGCTGCCACGTGACATTTTGTGATGTTTTTCCCATTCGGGGAGCTAGGATGGGCGTGGCCTACGCATGATGCATCTGGCCCACAAGCCGCCAGTTTGACACCCCTGCTCTATCATTTGCCTGGACAACTTAAAAACTTTTCTAAAACAGTCCCAGACTAACTGTTTTCTTTTATTCATGTCAACATGGGTGATCTTGGATAAGACGCACTTGCATATTTTTTAATTCCATGCTCCACAGACTATGATATTGGGTCTCTCTAAGTGACCCTCTCCCAATAAGAAATAATTTGATCCATTTCTTATTTCCTTGGCAGGGCTCCCAAACAAGTGGAGGCTCCAACATTAAGGGCTGTGGTGAAGTAAGTACAGAATAGTTCATATAAAATAAGTAGTATTTTATTTTGAAATAAAATAAAACTTTTCACTTATTTCTCAAATAATATAAAGTTGTAACACCAACCATATCCCTTAGAAATGCTTATTATATTTAAGTATCACAATGAGTGACACAATGGCCTGGAGGTGAAGACACTCGCTTCCCACTCAGGAGGCTGAGAGTTCAATCCTAGACAGTGACAGATGTTTCTCTATCAGGGCGCAAAGAGAAAATATCAGCTGTGAACTCCACATAGGAGTAAATGGCTAGTAAACACTGAGCTCTATTCAGTCACCTAGATTCCATCTCAATAAAGGGGATTAGGGGTCCTAAAAAGAAAAAAAATAAGTATCATGATGTTATTAATTGCAATTTAATTAATAAATTAAATTGGCCATAATGGAATTGCCTATTCTGTGAAAAACCACTATTTATAGTAGTGAAAATGAGTGTAGCCCTGCTGTTTTCTTCCCTTGGCACACCCTTCTAGTTTAATTACAGTTTAACTTTGCTTGTCTGAACCTTAAATTGTGCAGTAACTAAGAGATGATTAAGTTCCATCAAAAATATCATTCAAAATATGAATAATTTATTGTCTTTTCCCTTGCTGTAGTTTACTATACATAAAAAGCAGGAATCTTTAAGATTAAAGAAAGTTCTTTTTCAGAAATCTTTGCATTTTTCATATTGTTCAAACTTACAGTACATTGGGTGGGTAGAATTATAACTGATATTAAAAATAACTGTTTTCTGCTTTCTTTCTCACAAATTTCAAAACACCAAATGCCATGTAAAAATGTCAGTACAGCCTATTTATGCTACATGACTTGTATATCAGTCTGAGCATTTTTTCCCATTGAAAGCAGTTTCAAAATTAGTAATTGATTAAATTAGAACGCTTTGTTAAGGATTTCTCTTTCACTCATGTAGTTTCTAGGACTCTTTGAAGGCAATATTCCTCAATTAGAACTATTAATGAATACACACACACACACATACACATACACATACACACACACCCCTTTTATTACCTTAGTAGTTGATTATGATGGTATTTCAAATCTCTTAACAGTTAACAGTCTCTAAAAGTAAAGATAAAGGTTTCCCTGCACATGCGTGCTAGTCGTTTTCGGCTCTAGGGGCAGTGCTCATCTTTGTTTCTAAGCCAAAGAGCCAGCGCTGTCCAAAGACGTCTCTGTGGTCATGTGGCCGGCATGACTAAATGGCAAAGGCATACGGAGCGCTGTTACCTTCCTACCAAAGTGGTCTCTATTTTTCTACTTGCTTTTTTTACGTGCTTTCGAACTGCTAGGTTGGCAGAAGCTGGGACAAGTAACGGGAGATCACTCCGTTACGTGGCGCTAGGGATTCGAACCGCTGAACTGCTGACCTGATCGACAAGCTCACCGTCTATTCTGAGAAAAGCTCTTTTCTTCCTCTTATGTTCTATATAAATTCAAGGATAATCCTAATCACAGAAGTTACACCCAATATCAATCCACTTACTGTGGTTGCAGAGCAGTCCATTATTTCTTAGATTTGATCTCTGAAGCTTTCATTTATTCCTCCAACAGTTCAAAACTCAGCTAACATAAGAAAGCCCTGAAGTAGAGAAAAAAAGATTTCTATGTTTCATTATGAGTTTGTCTTCATTTCTATGCATTTGGGGAAGAAAGAGAAACAATTACAATGGAGCAAAATATTTAACTTTCTTTTTGTTGTTGTTTTCAATTAGTGTCTTTTCTGTGAGTTTTCAATTTTCTTTGAAGAACGATTTTTTTTTTCAAACTTGAAAAGACATTGGCTGTCTTGGATTTTTTTCTGCAACAGCTTTTACGCTTATTTTGAGCCCATGCTTTTCTTTAACCGATGAATGGCACTACTGTTCAGCCTTTTCTGAGGAATGAGTAGCAACATATTTAGATGGAATCAATTATAAACCTTTCAAATTAGGGCTGCAAAAACTTTGTATACAATGTAGTGTTTCCTGCACCTCTTTGCTGCCATCTAGTGGCTGTATGGATTTCCTAGTATACAGTATTCTTATTTAGTTTACAATATTCTGAGTGGATTATTGGTTTGCTTTTTGAAATTCCAGGAACTGTAATACAAGATATTGTGAACTCACCATGCTGTAGTTCTGCCTATTTTGATAAGAGTGAGCATTGTTTAAAAGTACCTTCTACCAACATTATTCTGTAACCTTTCAGATAAAATTGCCCAAGTAGGAAAAGTTAGTTCAGATGTTTTGATGATCTGACTGACTTTGTATGTGCATAATTTAGAACACTGAAGATTGTTGTTTTCATTTCATTTCATTTTTATAATATTTTTATTTTAACAGAACCCAAGAAACTGTAGACGCAAAAGGGCTGCATCAGCTTCAGTAAGTACATTGACTAACCAAATGGAGATTTTCTTCAAATCAGATAAAAGTGGGAAGGATTTGTGCATCAACCTAACCTGGTTTATGACTTGTGTTTTCTCTCCCACAGAATATACTTAAGACATTGATCAATAAGATTCGGGGGAAAAGGGTATGTGCTTTTTCTCATCACTATAAATTCTGATTTACTCTGCTTTGTATTTTCACAATCTGTTGCTGTATCTCAATAACTGGTGCTTGAGCTCCCAATGATTATCTCTTGGTTTAATAGTCATTACTTACTGATTAGATATTTATAGTTTCCCAAGGCATTAACTGAAAGGAACACTAAAGTGTACTTTTGCTTTTCAACAAGTTCACACTTTTACCGGAGAAACAAGAAGTGAAACAGCACTGACCAAATTATTTTCTTACTTTTGATTTGAACTTCAAATTCCTTTCCATCATCACAGAACTGCCCAAAATTCAGTATACACTACAACTGTTTTCTATATGGGGAAACTATGCATGCCCCATGGTAATAACAGAATGAAAGAAATACTTTTTGACTTTATGTCAAAAAAAATAATCAAATTATGACTTTTCCAACCAAAACAACCACTCCTATATATTCAGGATTTACAGAATGTTACAGTCTCAAAATGTTCTAACCTCAAAAGACTCGATTATGTCCATCACTTAAACTTGGGACTGCTTGAAATAGAAGTTTTCTGCTATAGTATATATTATTATATAAAAGTAAAAAGTTGAGCCTTAAATTACTCCCATATTCTACTGTACCAAAAGAATTCAGAAATCAATGCCTTTTTCTTTCTTTTTCCCTTCTTTTTCCCTTTTTTTTTCTTCCCCTTTTCCCTCTTTATTTATCCACTATCTTTATTTTTCTTTGTGTGTTTTGTATGCCTTGTTTATAACATGAACTTTCAGGTTTATGAAACATGATATTAAAGATAAGAATGGGCATTATAAATCTCACATAGTGTGTTTTAAGGGATATATAAAATGACATTTTACAGAAGCATGAAGTAATAAGTAGATTATGAATACACTATAAAGGAGCTGTGGTGGCGCAGCGGTTAGAATGCAGTACTTGCAGGCTAATTCTGCTGACTGCCAGGGGTTCAATCCTCATTGGCTCAAGGTTAACTCAGCCTTCCATCCTTCTGAGTTTGGTAAAATGATCCAGATTATTGGGAGCACTATACTGACTCTGTAAACCGCTTAGAGAGGGTTATAAAGCACTGTGAAGCGATATATGTCTAAATACTAGTGCTATAAGGTAAAGCTAAAGGTTTCCCTCGCACATATGTGCTAGTCGTTCCTGACTCTAGGGGGTGGTGCTTATCTCCGTTTCAAAGCCAAAGAGCCAGCGCTGTCCGAAGACATCTCCATGGTCATGTGGCCGGCATGACTAAATGCCAAAGGCGCACAGAATGCATTTATCTTCCCACTGAAGGTGGTCCCTATTTTTTTTACTTGCATTTTTTACGTGCTTTCAAACTGCTAGGTTGGCAGAAGCCGAGACAAGTAACGGGAGCTCACCCCGTTACGTGGCACTAGGGATTCAAACTGCTGAACTGCCGACCTTTCGATTGACAAGCTCAGCGTCTTAGCCACTGAGCCACCGCGTCTCAGTGCTAGTGCTATAAATTGCATCAAAAGGCTCTTCCGGCAGCCCTGTACATGTTGTCTACCAATTATTCAGCTGGCAAGAAAGTATGTGCCAACATAAAACGTATCACCCTTACCATTGATCCCTGTTCTACTGCAGCAAAAGACCAGCTTTGTCCTCACAGCTATTTCTAAGCATGACTCTAATATGCTTCAGAAAAAAAGATAAACCTGAATAAAAAAAAAAAATAGCCCAGCTGCCAGATTGCAGTTATGGAAGTGGGATACAGAGCGAAGTGGGAGGGAACTTACCTAAAGCTTCTGATCAATGCAATCCCTCCACTACATATATGACCTGTCACTGAAAGAGCAGGAGGAAGCAGATAACAATTAGAATAAGCGAGTTCCATCTTATACAAGTCCTCCAAAGTAGTGAGTATCTAAGGAACCCAGCAAGATCCAAAAGAGGCCAACAACACTTGGATGGCGGTGGTGGGAAGTCAAGAAGCACGGAATATGGGGTGGTGGCACATAATTTGTAATAGCATAACGAAACATCTTTAACTGCTATCTTTATTTCAGAATGAACCCTTTAATTCAGAACAAAGGTATACCAATGACCAGGTAAGAATTTCAGCTTCATTCTGTTTAAAGTCCATGTTGGTAAATAGTTGTTAGAATTGGGGTATTTAAGAGCCTAATCAGATTGCCATATTAAAGTGCTATTCATCAGTTCTTGAGCCAACAGAAAAATGTGACTTCGATTGCCTTAATAACAACACCAGCAACTGCTAAGGAAATAACTGATGGATTTTTCCCAATTTCTTTCCTCTATCCGCAAAGCCTAGCCTTATGTTTGTTTAGGAGAAGGATCAGAAACCCTTCCACTAACATGGGCAAGGTTGAGTGAGGACAGGCAAGTGCTTGAAATGCCATGTTTAGGTGTTATGCTGCTCCTTGTCTGGGTGGGCTGAGCCTGGGAAAATTAGAAGAAAGGAACCTGAGACCAGATAGGTCCCTTATCAAAACCCTATTTAGGGAATGCACCACGCTCAAGGCTGCAAAATGCAGAAGTCTGTTATCACATAAGGGTGGGAGAAAGAGGTAGTATTTAAATATAATGGTTTGATATAAATATGGCTTGCTTCCTAGGTCCTGCAGTAGCTGAACTTCTTTGTTGTCTGACCTCCTTTGAATCTACAATTAAAGCAACTTATCTATCTGACCTTGTCCTTGATTCCCTGCTGCTAGCTCCAGAGAGCAGATTTGAGTTCCTAGAAAGAGATTTATTTCTGTGCACAAGGTGAAGCTCTGACAGCAAAACAAGCTATCCCTATTCCCAGTCCCATGGAAGAAGAGAATTCTTTTAAGACTCCAAGATTAAAATCATGGCTATTAACCTTCTTGCAAATCGACTGATGGTTACATTGGTTGCCAAGCCTTTTATTCCAATATCAGAATTATGGGTTGACTCAGATTGAATAAGCAGAACTATTGCTATTGGGCTCTCGTGTGCCTCTACCCAAGATCCAGCAATTGTAGAAACAAGTAAAAAAACTTGACGACGACAACAGGAATCTTGGCAAATATTCTGCCTTTTTCGGATTTATAATTGGAAGGTGAATCAAAATGGGTGAGCCCTCTTCTCCAGCAAGGAAACTATTTCATGTGAAAGTATGTTGTTGATCCCCAGTTAGCAGTTCAGGTTGCCAGTTGGAATAAAAGAGACTTAAATGGCTAATTGGAAGCAGTACTATCAGGTAAAAGAGAGGATTACAAAGACTTTGTCTATATTAATTCAACTATGCTTCGAGGGTCGATGGGAGGCTTGAGGAACTGTGGCAGAGAATGGATGGATCACCACTATTATCTTTTGTTCTATCCTTCTCTGTCAATTAATTGGACCTTTGGATGTTGAACCCCTGGCGTTGGGTTGTACAGTGCTCACATTGCTTCAGAAAAGAAGCATTCATGCATATAAAGTCTGTGTTTATACTGTGGGGAATCTGACCACTTTATATGGAAATATCCATCTCAGATCCTCAACTCTCCCTTCCAAAACATCAACAACATCCTGAACTCTGTTAACTATTAGAAATCATAACCTAATTCCTCTCATCTCTAAGCTTTTACAACAGCTGAAGAACACTTTTTTTTTTTTTTTTTGCCAAATTGGATTTCTTCTTCCCTGGTTTCTGGTGGTCTCAATTTACAACAGATGGTGAAAGTGACATTTTTGTCAGGGTACAAAGCTTCATACTACCTAGCCTGTTCAATTACTGCACTCTGCGCATTGCTGCAAGGATTAACAAACACCGTTTGCCTGGACTTCATTACTCACTACCACATGCTGTTTGTTTGGATGCCATTCTAGTACTACTGGACCTTTTCTCTAAAATGGCTCTTTTCATCTCTTTTTGTAGCCTTCCATACATTCTGGAGAATGCCTATTTGTTTATTCACTGTGGGTTTTTTTCCCAGAACCACAGATTGACTTTTATTTTGGACAGAGGCCACTCAATTCACAGAACATTTTTATCGGCACTATATCAACAACTGAATTAATGTTCCACCTGTCTTCTGTTCATCATCCATAATCTGACAGAGGAATGGAAAGAACAAATATCACACAGAACAACACTTTCTTTGCCACATAAATGACCAACTCAAAACCTGGCCTGAGATTTAGCTGTGGTTCAATTAATTCATGCCTCTACTCAAATGTCTCAATTTCAGGCTCTTTATGATACTGCTTGCACCTGCTGCTTGATGACTTCCACTCATTCCATTTTTACCATAAACTGCAAAATATGCTGTGACACTTCAAGGATCAACTTCCTGCAAATACCCTGCTACCCATCACCAAAAGGAAGACCATTCTATTGCTGTAGGATACGACACCTGGCTTTCTACTAGGTTCTAGTCTTCAATGCAACTGTCTAAGAAGCTGTATGCCAAGTTTATCGGGCTGTTTGCAATACTTACATAGATCAGTCCCATTACCTTTTGTGTGCAGCTTCCATCTACACTAAAAATATACCTGGACTTTTGGCATTCTTTTCTGGGTCAAAAATGCCCCTTTTGCTCTTTGTGCACTTCAGTTCCATTCTTTCTCTGTAAAGGAAACTGACCTGGGAAAAGGAGGGAAGCTATTGTATCAGTAACAAGAGGAACACAGAAATTACCAACCCAAAGATTTAGTGGGGGGGGGCAGTTCTGGATGAGGGAGGAATGATGACAAAGATATTGAGAACTTTTCCAATGTTTGTCAGGAAGTACCCCAGGCAAGAGGAAGGAAGGGCATATAAATTAAATAAATAAATAAAATAAATAAATAAATAAATAAATAAATAAATAAATAAATAAATAATAATAGATGCCCCTTAAGGTGGGGAAATTTTGTCTGTTCCACATGATAAATAGATGGAAACAGAGAGAGGAAAAGTTAGTCCATCCAGCACAAGAGGAAGAGAGAAATAGCTAGCAATGTCCAGATCCCAGGGAGAAAAGAAAAAGGAAAACAGAGTAATAGTCTGAGGACTGAAGTTGACAGGGCCAGAAGCAATGTGCAGGTGTTTTACACCTCTAAGACTGAGAAATGAATAGCAGGAAATCTATTGCCACATAAGTATGTAAAAAAGAGACGTGATATTTAAGCACTAGCTTTGTTACAAATGTAATTTGATTTTTAGACCTGCTGTAATTGATCTTTGTTGTTAAAGCTATTCTGGTGTCTTTCAATAAAAGCAATTTATCTATTCACACTTGTCCTTGATTATTTGTTACTATTCTCCCGAGTACAGGTTTGAGTTCTCAGGAGATTTATTTCTGGATTATGGTGAAGCTCTGGCAGAGCTTTGATCTTGCGTAGGGATGCAAGGGAATGGAAGCAGGCAGCAAGACAGCAACTCTTTGTAGAGAGGAGCATCCAGAAATAGCCTGTGAATGGCCATTAAAGAGGAATCTAGCAGCGAAGGGGAAATGGTGCTGTCCAACCAAAATAAACAGTGGAAAGTATGGTTATGTGAAACCCCTTGTTGGAAAAGCTGTGGAAAACTATATTGTGCCCTGTGCTGGCAAACCAGCAAAAAAACTGTTGGAAAAACCTAGTTCTATTTCCTAACTTAAATCTATCTTCTATGGAGTAGAAGGTGGAATTAAGACTTTTAAATAGAGGTCTTTCAAAAGAGCACTAAGCCAATGATTGAAACCAAGAGCCTTGGTGGCACAGCAGACTAAAGTGCTGTTAAGTAGCACCAGCTGCCTACAATTACTGCAAGTTCAAATCTCACCAGGCTCAAGGTTGACTCAGCCTTCCATCCTTTCGAGGTAGGTAAAATGAGGACCCGGATTGTGGGGGCAATAAGCTGACTTTGTATAAAAAAGAACACCGCTTAGAGGGGGCCAAAAGCCCTACTAAGCAGGTATATACAAAAGTATGAAGGCTATTGCTTAACGCATTGTAAGATGTCCTGAGTCTCTGGAGAAGGGTGGCATATAAATCGAACCAATAAATAAATAAATAAGTCTAGCACTCTTAAAAAAGAGCATTAAACCCATGTTTATAAAGAGCCCACATTAGATCTGAGAAGCCCTGCAGAAAGCACTGGTCAGCGTTTGAGCCTTTGCTTCTGCCAGACATCTGGGCTTTCCTACCATTTCCAGCCAAAATGGCAATAAAGTGGTTCCCAACAAACAGAATAGCCTAGAGTGGCCAACATAGTGGTCCCTCAACTGTATCAGCAACTTACTCCCTCAGTGAATCATTCTAGATTGTGCCCATGGCCAAAACTCTTGGGAGAAGAGGTAAATTTTATTTCAAAACTGGTACAGCTAAAGATGATGTTTACCTGCCTCTGCTGTATGCTGGGGTTAAGATGAAGATAAAGGTGTAAGGATGCGGAATAATTAAAAAATATGGGCATGTTTATACAGTGGTTAGAGAGGATGGAGGATGAGTCCTCTGCATCTCTAATCTGCTGTTGTAATCAAAATCTTCTGAACTGTGGGATAGGAAACTAGAACATTATTTATTCCATTTGAGAACCTTCCTCTTTCCTTCTTAAGATGGTACCTATTTATCTGTGGCTAAAACTGCTTAACAGAACAGATTGTCATGGAGTGTAAAAAGTCCTTGGAAAGGAAGAAAACAAGGAAGGAAAGGAAGGAAGGAAAGAAAAAAGGACTACCAATGAAGCAGAAGAAGCTCCAACGACTCTTGCTTACCAAGTCCAGCTGCTGAACATACCTTGGTGTTCCTTCTTTGTCCTTGGACAGAGAAATGTTGTGGGAGAGAAAGTAAAGATTTAATAAAAGCAACAACAACCACACTTTCGGGTCCCCCCAAAAACTGAAATAGAACAGACATACCAGGAAGCCAAAAAAAGGAGTTTTGCATGAACCAACAGAGATTGGTTGTTCCCTCTTCCCTACAATTCTGATATTATGGTATTATCTGACATCAACACACTTCCCATCAGGTCAAAGAAAGGGAAAGGATCAGACTCATATATAAATGTATATCATATACTCTTTTTTAAAATGGAAGGTGTCCTCTTTCTGTGAGGTAGAGAGTATGATTATTTCCTTTCAGATGTCCTTATTTGTACTGAAGTAATTTATATTGACCTTTTACAGGATAGTACCCTTTCGGATGATAGAAACAATCATCCACAGGTAAGGATTTCCTTTTCATTACTTTTGACAGGATGATGATCCTTTACAAATTCTGTATCAGTGGTCATTTCCAATCATTTGATAAAAGTCTTTTACGGTTAGATAAAACCAGGTTGCAATATTTTTTTTGAAGTTGTAACTCAAGGCTTGTCCTTTTCAATTTGGTAACAATACATTTTAACAGATACATCCAGGATTCACACATACTGTATATTGTTAGTTTAGGCATTATAGATTAAATACATATATTTTTAAAATGAGATTTTGGGGAAAAAAACCACAATTTGGGCTTAAAATATTCTGGAATCCATGGATATAAATGTAGCATCCAAAAAGCAGTAAAAAGTGATCTGGAAGTGCCCTTGCTGATTGTATTTAATGCACATAAATATATGCTTCGCCACGCCTGAATTCATAAAAGGAATATTTTAGATTTTAAAAGTTGCAGCTTCATTTTTAAGAAGTTCTTCACAATCTTATATAATCCTACACTCTGTATAACTTGAGAATGAACGGGAATTTTTGCCCTTCAGTTTCTATTCCTTCTTTCAAAAGATCAGTCTATCTATTCAATTGTCCTTGGGCTCACTCTGGGTCCTTCAGGGCAATCCTTTATTGTGATTTTTCCTATCTCATTCATAAAATTTTATTAGGATTCTGTACAATTCTGTCTTTCCTGTGTAATTCTGCCATGGTTTCCCAACGTTTCTTCGTGGTTTTTAAGTAGGAAAAAACCACCACACTGTTGCATAAAGAATATCTCCAGAATGTCTTTTATTTGATATCACTAAGACTGAACATCTGCCTTAAGCATTTAATGCAGAGAATTTCTGTCTCAAATACTTGATAATGTATATTTGGCATTGGAAGAGGTTTTAATCATGAGGCTACAGTTGATTTTGATGCTACCCTTCAATTTATGGAAACTGGGTGTAACAGATTTTGGTTACCATTGTATTTACATCGTTTTATGTCATTTGTATAATGATGTCATTACCCAAATGATAAGATTGGTACAAGTAATATCATTTGGATTGGGTACATAATAATGTTATTGCAAATGACATTCTTTCCAATTTAATAGACAATCAGAAATAATGGACACCCACTCTCTGCAATTAGTCCCTGAGAGAAGATTTCATTGTATGTGGAAATTCAAGCGTTTTATTTGAATGTATTGACAAAAGAATCGAGCTTCAAGCTTTCTGTAAAAACCATTTACAGCTGTGGAGTGCTAATTCCTCACTAAAGTTCTGATTAGTCCCATCAATTTCTTTCTCTCTCTTTTTCTTTAGTGAAATATGAAGTGAAAATATTTGAAAATAGTGAAAAAGTGAAATATTTTCTGCAGTTGTCATTATTTGGTTCCTCACCTTTGAAATAATATTTTTGCCAGCTCTTGGATTTTATTATTTTTTCCTCATGGGCCGTCTAACTTTTTGAGAAAATTTTATCAATAAACAATACTTTTATCAATAAATAAAGGAAGAAAAACATTTTTATTTATGGGGGTTGCATTTTTTTCATATTAGCATCTAGATTTTGCAAGGCTTTGGAGTGACAATTCCAGAGAGCACATGTCTCTGATTTGCTCATTTCTAAGGGTGGAATTGGATATCAAAAGCAAAAAAAGTACATTGAATAAAGAAGAGGTGAAAAGGGTCTTTTCTAACTCTTATTTTAATAAAACCATGAAAGTCTGCAATACTGAAAATGTATTCCTGAATGTTGACAATAGGATCTTAGAAAAAGATTCTGAAGGCATAAGGGGCGTGCATAAGCGCACCAATGTGCCTACCATCCCTCTCCTAATGTCCCTTTTTATTCGTATCCATTTCATGTATTCATAATCATGTTTATACTTTTATCTGTTATCTTACATATGCTTGACAAATAAATAAAAAAAATAAATAAATAAAAAGGCCATAAAAATTAGATTGCAGATCCTTTGTATAAAACTTAATTGCTGAAACAAAGTCTGCCAATTGCAGACTTCAAAGCACAATTTTAGGTCTGTTGTAGTTATAATTAGAGGTTTCCTCCTATAGAAGGGGTAGTTTCTTGTGTTTTTCATAGTTTCTCATTCAATCAAGCTTGCACTTGAGAAAAACAGTTGATGGATTATTGTTGTGTAGTAACCAGGTTCTATGGTATTTCCCTGACTCTTTGCTTCTCTCTCTCTCTCTCTCTCTCTCTCTCTCTCTCTCTCTCTCTCTCTCCTCCCTCCTTCTTTCTCCTGTCTATCTATCTATCTATCTATCTATCTATCTATCTATCTATCTATCATTCTATCTATCTATCTATCTATCTATCTATCTATCTATCTATCATCTATCGTCTATCTATCTCTAATAGTAATCCTACTATTATCTTCTATTTCTTATTAAATCCCTGCAGGATAAAATAACTTGTTCAATCTGGTTTAATTTCAGTCCCTAAATGGGCACTAGGTTAGATTAACATAAAATAACATTTAAGAACAGACGTTTTATAACAAAACATTACAGTGTTTGATTTCTTACAGCAAAGGTGAAACTAATTGTTTGCATTTTTACAGAGACAATGTATATGTCCTAATACACAGGTAATCCTATTTATTTTTCATGCTGCTCCTTGTCGCAATTGATAACAAAATGTCTTGTGCCATGTGCTGATTTTTGCCTACCAGATGTCAAGTGTTTGCTTTATTGTTTTTTAACGAGATCCCTTTGCAAGCCAATGTACATGCAAGCAAGCAAACAATAAATTTTGAATGGATATCTAATCCACTATATAACAGACCTATAAAAATCAACTATGCTCTTTAAAAGAGAATTTGGGAGTGATCACAGAACTTTTCACAAGCTACAGTTTTATATTAATTTTGTTTGCAAGAGACACTCAATTAATATATATTTTTTGTTCTTACTATTCTCAAAGTTTTTTGTTGCCCAATTGTAAATCCGAGAAGGGAGACCTGAATCCTTTAATAATCTCTCAACTGAACAATGCCTAACAAGAGGCAGCTAGCACTAGCAGAAACTAAACAATCATCCAAATCCATTGTGAGAGGTGATCTCAAATCTTGGAAACTTACTTTAAGAATAGTCCAACTTGATGTGGCATTTTTACATCCAAAGTGATATTTACAAAAGTAAAGTTGCATTTTCTCATAGTTTATCATAGTTTAAGTGATGGCTATATATTTTTTGTTTTTAAAGCAGCTTTTATAAAACAAATTAAAAGGAAAACAGTCTTTAAAGCATAAAATTTTCTAAGAAAGATTACAAAAGAGTAAAGCAAGCCAAATATCATACTGTATGGAAACTTTTCAAGTTATAGAGATTGCAAGATGGGTAGCATATAAATTTAACAAATAAATCCATTTTTATGATCCTGTAGTCCCTATTGGGGTAGAGTCAGGGTGACTGGAGGGAGCTGAGCGTTTACCGGCCAAACGCCCTTCCTGATACCTATGCAGAGTTCACAGCAGATATTTTTTTCTTTGTGCCGTAGAGAAACATCTGCTGCTACCTAGGATTGAACTCTCAACCTTCCAAATGGGAGGCAAGTGTCTTCACCACTAGGCCAACACACTGCGCTAAATAAATAAATAAATAAATAAATAAATAAATACATACATACATACATACATACATACATACATACATACATACATACATACTCACTCCTTTGGATTTGCTTGCAATTTTCGTGAGGCAGAATATTAAGAAATCAAATAACCCTTACAGTGGAGAGAATCTGCACCTAATTGCTGGCAGATAGAAGTCACCGTAGGTTAGTAGCACCTCAATAATCTTGAAAAAGCTAAACAGGATTGGACTTTGTCACTACTAGGCTAGGAGAAAGCAGTTCCCAAGGATGAGAACAAGAACTAGGAAGATTTTTTTTTTTTAATGAAGCACTTTTGGATGGTGGTTAAGGAAAAACTATCCACATGTAGTCCATATTGAGAGAGATTTTACTTTTACCTAGGTTGAGGGAGCCTTGTGCAAAAGAAAGAAAATGTTCCTTCTGAATTAAGGAGATTGAACTGCTAGCATAAGATTTTTTTTTTAAAAAAAATCCCTCCTTAGGTGGGGGAATAATTGGCAAATAATGGCTGTTGCATGAGCAACATTTTGTAAACAACATGTTTCAGTTCAATCTCATCCTGATTAAATCCTAGAGGTCTTAATTCTGCTTGCTAACACAGCCATGCAGACATATCACTCACTAGACATGGATAAAACTAATCTGATAATAATGCTGTACAGCAGTTTTTACAAAGTATTTATTTATTTATTAAACTGATATGCTTCCCATCTCACCCAAAGCGAAATCTAGGTGGCTTAGAGACGTTGATTAAAATACATTATAAAACAGTACAGATTTTAAATTTAAAATGCCATTCATTAAAAATAAAAAAATTATACCCAAATTCTGATTCTTTGTAGAACCTATCTACATATCCAATAACTAACTAGGAGATTGGTTAAAAATTTTATACATGTTTGTAGTGATGTTAGGGTGACTTTTTATTGTGAATATATCTGAATTAGTCAAGTATATCTTCCAGATGGACAGAGGTTAATGTACTAAATAATTCCTACTTTCCCCCTCTTTTTTTCTTTTACACCAAAGTAGCACTCTTTTGGCAATAAAAGAAAGGAAAGGAGACAAATGATGAATTAAGGAGCAATTAATCACTGAACTCTCTAGCTCTACTGAACAGGAAGTAATGAAACTAGACTTTTCTTTGCTAAATAGAAACTACCAGTATTAATGACACCCCACAGAAGGCAGTAGTTATGGGTTGTTGCTTTTATTCAGTGCTGTGGGAAACCTTTGTTTGTTTGAAACCATTTCCTACTATTGCTTTAAAATCTATGCAGCAAGAGAATTCAAGTTTGTGTGCAAACAGGACTAGTATATATGAGGTATATGTACATAGAATGTTTTGAGACTTGGAGAAACAAATAAACACTACTAAGCGGGTAAGCATATATTATATGTTAATGTTCTACAGATTGTATAGTAAGAACTCCATAATCACCTCTGTTCCTAGGTTTAAAAAAAAACATAGTGAAAATAGTTTAAAATAGAGATTCTTATGGAACAATTGTTAAAGATATCTAAAATGTTTTAAGGCAGCATATTATTTTAACAACTTTTTAAAGGAATTATTATTTTCTTCAGAATGAACAAGTTGGATTAGATGGAGGCAGCAGCCAATCTGAACAGGTAAAATATTACATATAGGTAGTCCTCAACTTATGACCATAATTGATCTCAGAATTATGGTAGTAAATCATTGCAGTTGTTAAGTGACTGGATCAGGGGTGAAATCCAGCAGGTTCTCACAGGTTCTGGAGAACCGGTAGCGGAAATTTTGAGCAGTTCGGAGAACCAGCAAATACCACCTCCGGCTGGCCCCAGAGTGGGATGGGAATGGAGATTTTTCAGTATCCTTCCCCTGGAGTGGGGTGGGAATGGAGATTTTGCAGTACCCTTCCCCTGCCACGCCCACCAAGCCACACCACGCCCACCAAGCCAGGCCCACAGAACCGGTAGTAAAAAAAATTGGATTTCACCACTGGACTGGACCCGATAATTTCAAATGGTCATTAAGTGAGAGTGATTCTAAATTGAGGATTACCTGAAGTGCATTCCCAATATGTATCATAGCAGTATATATTTAATGCAAGTGACAATGATGATGAATGCTATCTGTTCAACCATGCCCAATTCTTGACAATTCTATGAATCATCTCTCTCCACATTTTCTGATCTTGTACAGCTTCTTTTGCTTGATTTATGCTCTGGCTGGTGTTGGCTTGTGGGTTTTTTGGAGGCCTGATTTCTTTTTACCACTGACCCTTCCAAGCATAACTTCCACCATCTTTCCTTTTTTTAAGTCCCTGTGAATGTCCCTGGTTGTGCTTACTCTTTCTTTATTCAAAAGAGAAAGTAGAGTAGATTAGTTTGCTGTTGATACATTACAGCAAGTAAAGATCATTTTCTCTCCATGATTGTTTCTATGGCAGCAGCAATTAATATGGATAGCTATGAAATATTTCATAATGCTGATTTCCCCAGTTTGGATCCCTACTGTCTGGATGTATTGGTAGTGGAAGAGAGAAGAGGAAAAAAAACTAATTAAAAAATTGCCAAGTCCCAAATTAGAAGAGGCTCAGGGTAGCCGCACCCTAGAATCCCTCCAGATATAGGTATCTATTAAGGTAAAGAGTTATAGCTTTAATTTGGCAAGATTCTGTCCATTAGGTATAAGCAAATAAAGAATTGGACTCAACTGGATTTTGATCTCTTGTCTTTGGCCCTGAGCCTAACAATATGTGATATATACCATGATGATATAGAGATGTCAAAATAAGACTAAAATAATATCACTTTTTTTCTAACCTCCAGAAATTTTCTTTCTTTTGTAGCCTCCATAATTTTTCTTTCTCTAGTCTATTACAAAAGGGCTCAAGGCAGTGGTGGAATTCAAGTTTTTTTACTACCGGTTCTGTGGGCATGGCTTGGTGGGCGTGGTTTGGTGGGCGTGGTAGAGGAAGGATACTGCAAACTCTTTCCACCCCACTCCAGGGGAAGGATACTGCAAAATCCCCATTCCCTCCCCACTCCTGGGGGAAGGATATTGCAAAATCTCCATTCCCACCCCACTCTGGGGCCAGCCAGAGATGGTATTTGCCGGTTGTCCGAACTACTCAAAATTTGCGCTACCGATTCTCCAGAACCTGTCAGAACCTGCAGAATAGCACCCCGGCTCAAGATACTTGCCAGTTTTAAACTTGTATGTTTTGTTATATTGTTAGCACATCAGTTTCTGAAGAGTAACAATCTTGGCAACCTCTAGGTGGCAGCAAAAATATATAGAAACTCTGCTTCCATCTAGTGGACCTATGGGTTTATTTAGCCAAGGTAGAGTAGCCTAATAAAGGCAAAGTTTATAACCTGCAGGTCTAATTTCTTTCATTTTCAATAAACAATAAGATGTCCTTAAAAACCAAAATTTTTCTATCTCTCCATATATCCTACAGATATTATTTTTATTGATAATTTAAATAAAAATACAAAACTCCACTCTAAGCTTCTTTCTGGTCTAGGAAAGCTGACATGAGAAATCTATAAAAGTCTGTTAGGTGAATATACATATTTCATCAATGAGGTATTTTAAAATAATAACTGGGTTTTCTTCCACAGGGTGGATATGGTGGATCATATGATGGCAACCAATATGGACAGGTAAAATATAACTTGTATCTTCTATGGTTATAGATAGTAAAAATAAGATAAGTGTTAGGCTTAGCCAATTGCTTTAATTCAGCCACATACATTTATTTAATAAATAAATAAATAAAATATTTGCTTCAAAGTTTTTATTTTGTCTGTTGTATGTCTTTTCCAGATGAATAACAATTGAATGAATAAATACAAAAATATTTACTGTGTTTCCCTGAAAATAAGACCCTGTCTTATATTTTTTTGAACCCCGAAATAAGCGTTTGGCCTTATTTTCGGGAGGTCTTATTATTTTTGGGGCACATGGAGCAAGATGGAGCTCCTCTTGCCATCTTACCTGATTTCCAGCTCTGTCTCCCTAACCCTAACCAGAGGAAATGGTGGGGACCAGCTTTTTTGGGGAGGGCTTATTTTTGTGGGAGGGCTTATTTTAGCACATGCGCTCAAAAGCCCAATTCGGCTTATTATCAGGGGATGTCTTATTTTTGGGGAAACACAGTAAAATAAATTAGTAAATAAGTAAAATAAAAAACTCATTTAACCACTTTACTTTAAAAGTCATAATATGTTTGTTCAGTCACAACCACAGGATTCTACTACTTTGCAGTATTGTGCTGCAAGCTTTACCCCTTTTGGAAATCAATAGAGGTTTGTTACAACTGTTCTTTCAGAAACCACAGGAGGCTTGAAACATCTGATCAAAAGGATTAAAATAGAGAGCGAGAAATTTGGCCTCTTCTGAACATCAAAAAGGCTGAGGTCATAACCACTGAGAGGAATGGAAATGTCAAAATAACATTTGATGGTAAAAAGATCAAATGTGCATAAGAATCTACTTTCCTAGAATCACGGATTGATCAGTGCTGTCCAGAAATAAAGTGTTGAATTGCATTGGGTCTCAAAGCAAGGATGAGCATGAATAGGATATGGAAAAGAAAGGACGCCAACCTGGCAAATAAATGCAAATAAGTCCACACTATTATGTTTCCCAAAGCTACGTACAGTTGCAAAAGTTGGATTGTGAAAAAAAACTAGACTGGAGGAAAATTGATCTCTCTCTCTCTCTCAGTTCAGCTCACCTCATAGGACTGTTGTTGTGGGGAAAATAGGAGGAAGGAGTATTAGGTATATTCACTGCCTTAAGTTATTGATAAAAATACTTTTTTAAAAGGGTAGGATATACATAAATAAAGGAGAGAATGAATACTGGAGTATAGAAAACCAAACATATCACTGGAAGTCAAAATCATAAAATTCCACCTTACTTATTTCGGCCACGTCATGCAACGAAACCTACTGGAAAAGGCAATTATGCTTGGAGTGGTAAATGATAAAAGTAATTAGGAGTAGATGACAAAAGGAAATGGGACTTCAAAAATCATGTTCAAAATGGACTACATGTGGCCAGAAGCCGTCAAAGCGTAGACCAACCAGAGCATGAAACCAGTGAAAGAAAATCTACAACAATGGAAAATGTGGAGAAATAGAATTGCCACGGATCAGGTGCAACTGTACGGACATCATCATCTTCATCATCATCATCATCACAAGTAGAGTAGATATGCATAGTTGGAAACTATACGCGCAGGTCAAAGGAACATTTAAAAACTTATGCTAAAAACTCTTTTAAAACTGCTTAAACATATCAAACATAATATATAATAAAAAAATAAGCTCAATCCTTATTTCTGATTTTAAACATAAAAAAATGTCTTAATGCAGATATAGTAAGGAAGTAATGAATTTTAACCATAATGATTTATTACTGTTTTCTGTTCAGAGTGGACAATATGGAGGCAGCAACCAGTTTGGACAGGTAAAACTCATTCTGCTTATTTCTGCTCCGAAATATATTGTATCTGCTTCAAAAGAAATAGACACAAGTATATGTCTATCTATTGTATAACTAAAATATATTAAGAAATCTTGACATACATATAAATAGCAATATTACTTAGACATCTATACCGCTTCATAGTGCTTCACAGCCAGTTTTCTGCTTTGTCCTAATTAATAGAAAACTTTTCTGTAAAGAATGGAGTGTTTAAAAATAACAATAGCCAATTGGAGCAATGCAATAACTGTAGCTGTAAAAATTACCATGGTTAAACAGTATACAGGTAATCCTCACTTAATTACTGGTTGCTTAGTGACCATTCAAAATTATGACGGACCCCCAAAAAGGCACCTATGACCCAATTTCCAACAGCTGCAACCTCCCACGCCCCACAGTTATTTGGCAACCAGCTTGCATTTATGACTGTTTGCAGTGTCCCGTGGTCACATAACCATGATATTCTGTGTTTTTTGCCAGTTTCTGCCATTTACTTCTGGTTTCCAGCAAAACACACCCAATTTGTATAATCGTTTAATGACCACTTCATTCATTTAACAATGGGCTCAATTAAACTCATAAGTCATGGACAACCTGTATTTGAGATGTAGACAAAATTAAATGAAATATTATTTCTGCTTTTGAATGCAGCAAATACTGTTTTAAGTTATCAAGATTATTATTTCTAATTAATTCTCATTTTCTTACAGGGAGGATCATATGGTGGCAGTAGCAGCCAGGTAAAAATGGCTGTATAATGTAGTGCATGTGCATAATATTTGCTATGCTTATTTATCATAGACTTGTAGAAATGAAATAAAATGAATAAATGGCTTAGTTCTGCTCCTGAACATTCTACATAATATTTTCTGTAGCTAAATGTAGCAAATATTGTGTAGTATATTCAGGAGCAAAACTAAGCTATTTATACATTTTATTTCATTTTTATAAATGTATGATAATAATCATAGCAATTATATAATATTTAACTAATTAACTAATAGATAACTATCATATGGAAAAGAAAATAAACATTTTCAGTTTAGTTCTACTACAGAATATAGCAATGAATTATATGTTTAATTACGATAATTATTTTGTAATCAACAATATTTTTACAACGAGGATCAGAAGGTGCTAGGGACAACCAATATGACAGCTACAAACTATTGTATAATATAGTATAGGTAAATAATATTACCTGGGTTATCCATAGTACAGTTATCATATGGAACACAAAATGAAATACGTTTTTCAGTTACTTCAGTTCAGGTCCTAAATATTGTGCTGTATTATGATGGCTGCAGGTATGACCCTAATGGACTCTGCTTATTAGGGTCGTAAGATGAATTGGATTCATTTTTACAACAGTTTTTACCACAGTAATTGAGTGAATAATTGGGTCATTAAAATAATGAAGTTTGACCTTGCTGTTTACTTTGGTTCATTAAATGATCGCTGCCATCTTTCAATGAACCAAGAGGCTTGAGAATCTGCAGGACACCCAGCTGGGGCCTCTGAGGGAACATCAGCTGTTCTGGCAAGGTGAGAAGCGCAGTGACTCCGGGCAAGCGCCCGAACTGAAGATGAGGTGGGAGGGTGAATTTGCAGGGCTCCGTGTGGAACCTCTGGAGGGAAACGCTATCACCCATTCGACAAGGAATCTACAGCAGTATTCACTAATCCTCTTATGCAAAAGCAAACAAACACAATACAGCAGATTACAAAGGACCTTTCTACAAGCAATCTCAAAAAACCTGCAAACAAAGAGTACAGGTAGTCCTCGACTTACAAAAGTTTGCTTTGTGACCGTTCGAAGTTACAACATCACTGAAAAAAATGACCTATGACCATTTTTCACACTTATCACCGTTACAGTATCCCCATGGTCATGTGATCAAAATTTCAGATGCTTGGCAACGGACTCACACTTATGACCGTTGCAGTGTCCCGGGGTCACATGATCTCGTTTTGCGACCTTTTGACAAGCAAAGTCAATGGGGAAGCAGATTCACTTCACAAATGTGACGCTAACTTAATAACTGCAGTGATTCACTTAACAATTGGAGCAAGAAAGTTCGTAAAATGGAGCAAAGTTCACTAAACAAACGTCTCACTTAACAACAGAAATGTTGGGCTCAATTGGGGTCGTAAGTCGAAGACTACCTGTACAGTAGGATGCGAAGGAATTTTACAGTACTAAATCTGCAAGCAATTCCAAGGCAATGCTAAAAAAAACCCCTTCTAAATACTAAAAGATTTTTTGAATAGTACTTATTTACAAACAAGTACAATAGTCTGCAAAGTACCCTGTTTTCCTGAAAATAAGACATCCCCTGATAATAAGTCCAATCGGGCTTTTGAGCGCATGCGCTAAAATAAGCCTCCCCCTGAAAATAAGCCCTTCCTGAAAATAATTAAATGAGAGCTGGAAATCAGGTAAGACGGCAAGAGGAGCCCAATCTTGCTCCATGCGCTCCAAAATAATAAGACCTCCCCAGAAATAAGGCCAAGCGCTTCTTTCGGGGTTCAAACAAATATAAGACAGGGTCTTATTTTCGGGGAAACACGGTACTTACAAACAAGTACAGTATTATAATGAAAAAGAAAATGGTAAAGTACTTACAAAGGCAACTGCAATACTCCAGGCCTCAAGACAACAGGAAGAAACAACAACAACAACAGAGTAGCGAGAGATTCACTCCTCATTTGGCAGCAATGAGGAGGGGGGGAAGCAAAGTCCTCAATCTTGGTTGATCAAATGACCAGAGGGAAAGAAACGCACCAACCATATGGACTTTGGAAATTATTGGTACTGGGGACAAAGGCCAGTCATGGCCCCTTAGTTGTGGCCACTGCTTCAGGAGTGATTTCCAGGTCATATACAGAGGCCTCTTGTTGGTCACAATTTTGAACCCCTGCTGTAAGTACACTTTTGGGGTGCGTTCATAACTCCAAACAGTCATTAAACAGCCATTTGTACCTCAAGGACTACTTGTCTTTTGTCATTTATTTACAAGGAAAATCATATGGCTGTCAATGTAGCATCTATATAAAAACTCGGCTAGTGTATGTATACTATAACATTTATGATATATTTACCATATATAAAATAAAATGGAAAGACGTGGCTCGTTTTTGCTCCTGAATATAGGCAGCCGTTTTGTGCTTTGTTAAGGTGATAATATTATAATTAATAAACATTTTCTTAAAGGGAGGGTCGCATAGCAGTGGCGGCAGTGGCGGCGGTGGCGGCGGCAGCAGCAGCAGCAGCAGCAGCAGCAGCAGCAGCAGCAGCAGCAGCAGCTCTTATGGGAGCCAGGTAAAAACAACTTTATAACTTTATTCATTTATAATGATAAATAAAGCTATAGATACATCCTACAATGTGTTTATATATACACACACACGCACATATTCAAATTCAAATTCAAATTATTCAAATTTCTATACCGCCCTTCTCCTTTCGGACTCAGGGCGGTGAACAGCCAAAATAAAAACATTTATAACATAAATACGATTAAAAAATAGATTTAAAATAATTAAATTTGGCCCATAGTTTAAAATTTATCAATTTAAAATCCATATCAAAATTTAAAACCAACCATAAAATCATAAAATCAAGAGAGACCGGCTAACTGAAAGAGATGAGTTTTTAGGGCCCGACGAAAGGTCCGGAGGTCGGAGATCACTCGTATCTCTGGGGGTAGATTGTTCCAAAGGGTAGGTGCCACCACAGAGAAGGCTCTCCTCCTGGGGGTCGCCAGCCGGCATTGTCTAGCCGACGGCACCCTGAGGAGGCCCTCTCTGTGTGAGCGAACTGGCCGGTGGGAGGCAATTGGTGGCAGAAGGCGGTCCCGTAAGTACCCCGGCCCTAAGCCATGGAGCGCTTTAAAGGTGGTCACCAACACCTTGAAGCGCACCCGGAAGTCCACCGGAAGCCAATGCAGCTCGCGCAGGAGAGGAGTCACATGGGAGCGCCCAGTCGCTCCCATAATCCCCCGCGCGGCCGCATTCTGCACCAGTTGGAGCCTCTGGGTGTACCCCAAGGGGAGCCCCATGTAGAGAGCGTTACAATAGTCCAGACGAGAAGTGACGAGTGCTTGAGTGACTGTGCGTAGGGAGTCCCGATCCAGAAAGGGGCGCAACTGGCGTATCAGGCGAACCTGATAAAAAGCCCCCCTGGCCACGGCCGTCAGATGCCCTTCTAAGGACAGCCGTGCATCCAGGAGGACGCCCAAGTTGCGGGCCCTTTCCGTGGGGGCCAATGATTCACCCCCAATAACCAGCGATGGCGTCAGCTGGCTATACCGGGACGCCGGCAGCCACAGCCACTCGGTCTTGGAAGGGTTGAGTCGAAGCCTGTTTCTCCCCATCCAGACCCGCACGGCCTCCAGGCACTGGGACATCACTTCCAAGGCATCGTTGGGATGGTCTGGGGTGGAGATGTACAGCTGAGTATCATCAGCGTACTGATGGAACTCCACCCCAAAACCACGGATGATCTCACCCAGCGGCTTCACATAAATGTTGAACAGGAGGGGCGAGAGGACCGACCCTTGTGGCACCCCACAAACAAGGCGCTTCGGGGTCGACCGCTGCCCCCCTGTCAACACGGATTGCAACCGGTCGGAGAGATAGGAGGAGAACCACCGCAAAACGGTGCCCCCCACTCCCAGTCCCTCCAGCCGGCGCAACATGATACCATGGTCGATGGTATCAAAAGCCGCTGAGAGGTCTAACAGGACCAGGATAGAGGAATAACCCCTATCCCGAGCCCTCCAGAGATCATCCACCAACGCGACCAATGCCGTTTCCGTGCTGTACCCAGGTCTGAAACCGGACTGGAGCGGATCCAAATAGACAGCTTCATCCAGGTACTGTGGAAGCTGTCGCGCCACCACACTCTCAACAACCTTCGCAATAAAGCGAAGGTTGGAGACTGGACGATAGTTAGCCAAAACAGCCGGATCCAGGGATGGCTTCTTGAGGAGAGGCCTCACCACCGCCTCTTTCAAGGCGGCCGGCAGGACACCCTCACTCAAAGAAGCGTTGATAATGCCCTGGAGCCAGCCTCGTGTAACCTCCCGGGAAGCCAGCACCAACCAGGAGGGACACGGGTCCAATAAACATGTGGTGGCGTTCAGCCGTCCCAAGATCCTGTCCACGTCCTCGGGAGCCACAGGATCGAACTCCTCCCAGATAACATTCTCAAGGCCTGCCTCAGTCATCTCGTCTGAACTAACCCAGTCAGTGGCCAAGTTTTCCCGAATCTGAGTTATTTTATCATCCAGATACTGTACAAAATCCTCAGCTCGGCCCTGCAAGGGGTCCTCCCGCGCTCCCAGATGGAGAAGGGAGCGGGTCACCCTGAACAGGGCGGCTGGGCGGTTATCTGATGACGCGATAAGAGCGGCAAAATAGCTAGATTTCGCCGCTTTTATCGCCACTAGGTAGGTCTTAATATGAGACCTTACCAGTGTCAAGTCGGATTCGGAACGACTGGCCCTCCAACCGCTCTCTAGGCGTCTTTTCCGGCGCTTCATCTCTCTCAGCTCCTCGGAGAACCAAGGAGCTAAGTGAGTTCGGTGCCGGGTCAGAGGCCGCAAAGGCACGACCCGGTCCAAAGCCCCGGCAGCCGCACTATCCCAGGCGGCCACCAGGTCATCAGCCGAGTCGTGAGCTAGAGTTTCAGGAAATGGCCCAAGCTCCATCTGGAACCTATCAGGATCCATCAGGCGCCTGGGGCGGAACCACCTGGTCGGCTCCGCCTCCCTGCGATGGGGTGCGGCGGTCAGAAAGTCAAGTCGAAGGAGCGAGTGGTCAGACCATGACAAGGGTTCAGTATCTATATCCCCTATATCAAGGCCACTCAACCACTGACCAGAGACAAAAACTAAGTCCAGAGTGTGTCCCCCCATGTGAGTAGGGCCGTGAATTACTTGGGTCAGGTCCATGGCTAGTCCTCAGTTACTGATCACAATTGGTATTGGCAACCCTGTTGCAAAGCACCAGAGATGCTAAGTGAAATATCATGTGGTGCAGAGGTGGGTTTCAGCAGGTTCTGACCAGTTCTGGAGAACCGGTAGCGGAAATTTTGAGTAGTTCGGAGAACCAGTAAATACCACCTCTGAATGGCCCTGCCCCCATCTATTCTCTGCCTCTCGAGTCCCAGCTGATCGGGAGGAAATGGGGATTTTGCAGTAACTGTTGCAATGTTTTCAGGATCAGGCTCAATAAAATCTAGTAAGAGTTAAAGGTTTGAATATTTCTCCTTTATTTACATTAGGCATTCTATATTCACTGAATATTCACAGATAGAAGCAAGGAAAAGGGTACGTGCAGCTCCTTATATATACAATGGGTGGAGCTAGGTGTGGGAGTGGTGAATTATGAATACATTAAGAAGTGAAGAATAAATTAACCCCTGATACCCCGTTCATATGCTATTTACACATTAGAGAATAAGGCATTTACATGTGACAAATCCCCCTCTAAATGCCGGTTCGTAATGCTACACCAATTACATTCAGATTCAGGACAATACAAAACATATAACTTGGAAGTTAAGTATTTATGCTGCTTAGAAGGTAAAGGCTTTGTCAGTATGTCAGCCAATTGTTCTGATGTTTCACAATGTACTGCTTTAATAAATCCATCCTGAGATAATTGTCTCACATGTTTAAATTTTATATCTATATGTCTGGACCTTTGTCCAATGGCGTCAGATCTAGATATTTCAATAGCTGCTTTATTGTCTTCATGCATAACAAAAGGTAAGGTAGGTTTTTTCCAAACATCTGAAATTAAGTCATTAAACCATACAAGGTTATTTGCAGCTTTAGATAAACAAACATATTCCGCTTCTGTCGTTGAAGTGGCCACTAATTCTTGTTTGCCAGTGTACCAGTAAACTGGACAGTCATTTAAGAGGAATATATAACCGGATGTACTTTTTCTACATGAGGTGTCTCCAGCCCAATCCGCATCCGCGTAACATGTGAGGTTTGGTTCTTTATTGTTATTAGGTTCTAACACCAGACAAAAGTCTAATGTATTTTTCAAATATCTCAGTATCCTTTTAACAGCTTCCCAATGGTACATAGTTGGTTTGCTGACATGTCTGGATAATAAATTGAGGGGTAAAGCGATATCAGGTCTTGTCCAATTAGAGATATAAAGGAGTGAGCCTATGACTGATCTATAAAACGTGTTATCTTTGAATTCAGGGGATGATTCATCATTATTTCTTAAGAAGTCAGTTTGCATAGGAGTATCACAAGGTTTGGCATCACTTAGATTGCATTTGTTTAAGAGCTCTATGATCTTATCTCTCTGAGTAAGTTTGAATCCTCTTTTAGTCTTATTAATTTGGACACCAAGATACTTATTTACTTTGCCTAAAGATTTCAATGAGAAATGTTCATTTAGCTTAGTTACAAAAGTTTCTCTCCTCTCTTTATGTTTACCTATGTATAAAATGTCATCCACATAGATCAATACAAATTCCATATAATCATCACCTTTTTTAACAAAGAAACAGTTATCAGCAGTAGTAGCATTGAAATCCATAGTTTTAAGTACTTTTACTAAACAATCATACCATCGTTTACCAGATTGTTTTAACCCGTATAAACTCTTGTTTAACAACCAAGTCTCATTCTTATTTGTGTATTGACTGTGAGGTGCTCTTACATATATTTCTTTGTCTAGTTTTGCGTGCAGATACGCAGTCTGTATGTCATATTGGAATACATCGAGATTGAGTGCTGATGCTACTACTAGAGCTGTTTTGACACTCTCAGTTCTTACTGTGGGGGAATATGTATCAGTATAGTCCTCCGGGTATTTCTGTGCATAACCTTGTGCAACTAGTCTAGCTTTATATAAAGTGTTGCCTCCTTCTAAGTTTTTAATTTTATATATCCACCTAGTACCAATAATTGTTTTGTCTTTTGGTGCAATTGCAGGTGTAAATACGTTTAATCCTTGTAAACTTTCCATCTCTTTCTTCATTGCTAATTCCCATTTTTCTTTTTCTTTGTGAGGAAGTTTTAACACTTCTTCATAAGTATTAGGTGTCGTTGATTCACCTCCCATATGCATTATGTAATCCTTGTATTTATTTGGCATTTGATTTCTGGTGTTTCTAATTGTTTTTTCAGGTTTACTATTATTATCATGCAAATATCTTGCTTCCTTTTTTGTTAGTGTGTCTGTCTTTATTTTATGTTGGGTATTTGTCCATGTTTTGGTTTTGTTTCTATGTTTGTTGTCATTTTGCTTTTCTACAGTTCCTTTCCCTTGAGATTCTGTACCTTTGTTGTTACTTGGAAATATTTCATTAAGATGTATTTTAGACCAGTTGGCCTGCTCATGGAACACAGCTGTTCTGGAAACTATAAATTTGTTATTATTATCAATGAATCTGTATCCTTTAGTGCCTGTCTCATACCCCATAAATCTGAGCCTTCTGGACACATTTTCTCCCTTTCTTCTTAATTGCTTAGGTATGTGTACGTCTGCAGTGACTCCAAATATGTGCATGTGTGCCAATTTTGGTTTCCTATTATATATCACTTCGTATGGTGTCTTATTTACAATGCTGGACCAGGTTCTATTCTGTGTGTAATTGGAATAATGTAGGGCTTCTGACCAGAATTGTTTGCTTAAGCCAGCATCTTCCAATGTGCATCTAATCATGGTTTGTAATGTTGAGTTTTTTCTCTCTACAATTCCGTTCTGAAACGCAGAAAAAGGGCTAGTTGTGTAATGTAACATTCCTCTGTCCTTCAGCCATTGGGAGAATTCTTTAGACATGAATTCACACCCCCTATCTGTCATGATTTGTTTTATTTTGATATTATGCTGTGTTTCTATGCGTTTGTAAAATTCTTTAAATTTCTGGAAAGTTTCATCTTTGTGTTTTAATGTATAAACAAATCCATAGCGACTATAATCGTCCACTATGGTTAAGAAGTAACGTTTTCTGTAAGTGATTGATGGAGTTAGTGGACCAACTAAGTCCATGTGTACTAAATCAAAAATTTTGTTGGTTGATCTAGTTGATTTCCTTGGTCTGGGGCTTGTTTTTAGTTTTGTAGATTTACATACTGAGCATTCCAAATAGTTTTCACAATTTTTTATTTTAACACCTTCTGCGTGTTCAGTCATTTTTTGTACTACAGGAAAACTGGCATGTCCTAACTTCCTATGTAAAATATGAGCACACTCATCATGAATTGGCTTACCTATTTTTGGTTTTTTTTCATTATTTGCATCTTTGTGATCATGAGATATTTTACGTTCATCATTGTCACTGTTGCTAATGTTTTCATCATCTACTTCAATACAATCTTCCATATTTGAATCAATGTTGTGCAACCATTTTTCTTTTGTTATTAAATAAGGTAGGCCCCCTTTTACCATCACAGTGCCTATGTCTATTTTATTTTTCTCCAAAGTCGCTTTTCCTTTAGAAAAAACAATGTTAATATCAGAATCCCTGCTTAGTTTTATGGCGCTTAGTATGTTATGAGGTATTTCGGGTATTAGTAATACCCCCTCTATTTTTCCTAGGCCAGGTAAGGTTACATTCCCTCTACCTAATACTTGAACCTTTTCTTGGTTAGCTACCTTTATTACAAATTTATCTTCTACAAATGAAGATAATATATTTTTGTTATTGGTGGTGTGATTAGTTGCTCCAGAATCAATAAGCCAATTATTGTTCTCAGTCTGTTGTATGTTAATGTTGTCTTGTTTATTTAATCCATTCAGTGAACCAGATTTTCTATCCTTTGAATTATCTCTGCCCCCTCTATTCTCTTTGTAATTTGGTGGGCTTCTATATCTATGTCTATCAATGGAAGACTGTCTATAATTGTATTTGTTTCTGTATTCTGACCTATGTCTTTCTTTTGAAGTTTTGGGACAATCTCTTCTATTGTGTTCCCTGGATCCACAGTTGTGACACCTAAATGTTTCATTATATTTTTCTTGAAAAGCTACTCTCCTATATGATTTGTGTTCTATGCGATTGTTAGAGCGATTCCTCCTCGAGTTGTCTTCTGCTATTAACTTATTGGATAGACTTTCTATGGATAAGTATCCTAGATTGATTGTGTCTAAATGTGACATATAATTATCCCATGATGGGTCAAGTGAATTGATGATAACACTTTTCATTGTTTGGTCTGAAATCACCTCCCCCCTTAAATGCAGTTCAGCTCTTATTTTGTTCAAAGATATTAAGTGTTCACTTATGGAAACTCCTGGTTTTATCCTAGATGAAAAGAAATCTTTAGACATCCTTGTGGTAGTAGCTACACTGTCACTGTGAAATAAATTGAACATGCATTGAATAATTTCTGAAACAGTCAGATTTTGCTTAATGCTGTGATACATAGCAGGAGATACACTAGAAATTAATAAGAAAAATGCTCTATGGTGTAAACAGTCTAATTTTAGAGTCCAAGGTCTTTTAGGGGGACTAGTGATAAAAAACAGTAAGTTTTCTTTCATAAAGACAACCTGGAGTTGCTGATACCATTCTTGTAAATTAATGCCATCTATCCTCAGCTTTGGGAAGTCATTGGGCAAATTTCCGACATTATTAGGTCCATTACTTACAACCTGAGGTAGTCCGTGGTCTCGCAAATGCTGAAAGTTACAAAACGGCGTGGGGATGCTCGCGACGAGCCTGCACGGTCTTCTCAGCAAGTCATGTCTTCCTGGACCGTCTGCGTAGTCTTGCGCATGCGCGTTGTCCATTTCGTTCCTGGAGTCGTCGTGAGAGGTTCTCGTCGTTGCGGCTTGCTCGCTCTGTTCCTCCTCAGACGAATCGGTCTCTGGCTCGATCTTGGGAGTTCTGACGATGGCAGCTGCTCTTCCTCTCCTTTTGAGAGCGTTGGTGCTTGCTTCGGTCCGTGGCGTGGGACGGTATCGGCAGGGCTCTCTGGGTTCGGGCGTCGGCGTTCTCGTAGTCAGGATGGGAGCGTGTAGGTTTTGAGGCATTGGCTTGCTCGCTTGCTTCTTAGTTAGCTTTTTGGTAATTTTTAATTTTGGCCCAAATGCAGCAAAAAGCGTTTTCATCGCTGATTTTATCTGATTGTCTGTTGAATCACCTTCACTTTCCGATTCTGATTCTTCTGAGGTGTTTGAATTTTCTTTTTCGTTTTCGTTGTCTGGTAATGTTTTTCGCGCCAGAAATTTTGAATCGAGTTTTCTGATTGGCTCTGCTTCACTCACCCTGGAGGTCTATTGAAACCAAGATGGCTGCCATTCAAAATTTTGCGCGGGATCACCGTTTTTCTTCTTCATAGTAATTTTTTTTGTAGTCATATCACTCACTATTTTTGAGTCTTTTGGTTTTTCGGTAGTGATGTGCTTCTCTCTCGCTGCTCCGCTGTTCTTCAGCATATCTTGGAGTTTCGCGATGAGGCTTTCATCATTCTTCTGGCTCTTTAATATTTTTAATATCTCTGACCTGAGTTCGTTGTTTTCTATTTTGATTTCCTCCCGATCATTATTTTCATTTATTGTTTCTTCGTCTTCAGTGGTGTATTCTTCGGATTCTCTCGAAATTGCGTTTGTGGATTCGTCGATTATTTCTTGGTCCGTTTCCATTTCTTTGCTGTATGCCCTGGTGTTGGGCCTATCTCTTTTAGACATTCTTTTTTAAATTTTTCTATTGAGTCAATTAACCATCCTCTGCTACCAGCTTGTTGCAATGTTTTCAGGATCAGACTCAATAAAATCTAGTAAGAGTTAAAGGTTTGAATATTTCTCCTTTATTTACATTAGGCATTCTATATTCACTGAATATTCACAGATAGAAGCAAGGAAAAGGGTACGTGCAGCTCCTTATATATACAATGGGTGGAGCTAGGTGTGGGAGTGGTGAATTATGAATACATTAAGAAGTGAAGAATAAATTAACCCCTGATACCCCGTTCATATGCTATTTACACATTAGAGAATAAGGCATTTACATGTGACAGTAACCTTCCCTTGGAGTGGGGAGGGAATGGAGATTTTACAGTATCCTTCCCCTGCCACGCCCACCAAGCTATGCCACACCCACTAAGCCACACCCACAGAACCGGTAGTAAAAAATTTTGAAACCCACCACTGATGTGGTGATATATTGCAAAATATCACGATAGACTAATTACCTGCTTCCGTTATTACATGAATCACAAGATGGCTAAGTGAGACATCACATGATTGTGACTTGCAATTTCACTTCTACGTTCTCCATTACTTCTGCTTGTTGGAACTTAGTTGTGAAGCTTGGAAATGGTGATCACATGACCACAGGACTCTGCATCAGTTGTAAATGTGCACAGGTTGCAAAGTGCCTGAATGGCAATTCCATTGACACTCTGAGGGCTGTAAAGGCGAGGATTGGTCACAAAGCTGTATTTTCCAACTTTCATAACTTTGAACAGTCACTAAACAAGGTTGTTGGTAAGTGAGGACTACAGGTGTGTGCATGTGTGTATGTATATGTATATATCATATGCAGTATATTTACAATAAGCATGTTATATTTTGTCTATTACATAGAAAATATACTATTAAATACACTATATGAATATATATTTAGCTTATAGGAAATAAAGTTTGGGGGGAGTTCCTTTCTGCTTCTGAATATAGCAAGGAACATTGTGCTTTATTAAGATGAATATGTTATAAGAAATGTGGGATACAAATAAATAAATAAAAATAAATTATAAGTATTTTCTAAAGAGAAAGAATCCTGCGATGGTGGCATCAGTCAACAGAACAGCCATGTGGGGAAAGGAAGGGGAAGGAGAGAAGAGGAAGGAGAGGAGGAAAGAAGAAAGTAGAAAAGGATAGAAGAAGGCAGGGAATGGAAAGAGAAAAGAAGGAGAAGAAGGATTGTAAAATAAGGGAGAAGAAAGAGTAGAAGAGCAATCCCGAATATAATTGAAAAATCTTTTTTTTCTTTAGAAAATATGTATATGTGTGAGTAATTATGAATAAGAGAATGTACATTTTCAATATGTTTATAAGAAATAAAATAAAAAACTTTTTTCAAAAAAAACAGAACAACCATGTAAAAATATTATTTGATGCAGTTTTATGTATATAATATTTGTCATGGTAATCTGTAATAACATAAAATCAGATGTGTTTTTTTCACCCTATCTTTCCTTCTAAAGATAGAAGGTAGCTTTGCATTTTATTACAGTGAGTTATTTTGTAATTAATAAGTATTTCCTTACAGGGCAGACCATATGGTGTTAACCAATATAACAGCCAGGTAATTTGGACATTTTTAAATATTTGCCATGGTTATTTATATTGCATGTCCTATGTATTTTAGCATATATTTGTATTCCAAATATAATGTGTATCCAAATACATTTTGGAATGTAAATGAAGTTTTTTTGGCTCCTGAATATATACAGTGGTTTTGGGCTTCATTAATTGAATTATTTTATAATAAGCATCTTCTTACAGGGAGGATCATATAGCAACAGCAGCAGCAGCAGCAGCCATTATGGCAGCCAGGTAAAAAAATATTTTATACTATAGTGTTTTAATAGTGATACAGATAGAGAGGTATAGGATATTTGTGATATTTTTTATTGATTTATACATAGAGATAAGCATATAAAATATTTGCCAAGGATATCTACAATATATATATATATATATATATATATATATATATCTCCTATGAAAACAAATTTGTCTTACTTCTGCTTCTGAATATAGTAAAGAGTTTTGTGCTTTATTAAGGCAATTATTTTATAATTAATAAGGATTTCCTTGCAGGGAGGAAATTTATTTTATTTGCCCCTTTTTCAGGTTTGCCCTTTATTTTTTTTCCAAGAAAATAGAACCATTGTAATCTTAACACACTTAGGGTAAATAAAATAAAATATATTTTGCTTACTTTACTTCTACTGCTGAATGTAAAAAAGGAGTGTTGGGTTTTATTAAAGTGATAACTTTATAACTAATAAGCATTTTCTTACAGGGAGGATCATATAGCAGCAGTAGCAGCAGTAGCGGCAGCAGTCATTATGACAATCAGGTAAAAATTACTTTATAACATTGTGTGTTTATAATGATCTAAACTAACTACAGCGCAGGGGGCCAGATTCTGCGCAGCAGCACTGGGGATTTGTCGCAAACTCGTGTCTTCTCCACTATAGCGATGTTATATAACAATTGTGGCAAATCCTTTGCACTGCTTAGTCATTTCCCTTTTAGCGTTGAACCTACAACGGGCCACACAGTTTATGGATTGCAACTATCGTATAGTCAGACCATGTATAAATTGACAGATTGGATTTTATTATAGATTTTAGTTGTTATTTATTATTTTATACTAGAATTTTTAATTGTATATATACTGAGTGCTTTTATTTGTTCTGGCCTCTGGTCTAAGACTGTAATAAATTGTTGTTGTTGATTTAAATATAGATCTACATTTACATATGTAGATATATATACTATTATCTATTTTTGTATCTTTTTAAAATAAAGATACAGACAAAACATAGGTATCTAAAATGATTGCCATGGACATTATTTCTGTTCCTGAATACAGTATAGTAAGCAGCTTTGCGCTTTATTCAGGTAATTATTTTATAATTAAGAAATAATAATGGCAACAGCCAATACAGGTAGTCGCCGACTTACAACAGTTCGTTTAGTGACTGTTCAAAGTTACAACGGCGCTGAAAAAAGTGACTTATGACCGTTTTTCACACTTACAACCATTGCAGCATCCCCATGGTCATGTGATCAAAATTCAGATGCTTGAAAAGTAGTTCATATATATGGCCATTGCTGTGTCCCAAGGTCATGTGATCCCCTTCTTCGACCTTCTCACAAGCAAAGTCAATGGGGAAGACAGATACACTTAACAACCGAGTTACTACTTATCAACTACAGTGATTCACTTAACAACTGTGGGAAGAAAGGCCATAAAATGGGGTAAAACCAGTGGTGAAATGTAAAACTTGTTACTACTGGTTCTGTGGGCATGGGTTGTTGGTGGGGGGTAATGTGACTGGGTGGGCGTGGCCAACTTTTTTTTTTTTTACTTTTAAAAGCATTTTTTCTACAACCTTAAGAGGTTGTAGGAAAAAATGCTTTTAAAAGCCTCTGACGATCAGGCAACTCAGCTGGGATTGTCAGCGGCTTTTAAAGGCATTTTTTTTTTCTACAACCTCTTCGGCCTAAGAAAAAATGCTTTTAAAAGACTCTGACAAACCCAGCTGAGCTGCGCGATCATCACAGGCCTTTTTTTTTTACTTTTAAAAGCATTTTTTCGGCCGAAGAGGTTATAGAAAAAATGCTTTTAAAAGTTTTTTAAAAAGCCTCTGATGATCACACGGCTCAGCTGGGCATGGAGTGGGGCAGGGACTTTTGCTACCGGTTCTCCGAACCACCCACCGCCATCGCTTCCAGATCGGGCGATCCGGTCTGAACCGGGACCATTTCACCCCTGGGTAAAACATACTTAACAAATGTCTCACTTAACAATAGAAAATTTTGGGCTCAATTGTGCTCATAAGTTACCTGTACAACAGCTAGACAAAAACTTTTTTTTGCTGTGTGTCTATCTGCACCCTTGTCTACTTGTATATGTAATATTTGCCAATGGCTCTCTGGTATTAGAATTTAGGGCATCGAAAATAAAATAACATTACAAAGTTCATGTTATGTCTATTCCTGAGTAAAGAAAGTATCTTTATGTTTTATTAAGGTTTATTATTAAATATTTTATAATCAATCAGTATGTTCTATACAGGGAGCATCATATGATGGCAACAGTAACCAATATGGAGGCCAGGTAATTTATCATTATTTATAATACATATGTAACATTTAATAGACATATTACATGCATATATGCATAGGGAAGAAAATGTTAAAAAGTGTTCTACTTAGTTTTGCTCCTAGATACAAAATGCAGATTACACTGAAATCTTAATTGGGGAAAGATAAACAGTAAAAGTTCACTAATTAAAATAGATTCTAAATTTGTGATATCAAAGTATATGAGAAATGGCTATCCCATTTGATATTTAGTCTTGTCTTATTGGCCTTGTTGATTCATTGTTGAAGTAGAACTGCTTTTTTAAGGCATATTGGTATGTCGCAATTATTATCCACTTTGATATTTCTCTTTTTGGAGGGTTAAACTTGATGAATTGCTTTCTTGTTGACACCAGGGGTGAAATTCAAAATTTTTCCCTACTGGTTCTGTGGGTGTGGCTGGTGGGCGTGGCAGGGGAGGGATACTGCAAAATCCCCATTCCCTCCCCACTCCTGGGGGAAGGGTATTGTAAAATCTCCATTCCCACCCCACTCTGGGGCCAGCCAGAAGTGGTATTTGCCAGTTCTCTGAACTACTCAAAATTTCCGCTACCGGAATCTGCTGAATTTCACCCCTAGTTGACACCCCTGCGTTTTCCTTCCCGGGATGTGTTCCAGTGGGGGCTAGACAACCATTTCTCTGGGATATTTGAATGACAAAATGGCCCTTTTAATTCTATAATTATGTGAAAGAAAATGGAAAGGAGATTAACTATGGCAATTCACACTGGTAAAAGCCTCATCTAGCCTGATATCTAAAATCCACAGTTTTGCTTCTTATGTTTGCCACTTTTAATAGACACAAGAGAGGGGGTTACTTTCAACTCACATTCTTGTAGATCTTTCTTTAATAATTTAATTTAATTTAATTTAATTTAATTTAATTTAATTTAATTTATTTAATTTAATTTAATTTAATTTAATTTTAATTTAATTTAATTTAATTTAATTTAATTTAATTTAATTTAATTTATATGCCGCCCCTCTCTGAAGACTCAGGGCGGCTCACAATACATTTTCAAAAATCATTATAAAAAAACATTTAAAAATTAAAAACATTAAAAACATTAAAAACTCATTCACGCCATTCATGGCCGGATCTCGCCAGATCACAAGAGCGAGATCAACGGCCCCAGGCCTTTAGGCGGATGAAGCACATGGTCACATGATCTGACCTCTCTCCCAGCCGGAGTTTGGTGTATGCACACACATGCATGCATTACCCCCCAGTAGGGGTAAGTTGGCTGCGTTTGTGACTGCTGTCACCACTATATGACCTTTCTTATTCAGAATATACTTCTTAAAAGTGAGGAAGGAAGGCACAACTAATAAAAAGAACAGGGCTTCTTCATCCATGCTGTTGTGCCCATCATTTTTTACTATTTAACACCCCCTTAGAACACCCTAGCTGTCAGCAAAACCAGTGGTGGGTTTCAAAATTTTTTACTACCAGTTCTGTGGGTGTGGCTTGGTGGACATGGCATGGCTTGGTGGGTGTGGCTTGGTGGGTGTGGCAGGGGAAGAATACTGTAAAATCTCCATTCCCACCCCACTCCAGGGGAAGGTTACTGCAAAATCCCCATTTCCTCCCGATCAGCTGGGACTTGGGAGGCAGAGAATAGATGGGGGCAGGGCCAGTCAGAATTTTTACTACCGGTTCTCTGAACTACTCAAAATTTCCGCTACCAGTTCTCCAGAACTGGTCAGAACCTGCTGAAACCCACCTCTGAGCAAAACATTTCTTAATAAAGAACGGTTACTTTGTTTGCCTTCCCCTCATCCTGGCAAACATAGTCCAATATGAGAATCAATATGAGATTTCCTCAATGAACTATAATTTGTAATAACTGTTTTTGTAATAACTTTTTTTTTAACAGGGTGAATCTTACAACAGCAGCAGCCAAAATGGAAAGGTAAAATTCCTGGAATAGTTTTACCTTTAAAGGGAAGCATCATTTGGAATGCTGGACTCTCTATCAACAGCATACTTGCAGTCAAAAAACTCAGATGTCACCCTTTCCTTTCGCTTTTCTTCCTTAGTCCTTGAAATTTATTGAACAATAAAGTTCAAACTGGAATACAGAAGTCTGCTACTGATCTTGAAAATCTGTACTTCCTTTGATTATTCAATTCTGATTACGTAACAGTCAGTTGGTCATTTTATTTCCATCACTGACCAGCAAAATAGATCTTTGGAAAAAAAGAGTCACATTTTACTTGCTGAAAATCAATGCAGTCTTTACAGCACATAAATTAACTATAATAAAACCAGCTACACAGCAAGAGAGCAAAAATATTCATTTAAGAATTTGGGGCACAAAAATTAATATAATAGCGCATTATCCAATTTGAATAAGGCAATTATTTATTATTATTTCAAGTAATAAAATAGCAACATTACTGATCTAAAGTATAAAGGCATTACATTCCAAAAATCCATGGAAAAATGTAATTAGTGTTAATATTATATCTAGAGACAAATAAACATTTACTAAACACTGTTGATCACACAAATTAACAACAATTTGGATATGATTAAAATTAGATACCGTTTCCTGAAATCTGGTCAGGGTAACCTGCATATTAAACAAAACTAAAAATAAGAGACAATTGTGAAATGCTGAGGAATATTTGGTTCTTGTGGATTTTCTTGGCATCTTTTCTGCCATGCCTCACTTTATTACTTCCCAATTTCAATTTCCAGAGCAGGACACAGCCTATTGCTAAGACTTTGAAGATATGAATTTATCCCGTCAGGACTATTGAAAACATCCCCTTCTATCTAAAACAACGTTTCTCAAACTTTGGAATGTTAAGATCTGTGGACTTCAACTCCCAAATGTCTGAAGAATTCTGGGAATTGAAGTCCACACATCTTAAAGTTTCCAAGGTTGGGGAACCCTGGTCTAGAAAAACAAAAGAAGAAGTCACTCCTCCACATGTCCCATAGCCAGGTCAGGATACGGTTAGGGTTAGGATTAGGATTTTCTTATCTCCCACTAAGAGTCATATAATAAAGTATCAGAAAAATATTGGATTCCTCATATTTTACAGAATTCCTTCTCTTCTGGAGCCAGTCAGCCAGGAGATCAGGTAAGAGATTCTCTCTTTGTTAGATTGAGGTGTAACTTTCTTGTTATTTTTAAAAGCAAAATCATAACATATAAAATTGCTTGATAAAAAAGCAACTGCAGCAGAAATAATGTCTTTTCCTTTGTAGAACTCAGCTTCTTCAGGAGGCATCCAAACTGGTAGACAAGTAAGAAAATAATGTGTAGGCAGTCCCTTGACCCTGCCTTCATCCCCATCATTCTGTTTGCTTTCACAGTGGGTGGGGGCAACCCCACCGCTAACCATTGGGAAAGAATGGTGAAATTGTTGTCCAACAAACAACAGTGGTGACAAGGTACCATGTTTTCTTGGTTTCAGGAGAGAGGGTGTCATGTTCCTGCTGCAAAAATTGCTGCAAAACCATTTGCAATGATCCCCCCCACCCCCCGATCTCAAGATCTATATAAGGTCCACAGCACAGAGGGCATACTGGGCTTTGCACATTTAAATCCCACACCTCTTGCCTGTGAAAGAGACCAAAGAATAGCCTATAGTGGTATCATATAATTATCACAGCTGTATTCTCCAACTCTCCCAACATTCAGTAATTATCAAGGATAATGCCTAACTACGCATGGTATTGTTAGGGCAAAATAAGGCAACGGAATGAAGCAATCTTGTCCAATCAGGTGCCCTCCAGATGGGTTGGGACAATAATACCCAGTGGTATCTGCAAGGGGAAGTCAAGACAGACAAGATGGTGGTTGTAGGAACATGATCCATGCCCTGTCCTTTTTGCATCTGTGTCAGCATTGAACACATATACATATGGACACAGCTTCGATTGGGCTCCCATGACAACCTTCTTGCCTGTCTTAATACTTAAACTCTAAAGATGCAGCTAACGATTCCCCAAATTCCCAGGCTTTGGAATCTGGGAATTGAATTCACAACATATATCACGGGCAGTAACTCAGTGATTGAGGGGGTAGCCCAGTGATTTGGAAGATAGATGAGCAGCTTAGAGTTAATTTTTGGTGAGTGCTACATTGTACTGCAGCAGACTCAATCAATAGCAATAGCAATAAGAGTTGTATACCGCTTCATAGTGCTTTTACAGCCCTCTCTAAGCAATTTACAGAGTCAGCATATTGCTCCCAACAATCTGGGTCCTCATTTTACCTCGGAAAGATGGAAAGTTAAGTCAACCTTGAGCTTGGTGAGATTTGAACTGCTGAATTGCAGCTAGCAGTCAGCTGAAGTAGCCTGCAGTACTGCACTCTAACCACTGCGCCACCTCGGCTCTTTAGTTTTAGAAGTAGATATAGTAGAAGTAGAATAGTTTTCTTCTCAATTAAATATATTGTGTAATAAGTATGATAATGTAGGCTGTGTGTATATATATATATATATGCTAGTTTTTCTGAGATTTGCCAGTTAAGACAGTATGTCTTTTGAAGCTGATTAAAAATGGACCCCTGTAACACAAACCTATTAATCTATTTTTTTTCTTTAAGACAGAGCCAAGATGATGACAGAGTAGCAGTTTCCCTAAGCTCCTTATGATACTTTATTTGATTTATCAATTTTTATAAATAGTGTAGCTATCCAGTACTTAATTCTATATATTCAGGCTCAAGCTATTTTTTCCTCAACATTGATAACACTAATTGATAATAAATTGATAATTATCAATAATAATTTGGTACTAGACAGATCATATCTGGACTATATCCAGTTGAGCATATTGCAATTGCATATAAACATAAAAAAGAATTAAACATTGAATTTCAAAAATGTGACCCTAAAACCTTAGCAAAGTTAACAAAATCATCTCTGGAAAAAATAAGAACTATGTTTTTAGGTATTGTGCCAGGAGTATATTTCATCATTCTCCGTAAAGAAGCATCGATTCATTTTCAGCCAAACAAATTATTGACTAAAAGTGATATTTTACAAATAGTCAGAATATCTTTTATTAAAGAATTACTGAATTTCTGTTCTGTTTTCTTAGCAAATTGGATGTTATTGTACAGGTGGGCTTTTGGTAAGTGCTCATTTTTCCCTAATTTGTGTTTTGATTGCACTGAAGCAGAAATGGGATTCTTTGAGTTTAGTTTAGCATCATAGTTTAGCATCCATTACAGGTCCTAAAGCAGAATTTTGTTTTAATGCAAGGTTGCCCGAAGCGATCAATATCAGGAGTCAATTAGACAATCCAAGGGACCAATAAATGTCTGGGGGTCCATAGATTGTTGATAAATGATGGAAGGTCAATTAGGATCAATTAATATTTGTGGAGCTCCATGCAAATCTCTAATTCTGAAGATGAAGTAGCTAGTAGTTACTCAGAGTTGGATAGAGCCATCAACAAGGGAAGTCTAGAATTGTTTCTATTATTATGACTTGTTGCATCATCAACCAGATGTTTAGACTGGATTTGGCATTTTAATCCACTTATCAAGTTCTTCCCTAGGTTCTGGGAGAGGCACATGTTGTTTGATGGTGTTACAGTAACATTGCAGGATGCAAGCTGTTTCAAGTAAAGTTGATTTTTGCAATTGACTGATGATTTTGTCAATTCTGGTAGTGTTCAAGTAGTGCTCCAGATGTTTTGGGATTGCACACAAGATGCCTATTATTTTTGGAACTATCTTTGGTTTCCTTTGGCACAGTAATTTATACACTAGAAATGTTTCTATTCAAATATATAAGGTGTTCATCCAGATATATTAATAAATGCAACTTTCCTAGGGATTTTTCTTTCTGATCAGATTTAAAAATACAGATGAATTTTTCTTTAATAGGATTCCTCTAATCATGGACAAAGCAGCCAATATGGTGATGGACAAGTAAGGAATATTTTTCTATAGAAATGATGATTTGACATGAATTGACTTTCCAATAAGAATGAGCATGAAAAAAACCCTGATTTCTATTGTTACAGGATTCCCAATCAGCTAGTGGCCAATATGGTCATGGAGAAGGAAGCTTGAATGGGGACACCAGCAAATATGTTGAACATGGTGGCAGTAGCCAATATGATGGACAAGGAAGCCAGCAGCATGGCCATAGCCAATATAGTGGTGGACAAGGAAGCTCCTATAGCAGCAACAGTCAATATGGTGGCAGACAAGGAAGCCAATATGGTGATGGACAAGGAAGCTCATATGGTGGCAGTAGCCAATATGGTGAACAAGGAAGCCAGGCTGGAGCTGGACAAGGTGTCTCATATAGCAGCATCAGCCAATATGATGGACAAGGAAGCCAGTATGACGGTGGACAAGTAAGTCTATATGGTGGTGGAGAAGGAAGTCAATATGGTAGTGGACAAGAAAGCTCAAATGGTGGCAGTAAACAACAAGGAAGCCAATATGGTGGTGGACAAGGAATCTCATATAGCAGCATCAGCCAATATGATGGACAAGGAAGCCAATATGGTAGTGGACAAGGCAGTCAATATGGTGAGAGCATCAGTGGTGGGTTGCTCCCAGTTCGGTCTGGTTCTATAGAACTGGTAGTAAAACCGGCGGGAGGCTCCACCCACCCACCACAATGTCATCATGGGTGATCTGCGCATGCGCAGAAGTGCCTGCGCGCAGTCCCATTGTGAGCCAGTAGTAAAGGTAAGTAGAACCCACCCCTGGCAAGCATCAATATGGTAGTGGATGAGGAAGCAAATATAGTGGACAAGTAAGGAGAATATTTTTAGGAGGATTTTATATTTTACGGCAATGTCAGCCTTTGATCACAGAATAAAATTAAGAAAAAAAAAATAAGTAAATCCTGCAAAGAGAGACTGAATTGAGAATGCTTGGATTTGAGATAAGAAGGCTGAGGAAGGATATGAGAGGACAGTTCAAATACTTGACAAAGCTGTGTACTTGGGTTCATTGTTCTGAGTGCAGAATAATGGATTTCAGTTACAGAACCAAGATTTGATTAAATAGAGTTCCTAACAGTAAGAGTAATAGAATACATTAATTCAGAGAGTTCCAGAAAGGTGTGGTGGATTGTTCTTCACTGAATGTGTTTAGGCAACACAACATAAGAGATTCACTGGGGCCAACATCAGTGAAAGTCAGTATGGTATAATCACTAAGAACTAGAGCCAGGAAGACCCAAATTCAAGTCTACTCTTAGTTATGGAAATACATTGGGCGACTTTCTGCCAATTATACACTTTTAGGAAAACCTCTGAAATTTGTTGCTGGGGAAAATAATGGAAGTGCGATATGGACAGGTTTAAGGCGATTTAAAGGTGCAATATGAATCTGATAAATAAATAATGACAATGATTCTTATTTCGTGTATTGGCCATTGTTTTAATAATGCATTTCCTACTTAGAGGGTATCACTGCCAAAACAGTGAAGTCTTATTTTAAATGATTATTTGGGAAGAAGCAGTATTCATTATATACAAATGTGCATTAAATAAGAAAGACTACTTTCTGGGAATTGCCTGGCATGATGTGTTATGATGATCAGAAGTGCTTTATAGACTGTATAAATCACCCTTTCTGAGCCATCAGAATTTTAAATGACAGGTCATAAATTGAGGATTATCTATAGCAGGGGTGTCAAACTCGATTTTATTGAGGGTCCCAATGTGTTTGACATTGACTTTGGGCGGGGTGGGCGTGGCCAGGGTGGCCATGGCCAGCTCGATGTCACTTGTGTCAGTGCCTCTGGTGGCCTGAGCGCTCTGCCAGAGAAAACGGGCTCGCGAGCTCCATTTTTGGCTGCGACGGCCTCCTGCAACCCTCTGCCAGTGAAAATGGAGGTCAGGAGGGCTCCCGAGTTCCATTTTCACCAGCAGAGGCATTGTGGGTCTCTGGTCCTTCACTGTTTCCAGGGAAGCTCTGCGGGCCAGATCTAAGCATCCCGCAGGCCGGATCCGACCCCCAGGCCTTGAGTTTGACACCCCTGATCTATAGATACTATGACATTTTTTTCATTGGTATAGATCAGGGAATACTATTGTATATTATGGCTGCAAAGAGAGAGAAAACCTACAGTGAAGAATAGATGTGGGCTCATAAAATTAACACCCTTCTCCAGTGTTCTAGTCTCAGTTCAAAACAAGAAGGGGGAATCAATCATTTTTAGAAAAAAGTAAACAGCAACAGCTTGTCTTCAATGACATGTCTAGCTGGGCCTCAATTTCCCTTTACATAGAAGTAGATCACAATCTTTTCCAGTCAGGTTATAAGTCATATGGAAGTACTCAACATAAAGGTAGGCAGGTAATTTTTCTCTCAAGCATTAGCACATATTTATAGAACTGTTGGAACTTATGTTGAAATTATTTTCTTTTTCTAATTGCCTTTTTTGCCTGCACAGGGTTCCCAGCATGGAAGTACTCAGTTTGCTGGTAATGGAAGAGGCAAGCAACAGAGTGGACAAGTAAGGACTTCTCAAATAAATGTATTTGGGCTGCACTAGTTAATTGATTATTTCTTCTATTTAGAAATCAGTATAGCCTGTAATGTCCTTACAGTTAAGAAAGAAAATAGGTTGTTCTGATACTAATGTATTTGTTATACCTTAGGGAGAATGTGGACACTGATCTTGAGTATATTCAAACTTACAATCCTGGTTTTATTAAGTTCAATTGAACTTTTGAGAAATCCAATATAGTTTTGTACTGTAATAATGTGTTTTGATTACATACATTCAAAATGACTATGCAGTATCTTTCCCCCAAGTGTTTTGGAATATAAAAATTGGGTTGCTTATTTCTATAGGGTTTCTTTTATTCAGAAGGCAAATGATAACTCAGCTTTCTCAATTATTAATTTTTGTATTGGCTTAGACATTAATAGTATAAAAAGAGTATATGAAAATGTATATGAGCCACCAGATCCAATTCAAACTGAAAGTATTTTAACTTCTAAATATTGGTATGTATTATTACCAACCATAGAGCTCTTGCACTGAATTATTTGTTGCACAGCCAGTGTATAATCTTAGGTTTACCAATTACAAGTTCTACTGAATTCAGTAGGATTTCTTTCCCAGTTAAGTATACTTAGGATTGCTGATTATAGAAGCTGGTTTTATTGGACTGGGGGTCTACTGCCCAATAGATTGCAGTACAAATCTTCATTCCTTATGTCTTACTTCAACAACATTAAATAAATGATACTGTTACAGTTTGGTATAACCAAACTAGATGTCCTGTCATTAATATAGAAATGTTGGCACATTCTTTCTCCAAAGAAACTAAGTCACATTTTAGAATTCTGAGAAAGAATATAGAAATACTGAACACCAGGAATTCTGGTTTTTGTTTGCTAATGCAAGGTCTCCCTACAGCAAGGTCTTCAAAGCTATATAAGGCCTTGCCATGAGTGCACCAACACTGAGCTGCTGACATAATCAATTAGTATCTGTTTTATCCACAGGCTTTTCAGAGCCATCAATCTCATAACTCTGTAAGTATTGGTCTCCGAAAATATTTCCTACTTTCATTTACTAAGGGCCTGTCAATGTAGCCCTGTTAATATCCTTTCTTCATGTCTTCAGTGAAGGAATGATCTGCCACAGCTGCTGCTGCATTGAAGAACACCAGCAGTGCTCTTCAAAAGGAGGGAGGAAGGCACTGGGGGGAGGCACAGAGACCAGACATGGGAGTCCTGAAGAGTTCATACACTTAAAACCCGAATCACTACTACTGCTGCTGCTGCTGCTGCTTCCTTTCCCTGCTCCGCCACAGCCCGTGTGACCTTTCTAATTGAACACTAATTAGATATTGCTTCCAATTAGAGCAGGGAATGAGTCGCTAAATCAACTCTCTTTCATTGGCCTCTTGTAGACTCTGCTTCCAACTGCTCTCAGCAGCTCTCTAGTGGGGATATTGATCTCATGTAAAATCATATAAAGTCTTCTGGGAGGTCAATAATCCCTGATGGCATCAATCAATCCCCATCAATAATTGCCAGATAAGTTTTTGTTTTGATCTCATGTAAAGTCTTCTGGGAGGTCAATAATCCCTGATGGCATCAATCAATCCCCATCAATAATTGCCAGATAAGTTTTTGGCTCCCTCCAGGAGCCAAAGAAGGAATAGCCATGGAGGCACAGAGCCCTGTGACTGGAATAAAAGGGGAATGTTGCAGTGGGCAAAGTGGAACCCAGCAGGTTGCTTCCCTTCTCAAGCTTCCTCCTCATTTGACACAGAATGCTTGCCTAAGAGGCTTTCTTCTGTTTTTCCAAAGAAAGCACCACTATCCTATGTGGATCAGCTTGATCCAACTTTAGGATCAGGAATGGTGCTGAGATGGAAGCCGTATTGTGGATACACGTCTTCATCATTTGTGAGCCATTTCAGAGCCAGAGCATGGAGTTTATATGAATGAGGCCTGAATGACTAAAACTATTTCTCTATGTCACACTTTAAATTCTATTAAAATGTTGTACCTGAGTTTGGATTACAGGTAAACCTTGATTTACGACCATTCATTTAACAGCCATTCAAAGTTACGATGGCCCTGAAAAAAACTGGTCTTTGCACTTAGGATTGTGGCAGAATCCCCATAGTCACAGGATCAAACTTCAGGTGTTGGGCAAATGGTATTTATTGACAACAGCCACAGCATCCCAGGGTTACATAATCACCATTTGCAACCTTCTTAAGGCATTTCCAACATGCAAAATCAATGGCAGGAAGCAGATTTGATTCATAATTATGACTACCAAAAAAAAAAAAGTCATAAAATTGGGTGACTCACTTCTAACAATGGAAATTCCTGTCTCAAAAGTGGTTTTAAGTCAATGACTATCTGTAGTGTGGTCATGCAGATTAGAATGTACATGTATTTGGTGTAAATGCATTCTCCCATATCTAACTGCACTTTGAATTAATGTGCTTGAAGATGAAGTCAGTGAATGAATTTTTTTTTTGATAAATCCAGTGAGCCTTCATGTATAATATCAGAATGGAGGAAGTGTAATTAAAGACAAGGGTTGTCCAGCCTCCTCAATCCCTCACCATTGTTTCTCCATTGCTACATTCCTATATTGCAGTCAACTCATTAAAGTAGCCACATTTTTAAGGCAGTTTCTAAAGCAGCCATATCAGTTTTTCAGGTTCACACAGAAGCCTGAAATAAGATGTATGTATGGAAAGGGGTGTTCTACTTGGCTTCCACATTTTACAAGATATCTCTATATTATTTTTGAAACAGGTATAGCTGTAATATTCTCTGTACGCCAATATCTATGAATTATTCCAAATTCTGTATTTATGGATAGAGCAAATCCTTTTGTGGGATTTCCAATTAATGATGACTGGGTTTAGGCTGTGGACAAAGGTGTAAAAAGAAAAGATAAAAAGAAATAGAAAAAAGAAGCTTCTAATTTCCTTTGCAGCAAATACAAGTATGATTACGCAATTATGTCTTACTTTTCAGTTACAAAAAAAAGCTCTCTTTTTCTATTGTCTAATATTTTCTAATCCACAATTCAAAAAATCTTTTGAATGCAAAAAGATTTTTATGCAAAAAATCTATAAGCAATAAATGTAGATGTTGTCTTCTCGCTAATCAAAGATGTCAATTTAGCCAGCTGTGCAAGTTCCATCATCTTCACCAAGTTTTCCTCTATTGTGGGTAATGCCAAATCATTCCAATTTGCTGCAATTGTCATATACAAAAAGAAAGTTCCATGACTTTTCCCCCCAGAGATTTATCTGTTAGTCCCAAAAAAAAAGTGTCTAGTGTAGAGATTTTTCTTTGAGAGCTGGGTTCAGGCTATGGAGAGGAATATAAGAAATAACAAGTTTTATAAAAAAATAGCAAAGTGTTGTTTCAGTCCTAGAATGTGATTTCACTTTTTTTCCCCTTCTATAGAGTGCTGTTGGAAAGCAGCCCGTCTTAGGTCTGGTGCTTTTCAGCATTCTGAGTGCCTTTGCTGTCCTTTCTTCAAGTGCATCTAAATGGATTATATGAACTTTTGAAATTTTATCAAGGAGGTAACACATTGGGGTCAGGTTTTTTTAGATGGATAAGTCATACAGTATATTCCTGTAGTCCCTGACCTCTACATACACAAGTACTGTTAACAATATGCCTCGTTGCAAATTACTGCTTTATCTCCTTTTTATATAGATAGGCACTCCTCATTTAGTGACCATAATTAGGACTGGCAACTTAGTCATTAAACGAAGCAGTTTCTAAGTGAAACCACAATTCTGCTATGAACTTACTTCCTTTCCTTTGCTTTACAAAACTGCCATAACTGTGAATGGTTGCTAAATGAGGCAGTTGCTAAACGAGGATTCTCTGTATATTATGCTCTTTATCTTTGTTTTTTTTTAATGTACTATATTGTATTTCATTGCAAAAATGACATTTTGGTTATGAAATTAATTAATGGATCAATTGACTTTGATCAAAGGCTGCAGTTTACTTAAGACAGTTGATATATTTGAAAATAACTACACTGAAAATTATGTAGATTGAGATAGTTCATTAGTCCCTACCATTGCATAATATAGTACTGACCCAAATTTTGACCCATTTTAATTATTGTATCATTGATTAAGGTATCAGAAATAATTATTCTGAGTACATTCATGAATAATTAGATTACAGCTGAATTCTAAGATTTTGAAAGGTACACTCTTGCAGCATTATCTAAAAGTTTCTTCATCATAAAAGGAAAAAATTATGGAAAAATCTATTAAAATTTTTTTAATTTTTTTTAAATTTTATTTTTCATAAACACATTTACATGTACAGTCATTTCTATCATTTTTCATTCATCTTTTCTTTTAACTTTCATTATTAATTTTTAAAAATAGATAGAAAATATATAAAAAATTTGAAGGAATACTATAAAAATCAAGTATATTCTACTCTTAATAAATATGTGAACCTAGATAGCAGGAATCTTCTGCAACTGTTTTCTTTGCTTCAATCATGTTAATCAATATAAATTCAAGGCAACAATAACATCTATATACTATTAAAACTCTCAGGTTTGTAACCTTTTACTGGACAAAATGCTGCACCATTTTAGGGCAAAACATTTTGAACCTCAACTAGTACTCCAAATAGACTAACTTGCCAAATGCATCCAAAATCTAGAACCCATGACTCCTGTGGAAATGAAATTTGGCAAAAGTTATAAAACATTTTATGACATAAAAATATCATACATTTTATGATACAATACAAATTATCATATTTCCCGTGGTGAGCTCCTGATGGTTGACTGTGCTATGCAGATACAACTCTGAATAGCTCCCTGAATTTTTAAAAAACTTTTCTAGTGAAGGCAGTACATTAGAAGTAATGCCATTATTGAAGGCAATGAGGAATTTGGTGAAGAAATATCTCTGAAACGATAACTCAATGGGCCACAGGCTGATTAGTTAGAATATGGTCCACAGAGAGGTGTGTCAAAAATAATCAAGATGACTGGTGCAACCATACAATTGTGATGGTTGTTAAAATGGATTATGGTTTCAATTTTGTGAGTCATAGCCATCATCTTGGTCCCCCCCCCTCACTGTTTATTTGGATATTTCTTGCCCAATCAACCCTTTGAAAGCAAACAAAACTAATAAAGTCACATCTGTTTTGTTGCAACATCATAGAACTCTTTGAGTAATGTAATATTGAGTAATATTCACCCTACTTCAAGAGGCTGTTTGGGATCTCATATTCTAAAGATCTTGGGTTCAGATAATTTGAAAAAAAAAATGCTTTTAATCTATTATTCCCCCGCTCACATGCTCCTTGGGGTCATCTGAGAACATTTGCTAAATTTGCCATGGGCTCACCTTCTGATGGCTCAGAGTCAAACTTCTTTGTAGGTAACTCCAGTCCTGTGGGATCCCCTCCCTGCTAAACTGGCAGGTCTACGGTTTTTGCTGGCATTTTCAAAGGCCCTACAAGCATGATTTTTAGGTAAAATTAATTATTTTTAATCATTTTAAATATCTCAGCCTTTGATGTTTGCATTCTTTTGTATGCTGCCAAGAGATCTTGTTGACTACCATATAGAGTTTAATAAATAAATAAATGAACCCAAGATACATTCTTTAAGAGGCCTTCAAAGAAGGAAACGGGAAGTCAATTCTAAAAAAACGCAATTCTTTTTTAAAAAATATTTTTTAGAACAGTAATACCATTCTTTCCACTATCCTGTACTTTTTGTTATCAGAATTATTGAGCTGGAAGACGTAAGCCAAACAATACATATTAACAGCAGTTTAAGAACAATATAGAGCCTACTTGCATAGGCTTTGTAAGAGTATATTTCCAAAGAGAAATAATGTACAGATGCCAAATGCAATGATGATAATCTAAATCAAATAACTTGTGTTGCCTTTTACATAAACCCAATAATATAGTTTTCTGCAATAGCTCAGTATGCTTGTATTTGCATAAGGCTATTTTATAGGGATGAACCATGAAACATATTTTATAAGGATGATAATTTGTGAATGATCTAAGTGTGGTTAGATGAGAAGGGATGGGATGGGCTGCAATCCCTCTTGTTTTCAAGCAGATTTGTCATGCTATTTCTGTTCAGATAGCCATAATTAAGCTTCAGCTAACCATCTTAAAACTCCCCCCCCCACTTTAAGCATTGACTGTTAGACTATAGAACCATAACAGAGTATTTTATAGTGTCATTGTTACTCACACCACAAAGACCCTGAGTTGAAACAGTAAATTGCTAAACGACTCCTAAAATTCTTAATGTATAAACAGGAATTGTCAGGGCATTTTAAAAGTATAATTTCGAAGGTTCAGTCTACAAAATGACATGAAAGCTCAGTGGATGTTTAGCATTCAAATCCTAACTGTATTTAGAAACAATTGGCATGCAGGAATGTTCTCCTCCTCCTCCTCCTCTTCTTCATCCCACCTTTATAACATGCTAATGCTTCTGCCTCCTTTTTATATATGTACATCAAAGGGTCAAAGGTTGTGCAACAGCAAGTTTACATATATAAAAACTGTCATTGTATGCTTGTGAATATATTCTGGGCATTTGAAATAATAAAGCATAATATCAATAGTACTTGTGTGGCTTATTGTCTAATGTTTTACTTAAAAAGCAAGAAGAAGTTTGAAAACAGGTTTGCTCAACAGTTTCATATTGTCAAACTAGTTTTTCTTGTTCACCACTTAAAACAATTGCATGAGACATAGGGTGGGTCATTTTTCTCTTTTTCCTGGATTGCAGTGTTTTTAAATGCAATCTATTTTCTCTTTCTGCAACATAGGTGGCATCTTAAACTATTTTCTTGTAGAAAACACTTAAACTGATATGCTACCATGGGCGACCCACAATAAAACCACAGAATTTACACATCATACAAAATTTCATATCAATAGCAATTCTGAAATTTCCCTTAGCTAATTAGGTGTAAATGTTTCAAAATGTGTTTTGGGGTTAATTATTTATTGTGCAGTATAGCCCCATACCTTCACAAGTAGCAGAGTAACATGACATGAGTAACATGATACTCATGTAAAATATAATGCCCAGGAAATCAGATAAGTCTTAGAATTGGAAAGGACCATTCAGACTACTGAATCCAGCTTCTGAACCAGTGCAAATGAAAGCATCCCAGACAAATGGCTATTTAGCCCAATCCAGCAGAGGAGAATTCATTGTGTGTCTGGGTAATTGATTTCCCTGGCAAACACTTGTCGAAGGGCTTTTTCCAGTGGTGAAATTCAAATTTTTTTTATTACCGGTTCTGTGGGCGTGGCTTGGTGGGCGTGGTTTGGCTTGGTGGGCATGGCTTGGTAGGCATGGCAGGGGAAGGATATTGCAAAATCCCCATTCCCACCCCACTCTCGGGCCAGCCAGAGGTGGTATTTGCCGGTTCTCTGAACTACTCAAAATTTCTGCTGCCGGTTCTCCGAACTAAAAATTTCCGCTACTGATTCTCCAGAACTTCTCAGAACCTGCTGGATTTCACCCCTGGCTTTTTCCCTAACTTTGAAGTACCATTTGTCTTCCTGTAACTTCTGTTAATATTTCTTCAGAATGAGAACAGGAGTTGATCTTCTTTACATGATCTTCTTTCCGGTATTTGAAGAGGTCATATTCCCCTCATCCATCTACTCTCAAAGCTAAATATACCCAGCTCCTTCAATATTTTTTTATAGGTCTTAAATCTATGAAACTAAGAAATTGAATTTCTTAGAGAAAGAAGGAATTATGAAACATTTTTCTTGAAATCCTTTTAAAGATGTGAAAACACCTTTTCTCTTCCTACTTCTCCTGCCATCCAGGGGTTGACAAGAGAAATGGCATTTGGCACAATGGCAGAGACTTGACACTTCTACTGTTAAAAAGCAAATAGCCCTGATTATCAGAGGACAGGGGCTAAACGAAGGGCATGCTTATAGCATCCTCAGCAACAGCAACAGCAAAAACCCTGCACCTCAATGTACCTCATTATGATTTACAGCAGATATACTATTTGATGGAACTTTTCCTTACAGAAAACTGAAAAACTGGCAATTTGAAGTGGAGTAAGAAAAGACAGGCAGAGCTTCCTTTCTAGGTCAAGGAAAGGTTGAATGACCTGAAAGATGACCCCAATGACTAATTCAGGTTACCAACAATTGCAGCTTTAGAAAATTATTTCTGGATTAATCCCTATAGGATTGTGTCACTAGGGGGAGGGTGTGGCCGGCATCGGGCGATACAGTGTGGATTCTGGAGCTCCAGAAGAGCACTGTACCACTGGGAGGAATACTCCATTTCGATCTGAGGTCATTTGTAGGCCGCTCGTCGTGTGAGGGCGAGTTGGATGTCACTCCCATTGGATTGTATCTGTCAGGACCCTTCCCGCTGTCGTGAGAAGACAGTGGAAATACCAGTGCGCCTCGTTGAACAATACCTGTATGTTACATCTTTTGTGAGACCCGTTTATGCTCCGTACCTCCATCGTTACACTTGGAGATGTATACGATATTGGATCTTCTTGCACTGCGAGATTCCCCCCTCTCGCAGATGTGGCCCTTCTCCCTATCGAGGGCCTACCTCAATGATGGGTTTTGGGACCTGGAGAGGTGGCATGTGAAAACTAGGGGGTTGAGGGGTTTTTTATTCAAAAATTTATTTAGTTAAATTTTTAAGGGGTTCTAGGAAAGGGGAGGGTTTGATTGGAATGCAGGCTGTGGGCATGGGGGATAGCCCACTAAGGGGCCTGGTGGGCCTGGCAAGGAAGCATGGCGTGGGAGGTGGGGATCCCGGGGTCAAGGGGGGAGTCAGAGTTTGTCCGGATAGTGCTTTGAACATCACTACCGTGAGTGGGAGGGCAGATATGATGGGAGCAGGGCACCATATCGAGTTAGGGGAGTGCACACCTGCTGTTTACGAGCGGTGGCGCGCTCCAGCCCCCAAGGCTCCACCCGTTCCCCAGGTTGCACAGACCCTCAGGGCCCGACCCTCCGGCTGATGCTGTGCAATGCCAGGTCCGTAGTAAATAAAGCCCCCCTCATCTGTGATCTTATTGGTGAGGGGAGAGCGGACCTGGCAGGTATTACGGAGACCTGGTTGGGCCAGGAGGGGGGTATTCCCCTCGTTGAAATGTGCCCACCAGGTTTCCTTGCATTCCATTGGCCGAGGTCACAGGGCAGGGGCGGGGGAGTAGCGGTTATTATTAAAGAAGGTCTGAGACCGAGGGAGGCCACTGTTCCTCAGACGGCCGGCTGTGAATCCCTCCTTGTGAAGTGGGGTTATGGGGTTCAGCTGGGCTTGCTGATCACATACCTCGCTCCCTGCCACATGGCAGCAGCCCTGCCCGAGCTCCTCGACGTTATCGCCACAGTGGCGGTTGATACCCCCAGACTTATGGTCATGGGGGATTTCAACCTGCCATCTGTGGGTGAGACGTCGGAGATGGCTCAGGAGTTCATGGCTTCCATGACAGCTATGGACCTGACCCAGTTAATTCATGGCCCTACCCACACAGGGGGAAACACGCTGGACCTAGTTTTTCTCTCTGGACAGTGGTTGAGTGATCTTGAGATAGGAGACATAGTCACCGAGCCCTTGTCATGGTTGGATCACTCTCTCTTTCGCCTTGACCTTCGAACCGCTATACCCCGTCGCAGGGAGGCGGAGCTGGTAAAATGGTTCTGCCCCAGGCGCCTGATGGAACCTGATAGGTTCCAGATGGAGCTTGGGCCACTTCCCGTGGCTCTGGCACACGCCTCGACTAGGACCTAGTGGCCGCCTGGGATAGGGTGGCAGCTGGAGCTCTGGATCGGGTCGTGCCTTTGCGGCTTCTGACCCGGCGCCGATCTCACCTAGCTCCTTGGTTCACTGAAGAGCTGAGGGAGATGAAGCGCCGGAAAAGACGCCTAGAGAGTAGTTGGAGGGCCAGTCTTTCTGAATCCGACCGGACACTGGTAAGATCTCATATTAAGAATTACCTAGTGGAAATAAAAGCAGCAAAATGTACATATTTTGCTGCTCTTATTGCGTCATCAGATAATCGCCTGGCCGCTCTGTTTAGGGTGACCCGCTCCCAGGAAGCGGGAGGATCAGGAAGCGCGGGAGGATCCCTTGGAGGGTAGAGCCGAGGATTTTGTTCAATATCTGCATGACAAAATCACTCAGATTCGGGAAGATCTGGACTGGGTAGTTCCAGGCGGGATGACTGAGGCAGGTCTTGAGAATGTTACCTGGGATGAGTTTGATCCTGTGACCCCTGACGACGTGGACAGAATTCTGGGTGGACTGAACGCGACCACATGTTTATTGGACCCATGCCCCTCCTGGTTAGTGCTGGCTTCCTGGGAGGTGATGAGAGGCTGGCTCCAGGGGATTATAAATGCTTCGTTGGGTGAGGGTGACTTCCTCGCCGCCTTTAAAGAGGTGGTGGTGAGGCCTCTCCTCAAGAAGCCTTCCCTGGACCCGGCAGTGTTGGCTAACTATTGTCCGGTCTTCAACCTTCGTTTTGTTGCGAAGGTTGTTGAGAGTGTGGTTGCGCGACAGCTCCCCCAGTACCTGGATGAAACGATGTATCTGGATCCGTTCCAGTCGGGCTTCAGGCCTGGATACAGCACAGAAACAGCATTGGTCGCGTTGGTTGCTGATTTCTGGAGGGCTCGGGACAGGGGTTGCTCCTCTGTCTTGGTCCTATTAGACCTCTCAGCAGCTTTTGATACCATTGACCATGGTATCATGCTGCACCGGTTGGAAGAGTTAGGGGTGGGGGGCACTGTATTACGGTGGTTCTCCTCCTTTCTCTCCGACTGGTTGCAGTCTGTGTTGGCAGGGGGGCAGAGGTCGACCCTGAAGCCCCTCATATGTGGGGTGCCACAAGGGTCGGTCCTCTCGCCCCTTTTGTTCAACATTTATGTAAAGCCGCTGGGCGAGATCATCCATGGTTTTGGGGTGAAGTACCACCAGTAAGCTGATGACACCCAGCTGTACATCTCCACCCCGGACCACCCCAACGATGCCCTCGAAGTGATGTCCCGGTGTCTGGAGGCCGTGCGGATCTGGATGGGGAGGAACAGGCTCAGGCTCAACCCATCCAAGACTGAGTGGCTGTGGTTTCCGACGTTCCGATATAGTCAGTTGATGCCATCGCTGACTATTGGGGGCGAATCGCTGGCCCCCACGGAGAGGGCTCGCAACTTGGGTGTCCTCCTGGATTCACGGCTGTCTTTAGAAGAGCACGTAACCGGGAGGATTCTTCATCAGGTTCGCCTGATTCGCCAGTTGCGTCCCTTTCTGGATCAGGACTCCCTACACACAGTCACTCATGCCCTCATCACTTCCCGCCTGGACTACTGTAACGCTCTCTACATGGGGCTCCCCTTGAGGAGCACCCGGAGGCTCCAACTGGCGCAGAGTGCGGCCGTGCAGGTGGTTATGGGAGCAACATGGTGCTCCTGTGTGACGCCTCTCCTGCGCGAGCTGCACTGGCTCCCGGTGGTCTTCCGGGTGCCCTTCAAGGTTTTGGTTTTCCACCTTTAGAGCACTCCATGGCTTAGGACCTGGTTATTTACGGGACTGCCTACTACCGCAAACAGCCTCCC